CACGTTCAACATTATGCTCTTACAGTTTGAAAATTTACCCAAAAATATTATTCTACGTTAAAACGTTACATAGGAATTTTGGAAGTCTTTCATTAGGATATTGAGCCAGTTTCAGTAATGGTAGTGGAACTTTACAATATTTTAGGTTATTTTTGGATGAACATTTTCAAATTCTACAATCAAACCCTTAGAAAAAGTCTAAAATCCATAAGGACAACATATTTCATTTGACTGAAATATCGTTTTTTTCGGTTTTTATTATAAATTATTATAGGTATTTGTAAAAAAATTTTGTTAATTTTTCGCTGGGTTCATCGAATATTCTCCATTCTTTCCCCCCACTGCAGTAGTTAGAGTTTTCCAGAAATTATATTCAGATGTGTCATAAATAATAAATCATTATATTTCGTGGACCGATTGACCGAATAACTTCTTTCAATTAATTAATCTTTATGTAAGGTATTGGTTGAAATGAAAAAGTGTCACGAGCGGTATTCGAACCCACGACCTTCGGCTAAATACGCCTCTGCTCTACCACTTCACCTATCGTGACTTCGATCCACTCGGACACCAACTTCCCATATCAACTATAAATAATAATAAAATTTTGATAAACCATAAACAAGTTGTTACAAGCCAGGAAAAAGTTTGAAACTAGGTTCTATTAATTTTCACGTACAAAGACCTGTACAGCTTCAAAATTTAATAGAACAACCTCTTAAGATATTTCAACTTGCAAATATGGATTAATTAATCCACGTACACGTACATAAAACAGTAGCTGTTTGAATTGATGACTTCCATGGAAGGTTTTAGTAGTTATTCGTTTAGTAAAATTCAAAAAACACAGTAAAGACAGTTGGTTTTGTATTTAGACAGTTATAAAACAAAATAATAAATCGAATTCTTCCTTTACAAAGTGAAAACGATTATTTTGTCAACCTATAAATAACAGAATTACGCATATATTTTTGATGGTTATTTTCTGCCTGAAGAATTTCAAATTCCATAATCAAACCTTTAGAAAAGCCTAATCTATTAGGACAAGATATTACATTTGACTGGAATATCGATTTTTCTCATTTTTACCATTACTACAATATCCATAAATGTCATAAATTTTAATGACATCAAAACCATAAATAATAAAACGGGGCAAGAAGTTTAAAACTAGATTTGAATTATTTTTCACGTCGAATGACCGTTCAAGCTTCAAGTGTTAGGGGAAAATACCCCTGAGAATACAAATTTAATAGCTATTTATATTTTATTATAAAATATATAATACAAAAGTGAAAATGCTCAAATTGTCGAAAATTCTCTCTTCATCCGAATTAATCATGATTTTATCAAATCGGTAGATTTTATTTCAATCGTCGTTTATTACAATTCTTATTGGAGTCTCTCTATAAATATTTTATTTGATAACGATTAAGCAATAAACAAATAAAAAATTAAATGATAAATGAATTAGTTCTTTGTTGAAGAAGTTGGAGATTTCCTTTTTTTATCGGAAAAACAATGTTCGGATATAGTTATTTTGCAAATAACATGAGAACGGTTGTTCCAAATTATTAAAAACAGTTTACGCCGTTGAATTGAGCGTCACAAAAATGTACATTAAAAAGTATCTTGCCATTTGGAATAGTTAAGTGTTCTATTCGTATCGTGGAGAGTTAATTTGTTGGCTCATGGGATACTTGTCAAAAAATAAAATTTTACGCGTCTCGGAGGGATTTTCCCCAATATAAAAATAAGGAGAGAACAGTTGTTAAGCTCACCCTATATATACCGAGTAATTTATGGGTGCAGTATATTTTAAGGTTACTTTTGGCCGAAGAATCGCGAAGTCCATAATGCAATCCTTTCAAGCTCTCAGAAAAAGCCCATAATCTCTAAGGGCGATTTATTAAATACAGACTAAAATAACGGTTTTTCTCCATTAATTTACACATAAAAAATTACAGTAGCAACAAGTACAAGGTTGACACCATTTCAAAGAATATACACCTAGAAAAAACTATATTACTTTCTGCCAGGTCCTTCTAACAGATTCTCAATTTTCCCCCTCGCAGTAGTTATATCGAAATTTTTCAAAAATGTGCCAATATTTTTCACCACTATCTACTTTTAGGATTCAAAAAGCCAATTAGGATAAAAAATATATAAATACATATTTGGAAATATGTAAAATGAGCCAGAAAATCAATCAACTTACATCCAAATTAGTCATAATCCTAGTAGGTTTTATTGTTACTAATCCTCGTTGAGGACCAAATTATTATATTTGACTAACACTTTTTCATTTTTTTTTTTTTTTTTTTTTTTTTTTTTTTTTTTTTTTTTTTTTTTTTTTTTTTAATAGAACGGGACTGATACATTGCAAGGTTTCAATCATCCAAAACGTTGTACTCATATCACCCTATCAAATCGTTGTGATTTTATGATTAATCGTCGTTTATGAGATTTCCTATTAGAAAGTCTCTCTCTATAAAGTAAACGGATACAAAAAATTAAAATTAAAACAATTTAATGAAAATAATTTTTCGCGTTGTATAGCTTGATTAAACCAAATTATCTCTCATTTGTAAAAANAGGTTTCATAAAAACATTTTCTTTATCTTGCCAACGTTTCGACCTTAATGGAGATCATCTTCAGGGCCTGGGATTTACAAACATTGTTTACATTTGACATGTATTTGTTTAAATTTAAACACTGATTTGTGTTTGTAAATCCCAGACCCTGAAGATGATCTCAATAAAGATCGAAACGTTGGCACGATAAAGAAAATGTTCTTCTGAAATCTACGTCACACTAGATCTCACGATTTCCGAATAATCATTAAATATTAAAGAAAAAGACTTTTTTTATCTCAACCAATACCTTACATAAAGATTAATTAATTGAAAAAAGTTAATTGGTAAATCGGACCACGAACTCTAATGGAATTAAAGAAAAAGGTTAAAATTAATTGGGAGTAAATTTTTTTATATAAATTTATATACTAGAACACACAAAAAATTAATCTTTCGATAGAAAACCCTCAAATAAACAATTAAGTAAAAACCAATTTATCTCTTTAAATTTACAAAACTTTACAGCCAATTTTTATTTATACATTACGATTTTTTTTCTTTATGATATTCCGCGTCTCATAAAAGACTCATGCCACGAAGGGGGGATGAACAATTTATTTATATTTATCGTGACCTCGATCCACTCGGACACTAACTTCTCATCTCAACCCCACCTTTTGAATTTTCCCTCCTTTTTGCCATTTTTCAATCACTTAGTAGTATGATTAAGCCCGATGTTGCTAATTCTTAGGGAATTTTTGGATTTTATTACTTCTCTATTTGATGGAATGAGGGCCCTTACGGTATTTTTTGACAAATCCCAACTAAACCTCCAAGGGTTGGGCCGGGATTCGAACTCAGAACCGCAAAAAGTGGCAAATCGCAACACCCTAACTCTTCCAACGCTATCAAATTGAAATATTCTAGCCGATAATGAGATTTGATTGTATAGTAAATAATTCATTATAAATTGATTTTTTTTAAAGTTCGCGTTGAACGTTTTGACTGAAACGGCGTTTAAAGGAATCTAAAAAACTAGGCGAATAGAATTCATAAAAACTGAGGATACGTTTTTCTACGATAGGCTCATTTTATAAGTTTTTTCTTAGACCTAAACCTTGAAACCGAAATCAAAAATATAAAGTAAGCTCATCTTCTTTCCTTTTTTTAAGTTCATGTTGCAAGATATCACTGAAACGGCTGTAAAATAATTTAAAAAAAACGAGGTGAATAGAATTCTTGAAAACTGGATATTTTTTCTATAGTAGGCTCATTTTATAAGTTTTTTCTTAGGCCTAAAGCTTGAAACAGAAATGAAAAATAATAAATGAGTTCATCTTCTTTTTTTTAAGTTCATGTTACAACATCACTGAAACGGCTTTTAAAATATAAAAAAAACAAGGTGAGTACAATTCGTGAAAAAAGGGTTTTTTTCTACGATTTAGGGTCATTTTATAAGTTTTTCTTAGACCTAAAACTTGAAACAGAAATGAAAAATAATAAATAAGTACATCTTCTTTTTTTAAGTTCATGTTGCAAGATATCACTGAAACGGCTTTTAAAATATTTTTAAAAAACTAGGTGAACAGAATTCCTGAAAACAGGATTTTTTTTCTACGATAGGCTCATTTTATAAGTTTTTTCTTAGACCTAAAACATGAAAAAATATCAGTGCTTAGATCAAAGTAGAATACAAGAATACAAACAGAAGTACAAACGAACATTTAAATTTCTTACATTTTTCCCCTCTATGCCTTTTTTTATTCATAACGTTAAGAAAAATATTATTTCTTATAGGACAACAAAGTTTAATTAATTATTGATACTATTATTGTTATATTATTCAAATCAGAAATATTTTGTCTTTAAAAAAAATTGTTACATTGTTTTGAAATTTTTTCACGAGGGGGACCCCATTTTCGATTCAATCTCTTTACTGTGATTTATTCCGTTGTTGTTTTGTAATTAATTCTTTTGTCATTAGAACCTTGAATTGATTGCCGTTTTTTTTAAACATCTTCGACAGGTATGACCTGTTATTCATAAAAATGGTCGATTAAATACACTTGAGGTTAGTTTTTAAATTTTTGGTGGGAAAAGAGTGTCGCCGATGGAAAAAAATGAATTTTTTCAATGCGCATTAACGGTTCTTTTAAGAATTACACGCCAATAATTTTCTTTTGTTTTTGTGTAATTTTCAGCTGCCCACTTCAGTGGAAAATCAGCTGACCAATGATTCATATATAAAATACACACCGTTTTTTTGATGTGTGCCAAAGTGACCAAGCGTGAAAACTAATTAAAATTGGATTTCTTTTTAAAATTAATATGAGTTTTGATATGTTTTTGAGTGTGGTTGGGGGGGGGATGATTTAGGGAAAAGTAAATAAAAAACTATATTTAGATGTTTTCACCTATTTTTATTTTATCTAATAAATTCACGATTCAATCGTTTTTTCTAAGGAACTTTTTAAATAAACATAAATTACATATCTACAATTCATTAGTTAAATAACTATAATATACTATACAAAAAGACCTTTTTTTTGTTCTTCTTATACATTAATATATCACAATGAACATCCTCGAACAAATGAAACAACACATTGTCAGAGTTGCACAACAATTAGAGGGCACAACAAAAGCGCCGTAAAAACAATTAAAATTAAATAATAAAAAAAACATTCGAATGGAAAAAGGAAATAGTTACCATAACGGTCGGGTAGACCGCCTAATTTGCGTTTATAGCAAAAACAAATCACAAAAAGTCCACTTTTTGTTGAATTCCAACAAGAAAAACATAAACGGTGGCTAATAAACATTTATAACTAGGCGATTCACAATGATATACACAAAAAGGAAAGATGAAACGACATTTAGAACTCGTAAACAAAACAAATTAAGAAAAAGTAGGATATCATGAGGTAATAAATACACAATCGGAGGGAAGAGGTTGGCAAGTATCTTCGTTTTAACCACTAAGGGAGTAAACCGCTTAGTGTGTAGTTTTGTAAATGAGATATTTTGGTGGTGTCGAACTATTTGTACGTTTAGTTATCCAAATGAGGAAAGGGTCAGACGGCTGTGAGCGTCGGTCCGAACCTGAACGTGTAGGAATAGTACGGGGGCTGGGGGTTGTGACTCGGAGGCGGAATGTAATAAAGAGGTGGCCTTACCGGCGGCGGTGGCGGCGGAGGAGGAGGCGGAGGCGGCTGTTTCTCGGGTTCGGGCGAAATAAGGGATTCTATGTCGAAGGGACGTTTCGGCCGAGGAGGAGGTTCCGAAGTCTGCGGAGGCGTCTGTACGATCTGCGGCGGAGGTGGAGGATTCACGACGAACCTGTTCAAACTGGCCAACGCCGCCAATTCGTTCTCAAGCCTGTCTTTGTCCGATTTGAGCAGTTTGAACCTTTTCCTCCTTCTCAGGAGAGAACCGTTCTCGAACATATCCAGGGCGGCGGGGTGAAGGGTCCAGTAGGCGCCTTTCCCAGGCCTGTCCGGACGCCTAGGTATCTTGACGAAACAGTCGTTGAAAGAGAGGTTGTGACGGAGGGAATTCTGCCAGCGCTGCGTGTTCCTCCTGTAGTACGGGAACCTGTCACTGATAAACCTGTAGATGTCGGCCAGAGGTAGCATCTTATCCGGCGAGCTCCATATGGCCATCGCCGTCAAAGAGATGTACGAATATGGTGGCTTCTGATCGCCGTACGACTCTCGGCACGGCCGAGGCATCCTTCCCGACTCAAGATGAAATCAGAACTGAAACCTGTCAGAGCCGGAGCAAAGGGACCTCCTAGAACCCCTCTCCGCCCAGACGTGTTCAGTCACGCCCATACCTTTTACCATTGGCGTACACGTTCTCCACCCCGTTCCCCACCAACGTCCACCTTCTCCCTTCCTGATCACCATCTTTTACAACATTGTATAAACATTTGCCCTCTATTCTCTACATACACATCCACGATTCTAACAAACACTAACAAACAGTAACAGTCTCCCCCTCGACCCACCTTTACCACACACTGTGCCCTTTTATATAAACATTACTTAATCAAATAAAAAATGATCCTAATCCTGATTATTCTATGAAAACCACCCTAAACTGCCTACACCGTTTATATATCGGGCGAATATATCTTTCACGTTCAAATATAGATCCAGATCAAACCCGAAACCAACCCCTCCCTGGCTACTTCCAGTAGTTAAATTTGATTTTTCTCTTACATATACGCGAAAGCAGTAAACAAACCATATAGAAATGTGTGGTGATTAGTGACCGTTAATTGATGATTATTCGGAAATAGTAAGATGCGGTCTGGTATGACGTAGATTTCAGAAAAACATTTTTTTTATCGTGCCAACGTTTCGATCATTAAATACATATAGGATGTGGAAAAAAGTGAATTTATACAACGCAATAACATACAATTTATATTCAAAAAATAAATATATTTCACTATTTTTCTAGTATACTATATACTAGAAAAATAGAAATACTTTGATTGAATATAAAAAAATATTTTTTTGCAATATATAAAGTCACTTTTTTCCACATCCTATATGTATTTGTTAAATGTAAACAATGTTTGTAAATCCCAGGCCCTGAAGATGATCTCAATAAACATCGAAACTTTGGCACGATAAAGAAAATGTTTTTTTGAAACTTACGTCACACCAGACCGAATCTCACGATTTCCGAATAATCATTAAACCCTATAGAGTTCAAACAAAAATTCCTTGAACTAAACCAATGTGTCGTTGATGCCTTAATCATATGCACTGATGGTTCCAAAATTGGGTGTTCTTATTGAGGGTCGTCCTTCTATTTTTCGTTTACCCTCAATTTTCAGTTTATATAATACCGAAATATTTGCCATTTTAAGTGAATATATAAAGTCAGCTTTCATACTTGAATTAATTGAAAGTTGGGAAAATCAGTAGAATCAAACCACACTCAACAAATTAAAAAACATAAAAGAGACTTATAAAATCCATTATATTTAGTGGTTTGATTGACCAAATTACTTCTTTTAATTAATTAATCTTTTTATGTAAAGTTTTGGTTGAAATGAAAAATGGCAAAAAGGGGGAAAATTCGAAAGGTAGTATGTTGAGGTGGGAAGTTAGTGTCCGAGTGGTTCGAGGTCACGATAACTCAAGTGGTAGAGTAGCGGCNACTTAAAGTAGTTAAATTTGATTTTTCTCTTACATATACGCGAAAGCAGTAAACAAACCATATAGAAATGTGTGGTGATTAGTGACCGTTAATTGATGATTATTCGGAAATCGTAAGATGCGGTCTGGTATGACGTAGATTTCAGAAAAACATTTTTTTTATCGTGCCAACGTTTCGATCATTAAATACATATAGGATGTGGAAAAAAGTGAATTTATACAACGCAATAACATACAATTTATATTCAAAAAATAAATATATTTCACTATTTTTCTAGTATACTATATACTAGAAAAATAGAAATACTTTGATTGAATATAAAAAAATATTTTTTTGCAATATATAAAGTCACTTTTTTCCACATCCTATATGTATTTGTTAAATGTAAACAATGTTTGTAAATCCCAGGCCCTGAAGATGATCTCAATAAACATCGAAACTTTGGCACGATAAAGAAAATGTTTTTTTGAAACTTACGTCACACCAGACCGAATCTCACGATTTCCGAATAATCATTAAACCCTATAGAGTTCAAACAAAAATTCCTTGAACTAAACCAATGTGTCGTTGATGCCTTAATCATATGCACTGATGGTTCCAAAATTGGGTGTTCTTATTGAGGGTCGTCCTTCTATTTTTCGTTTACCCTCAATTTTCAGTTTATATAATACCGAAATATTTGCCATTTTAAGTGAATATATAAAGTCAGCTTTCATACTTGAATTAATTGAAAGTTGGGAAAATCAGTAGAATCAAACCACACTCAACAAATTAAAAAACATAAAAGAGACTTATAAAATCCATTATATTTAGTGGTTTGATTGACCAAATTACTTCTTTTAATTAATTAATCTTTTTATGTAAAGTTTTGGTTGAAATTAAAAATGGTAAAAAGGGGGAAAATTCGAAAGGTAGTATGTTGAGGTGGGGAGCGGTGTCCGAGTGGATCGAAGTCATAATAGCTCAAGTGGTTAGAGCAGCGGTGTATTGTGCCGAAAGTCGTGGGTTCGAATCCCGCTCGTGACACTAACTTTTTCATTTCAACCAAAACCTTACATAAAAAGATTAAATTAATTGGAATAAAAGAGACTGATAAACCTTGGGAAACATCCTTCCAAACTTACAGGCGTGATGAGGTCGTACTATGTCGATTACTTAGGGCACAAAAATATGTCCCACAAGCACCTCGTGGAAAAATCTATACCACCAACATGCCTTTGTGGTGATAAATTAAATGTATTACAGATACTTGCGCCCCCTCCCTTTTGTCTGAGGTCGGCTCATTACCCCAAAATACCCTGGACTATAAAGGAAATGTTAGGGAATGAACAGAAAAAAATTGATAAGGTCTTCGAAAGTCTAAAAATGAGAAATCTCTATAACATTATGTAAATGTCCATAATTTCCAATAAACCACTGGTAGTAGAGGTGGTAGAGTAGCGGTGTATTAAGCCGAAGGTCGTGGGTTCGAATCCCGCTCGTGACACTGGCTTTTTTATCCCAACTAAAAACCTTAATTAATTGAATTTAAATAAAAGATTCAAGTTACAATCTGTATGTAAAAATCATAAATAAATAAACTATTATCTATCTACCTCTATCTGTCAGTCGCACAAAAGCGGTTCAAATTTTTTTTTACGCCTATACATTCCAGAACAACTGGAGAATACAGAGACACACCATACTCGTCATTGATGTCGGATCCGAAATTGACGACTGTTCTGTACAGAAAGAATTTCTTCGATGGTATATTATCGTATAAATTATTACGTTCCTTAGCTGATTGCCCATTACTGCTTAACCGAATTAACTTTCATGTTCAATCTTATCATTCCAGAAGTCACATAACATTCTCCATCGATTCCCGTAGAACTAATTATGCCAAATTCAGTTTTATACCAAGTACAACAAATTTGTTTAACTCATTCGAAAATATAGATATATTTAATGTCAGTTTAAAAAAATTTAAGCAAATTTTATTATTAGACTATTAAATATTGTATCATTAATATAATTTATAATTGATAAGTATTTAAATTGTTTGTTTTATTATTATAAATAAGAATTCAATTTTTTGTCTAAAGTAGAACAGTCCAAGCTGTGGAACTCCATAATAGAGAATCTGTGTTTGAAAAAACTTCTTTAGTTCCAGCGCTGTTTATTTTTATTTCATGGAAAGCTTTTCAACTGTTTTGCAGTCATCCTCAGCCAATTAAATTTTTAAAAAATTTAAATCTAGTTTTTAGGTAAATGTTGAGATCACTATACAAAACAACATTTACATAAAAACTTTTTTTTTTATTTAATTGGCTGAGGATGATTGCAAAACAGTTGAAAAGCTTTCCATGAAATAAAAATAAACAGCGCTGGAAGTAAAAGAAGTTTTATTCAAACACAGATTCTCTATTATTATAAATATTTCTAAATTTATCTACAGTTATAACGGTAATACTTTTATTGTATACTATTGTAATTGAGAAAACGTAAATAATTAAATTATCATTTGATGAAACGAAAAATTTTTTATTCACTTAGTCATAATTTACAGTTGTGGTGTATCCTGAGACATTACCGAAATGTGAAAGCTACAGGGCATTATAACCATCAATATGTTTATCCTGTAACAGGGTGTCCTTTTTAGATGGCTGAATTTCTCTTGAACCAATGAAGCTATAAAAAAAAGACTTTAACATTATTTAGTTTAGTTTCAAACAAATTTTTACCTTTTTTTGTTGAAAAATTATACAGGGTTCCTCAGGCCCAGTTCAACTTAAAATGCGTTCATAATTTCAAATACGGCCCTATACATACTAGCACCTCATTTGAAAGGATTTTTTGCGCTGAAAATAATGGTGCAATCGGATGGTGAATTGGCCAAAAAACGAAAAAGTTATTGGGAAAAAAACCGGCAGCGTAATTTCGACGAGGAGCTCAATATTTTACTGTATGTTCGCGAAAATCAGAATTCCTCTCTCCGAAATGTTTGAAGGGTTTTAGGTTTTTCAAAAAATAAAATTAGAGATGTACTCCGGACTTAGAATTTTAAGCAGCTCTCACCTTTCCAGGGACTTCGGGACTCTGATTATGACAAGCGTCTAACGTTCCTTGCACAAATGTCAATTTGGTAGGCTGAAGAAAACATCGTATGGATTCACGAGTTCACCTCTAATGAAACACTAAACCGGTGGAATTTTCGAACGTGGGCCGAGAAAAAACGGAGAATTTCTCTTGTCATCATCAGGTGGTTCGACGTTTGGTGTGGACTTCTCGGAAATAAAATAAATTGGGCCTTATTTCTTCGAAAATAATTTAGTTGTTGCTCAGTTCCTCAATTTTTGAGGGAGGTTTAACCAACACTATTAGATGATGTTCCTCTGCAACAATGACAATGATTCTCCAGTATGATGAATGCCCCGCACACAAATCTTTGCAGGTGAGATAATTCATCACTTCCGGTATAGGACCTCATGGCCCTATCTGTTGACCTCCTCAGTCACCCGATTTAACTCCACTATTTTCTGCGGAGCCATTTAAAAAACAACGCAAAACAATCATAACCCAGCAACCTCAGCTGAAGAACTGCGGCAAAGGATAAAAAATGCTTGTCAATCCATCTCACCTGACTCTATCGCTCTGAGCACCTGAGAAGAGTGGTTAAAAAGGAGGAAATCTTTACATCTTTACGCAAGCCAGGTTCGAACATGAAATGTGATTAATAAATAGCAAAGCAAATGACTGTTTGTTTTTCCAAACTTCCTGCCATAATTTTGTCATTTTTTTGACCAATTTTAAATCGTATTGCACCATTGTTTTCGGCGTAAAAATTCCTTTAAAATGATATGTCAGGATGTATAGGATCGCATTTGAAATTTTGAAGTTGAATTGGGCCTGAGGTACCCTGTATAATTTTTCTGCAAAAAAGGTAAAAATTTGAAACTAGACTAAAAAATGTTAGAGATGTACCGCGGTAGCCGAGTGGTTAGCATGAGAGACTCTCACGCCGCGGTCGTGGGTTCGATTCCCACCGTTGCCCCTGGCCCTTTTTTCCCAATAACCCCCCAAATTTGAACACACATATACGAATTTGTCACATGGCTAATATGCATAGTTCATAACGCCAAAAAAAAAAANAAAAAAAAAAATGCTTTAAAGAAAGAGTGAATTTGAAATTAGAAAAGTTACTTTTAATTTAAATTTGAATTTAAAAAGAGTGATTTTGAAATTAAAAAAAGGTTAATTTGAAGTTAAAAATAGTGAATTTGAAATTTTAAAAAAATTCAAAAAGATGAATTTGAAATTAGAAAAGTTACTTTTAATTTAAATTTGAATTTAAAAAGAGTGATTTTGAAATTAAAAAAGGTTAATTTGAAGTTAAAAATAGTGAATTTGAAATTTAAAAAAAAATTCAAAAAGATGAATTTGAAATTATAAAGGGTAAATTTTGAAATTAAAAATGGTGAAGTTGGAATTGGATAAGGTTCATTTGCAATTAAAAAGGATGAATTTTAAATTAAAAAGGGTGAATTTTAATTTAAAAATAGTATATTTGATGTTAAAACAAAGGTGAATTTGAAATTTAAAAGGTTAATTTTAAGTTGAAAAAGTCAATTTGAAATTAAAAAAGGTTAATTTGCAGTTAAAAATAATGAATTTGAGATTTAAAAAGATTAATTTAAAGTTAAAAAATTATGAATTTGAAATTCAAAAGGGTTAATTTGACTAAGTAAATCTATAAACCTAGAATATTATCCTGTCCTTCTCAGGACGTTAAGATCTAGAGAGAAGGAATTTCGCTATCTTCAGTGTTGAGTGTTATTTGATAAGTCTTGTACAAACTCCGACATACAAAACTAGCGAGGATAGGTAGACCAAAATGCGCATTTTTTTAAAATTGTTAATTAGTTCAACAATATACCCAAATCTAAGACGAATTTTAATTATAGATCTTTTTCAGACAGAACAACATCCATTTAATTTATTACAGTCCCCTGTCTGCAGATAGGAGAAAGAAAAATCTTAAGGTAGACCATGAAAAGGCATTTTTATGAGATTTCATCCACTGATTAGGATTAACTTTCGAGGCTATCTTACAGGGGTTTGCAACAAAAGAGTTTCAACTAATTCTTTAAATAATTTATTTTGATCGAAGGTCTGAAAAGGAGAGAAAGTCGCATTTAAATTTATGATTTCCTGTATACTATGTTGATAAGACGAGTTTCATTCGAAAATTAAATAAACAACTGGAAAATGGGTCAATTTTGAGTAGTCATGAAGATTTGAAGGTGTTTTTGGAATATGGTTGCATTTTTCAACCGACCGTATTTGGTCTTGAAAGGTCTTCAGCCACTGTTTCTCAATGAGACACCGAAACGTTACAAAACCCGCATAAAAAGATGGTATAATTAACAAATAATCCGTATAATTGTATAATGGTCCAAACGTGCGGGTTTCGGGTGGATTGTCCGGATTTATATGGTAATCTAAATAACAGGGGCTGTCATTGGCGTCATTGATTTATGGAAATCGTCAGCCGGTTCAAAAGGATTCAAACGGACATGATTTTATAATTTTAGCCACAATGCGTTACAACAATATTTGTGGTTTTTGTGTTTCATTCTCGTTCTAAAGACTATCAACGTCTGAAAATTATGCAACGTATCTCAAAGATCAATGGAACAGATTGGGCAATCCTTTCTTTCCTATTGATTCAATTAGACCTGATACGTATTTCTAAATGTTACACTGGACACGAATGAAAAAGGAGTTTTGAGGGTCAATGGGAGAAAGCAGCACGTTTTGAGCGCGTCATTATTCCATATCTTAATCATCTGTTTCAATTATATAGTTGTACGTACTAATATTAACATTATTTACTTACAAATTTACATTGCTACTTAGTTACTTAGGCCGATAAATTTGCCAAAGAATGTACAATGAGGACATCCATCGGCCCTAATCCCTTTTACGGCATACCAAATTACCAAATTGCTAAATACGTACATCAGATGATACGTTAAGTATAAATTTGTTCAATGAGATTATATTCCTTGAAATAGGTAGAACTATTGTACTAACACCTAGGAATTGTTAAGTGTAGAATAATTATAGTACTGCTAACTGGGCACTGGACTCCAGAGGCAATAGTATTCGTAGCAGCAGTATTGCCAAGAAGAAGAAAGGGAACACGTCCTATGTTGTTGCGAATATACAAGCTGATATCTGTACTCCTTAGAGAAGACAAGCCCAACCTTGAAAGCTACACAAATTTACACACAGCCTTAAGCTTAACGGAAAGTACTAGATAATAATGGTGATACAATAGACCAATATTGGTGCGAGAGTCCGTAAAGAGGATCCTTTTAACCTTAACCTTACTTGCATATCATCAAAAAATGGTCGGTTCAATGAGATTGTATCCCCGGGCTTATACAGAGCTACTAAATCTAGCAGTTGTTAGGACTAGAATAATTGTAGGACTTCTGACTGAATAATAGTCATATGAACTCGTTGCAGCAGAATTGCCAAGAAGAAGAAACGGAACACGTACTATGTCAGAGCGAACATACAAGCTTATATTTCCACTCCTGAAAGAAGAAAAGCTCAGACTTGAATGATTCACAAATTAACAATGCTTTTGGATCTGATAAAAAGTTTAACGAAGAGCTATAGTTAATAATGGAAATGACATGATAAACCAGCATTGGTCACGGTGCGTACGGTCGTATAGAAGTTCCTTTTAACCTTAGCCTTACTTGCATATCATCAAAGAATGGTCTAAGAAATGGAGAGACTAAATCTAGAAAATTCGGCAGTGGTCCTATTGAAATATCTGCGCATGGTTGAAATATCTATCCTAGAAATGAGTCAGGATGATGTAACCGATGCGGTAGTCATGTCAGTTGTTGTCTTGCTGCTGTAGCTAATATTTCCGTCATGCTCTATGTGAGTGATGAGACCTCATTGATGTATCTTCACTCTGCCCTAAGCAGTTACCCTTGCTTATAATACAGGTGCTGTTGCCATTGGATGTTGCCTGGAAGAAAAACCATTGCTGAAGCAGTGACAGTGTTCAAAATCTTTGTATGAATTTTTACGGGTCTGTTGCTGAACAAATCGTCAGTACCAAGCGTGTTAAAACAGCGAAATTATGCGGACCAGTTAATTTAAATAGCTCACCAATATGACGTTTTATTTTCTATGAAATAATTGAAACACCATGGTGACCAGATTGTTTTCATTCGGGATGAACCCTCGTGTAACCTTCTTATTTATTGTTTTGTTCTCTACCTAAAATGTGTCCCGTGTAAAACTGGATGTTAAACAATGATTTTGACAGTATTTTTATTACCATGGTAAGCATTTTTTATTGTTTATCCCTCTCACACAATCTATTTTTTAAATATGTATGTATAATTTTTGTGAATGTTTTTATTTTCAGATTGTTCTTCATAATTTCTAAATTGATAAGTTTCCTAGAAAAATGGATCTAATAAACAATATAAGGTATATTGTAACATATACAATTAGATATTAATGGTATGTATAACATTAGGAAGGGTAGGGGATACAGCGATAGCATATTTTTACTCATTTTAGAAATAACGTACAAAGCAGCCGTTTAGGGATGGTTAGGTTACTCGAATAGAAGTATCCTTGTTTTTACTTCTAATTTTAATTGTAATTAATTTTATGTGATATTTTAGATAAGAACCAACCAATCTTACATTTTCTTTTTTTTTTAATTCTCAAATTAAAAGAAGAATCATTTATTTTTATATTTAATTCTGTACTTTGGAAGACAATTATTTTGATTATGCTGTAATATACAGGACTGTTTTATTGTATATAGTACTTTATACATATCTCGTCTTGGGTTTATTTGTGTGTATTGAAACTAATGTATTTATTAGGGTGATTATATACTACAAGAGGGCTGATGGAGGAATATCAATTAGATTAATTATTACAATGGAGGAATGGCAAGTTCACTGTGAGTGAATGGCATGTAATGAGGAAAGTATGTATTTAAGAATGAGTGAGAGCGTGAATGGGTTTGGATCTTGAGACTGATTGCGTTGGGGCTGAAATGACCTAGTTGTTTGATAGCCCCTGGATCTTCAGTGGCTGGATAGACAAACCATGGTCTCACCCCAGATGTTGGCAGTCTAGATGATTCTCTAGGCCTGCCGGTTATTCATTGTAAAGTACAAAAGCTGGAATTGCCAGTGGACTGCGAGAAGCTCAACTCTGTCCATGGGTGGGCGGATTTGGCTTATATAAATCAGTAATCACGTTTTTATATTGATAATTGATTAAAGATAATATAACTATTTTTTCCCCCCCAGTGTGAGCTCAGTTTTGAATCGAGACAGTAAGACTTTCGGCAAAAAGAATATAATTGATGGAAGCAGTGATACTTGTTGGCATTCTGCGGAGGTAAATTCAATTAATGTATTTTAAATTAAGGCATTAATTGAGTTCTTGTGTGTGTGCTGAATTAAATTGTACACAGTTTTAGACTTTAACGAAAAACTTTCATTTCTAGGGTACACCACAGTGGGTAAAATTCAGTTTCAAAGAGGATGTGACGATAAAAGGTTTTGAAATTCAGTTCCAAGGAGGCTTCGCTGGAAAACAGTGCACCTTTAAAAATCATACTGCTCACAATGAAGAAGAACAGTTCTATTCTGAAGACATAAACGGTGTACAGAAATTCTTACTGACGAAACCAATGGCTGGGAATATTTTTTCATTCCATTTTGAAACCAGCACCGATTTTTTCGGCCGGATTGTGATTTATGGTGTAAAATTTCTTTTTGATGACAGTTAAAATTCGACAAAATGTTGTGATCGCGGAGAAGACATTTTCCAAATTATTTTGTAATAAAACTTGTTTGTTGGTTTAAAACAATTCTGTTCATGTTTGTAAATAGAAGAAGAAGAAGAAATTTATTATTAAACATAAGAAACAGTTTATAATATATTTACAATAAATTTTAAGCATGGCAAAAAGCCATGATTGTGAACAGTCATATTCTTTACAGTTATTACTGTGATTATTGTACTTTTTAAAAACAAGACTGCATCCAAAGGACCGAAGATTACGGTTTACAAGTAAGTACTGAGGCCTATAGCACTTGACACCTCAGAAGCTTGGGTGCTTTCTCAAATGTAGGAATTGCATGTAAAGTCCTTAGTTCCTGCCTGCTGAGAGATAGTTAGCTTTTTGTTTTCCTGTTTGAATCTTATGAAAACATTGGGAGACCTAGTGTACATTTAAAATGAGGAAATTTTTAAAAGATTGTAAAGTCATTTAAAATATATATTTACAACTACACCTCATATGTAATATCTATACAATTACAGATTGCTATGTGTTATCAGGTAATCTCTATTAGGAGACACCTGCCGAAAGAGGACAAAAATAGAGACATGACAGTCCCTTAGCAACAGGTTCCACATTACATATATTTCTGCTGAATGGAGTAGTAGCATCACATTTGTCAATGTTCGGGGTCATAACAGTTTCTGATGCACCACATTTCTAGGTTAATCAGAAGTCTGTAGATGAGTACAATCTAGTGGAAAATTTTTAGTGATTGATATCAAGAACAGATGAAATAGATATTAAATAGGAGGGGTCAGCTTTATGTTAAAGTAAACAAAATGCAGTTGAGATGACTTTTATTCAGTTTTGCAAGCCTCACGAAGGAAAAAAAAACTAAAATTGTGCAGAGTGTGGTAAATGTTGTCCAGTGTTCCTCCAGGTATCGCAAGAAGTATTTTCTCTAGCCTGTCTACAAGGCCACAAATGGATAATTTCAAAGGCTGGGAAGAAATAAAAACAAACACACTTTTTGCAGAAAGTCAGCCATTTACCATCTCGAAGAGTTACTGCAGGCAAGAGATTTCACTGGATGTTCCATTCTGTTCAATGAAATAGTGCTACATTTATCAAAGTTCAGGGTCATGAGAGTTGTTGATGCACCACATTTCTAGGTTAAGTAATGTAGCCCATAGGTAATTATAATCTCGTCAAAAATTTAAGTATCTTGAAGAACAAATGAAAAATAGGGCGTGTCAAGGTGTGAACCTTTTGGATTGCCTAAAAAAGGTATAAAAGAAAAGCTAAGAGAAATAAGGGCCAGCTTAATGCAAAACTAAACAAAATTCAGTGGGAATGAATTGTATTCAGTTTTACAGGCCTTGTCCAGGGCCACTAGGAATCGCAAGAAGTTTGTAAATTCTCTAGCCTGTCTGCCAGGCCCAAACTGGATAATTTTGAAGGCAAGGAAGAAATACATAAACGCAATTTTTGCAGAAAGTCATGCAGAATTAATGTAGATGAGTACAATGTGGAAGGTTTTAAGTGAGTGTCATCGAGAACAGTTTAAATACACTGATGGGCAAAAAATTCCATCCAACTAATTTTCTCAATAAAATAAAATTCTGCTCTTAATTTGTCTCATTGTTTTTATCAATAAATATTTGTTTATGCTGTTCGTGCGTACGGGTTGAATCCTCGAGAGAGACTCGCTGAAGACAGCTGATGTACGTTCGTGTGTACGGGTTGAAACCCAGGGAGCGATTCGCTGAAGATAGCTGTTGTACGTTCGTGCGTACAGGTTGAATCCTCGAGAGAGACTCGCTGAAGACAGCTGATGTACGTTCGTGCGTACAGGTTAAATCCTCGGGAGAGACTCGCTGATGTACGTTCGTGCGTACAGGTCGAAGCCCAGGGAGTGACTGTCTGAAGATAGCGGATGTACGTTCGTGTGTACAGGTTGAAACCCAGGGAGCGACTCGCTGAAGATAGCTGATGTACGTTCGTGCGTACGGATTGAATCTTCGGCAGAGACTGACTGAACGCTGAAGACAGTTGTACTTCGTGCGAACAGTTCGAAAACCAGGCAGTGACTCACTCCTTTTACGAAGGATTGCTGCGGACCTGTTTCTCCCTCCAGCGTCGTGATCCTTACAAATTTTCCGTATTTATAATTTTTTTAAAATGATCAATTTAAAATAACAAATGACATGATTTTCCAACCAACCATTAATAAATAAAAATGTTTACATTGGCGTAAACAGGTATGAAGCTTGTAATTTTTTCCACAACACATCATGCGTTGCCTATCCTCGATGAAATCAGCGACCATCCTATTCTAATGCACAATAATGCCCGTCCACATGTCGCTCACATAGTACAAACGTACCTTTAACAGTATAACATCAGGGTGTTTTCTGGCCAGCCCGTTCTCCACACTTGAACTCTATCGGACATTTATGGGATAACCTCAAAAGACGAGAGCACGTCCATCATTTCCAGATTCACTCCACCAGCTTGAAAGGACTCCTCGCGAAGAATGGGCTAACCTCCAGCAAAGAGACTTTTCCAGACTGGTAGAAAGTATGCCGAGGAGTCTTCGAGATGTAATTAAGGCAAGAGAAGGAAATACGCGATGTTGAAATGTTAATTAAAAATCTAAAACAAAATTCAAACAAATTTTATCTGTCCGTATTTTTTTTAAATTTTTAATTTTTTTAAATTTTCCTTAGCAATTTAGATTTTTTTTTGTGACAAAGACTCAATTATTAAACGTTAAAAAACGTGAAACTTTGATTAATATATAAAAATATATACAAATCAAGTTATATTACAAGTGGGCGGAATTTTTGCCCGTCAGAGTAAATGTTAATCAGAAAGGGATCGAGATGGGAACCTTGTGGGACCCCTAGAAAGCAATAAAAGAAAAAAGTTAAGATAGAAAGACGGGCCAGCTTAATGTTCCACAAAACAAAATGCAGAGGAGATGAATTTTATTCAGTTTTACAGGTCTCACGAAGCAAAAAAACGAAAATAGTGCAGAGTGGGGCAAATTTTCTCCAGCGCCCTTCCAGGAATCGCAAGAACGTCATAAATTCACTAGCTCGTTTGGAAGAACCCGATTTTCATGCTTTGAATAAAATCGAAAAACCACACTTTTTGCTGAAAATCGGCCGTTTATAGGATTGAAGAGTATTCTGGAGTCGATGGGGAAATTCGTGTCTCATGTCGGTGTGGTGATTGATTAAAAAGCGTCAGCTGACATCCGAGCCCCGTCGTCGAGCCCCCTCTCGTCTTCATCAGGCAAGCTTTTTGAGCCGGATCCCTGTCCGAAAACCGACTCTGTCGTCCGAAACCCGATTCTTTTCACCTCGACGAGCGGCTGGAAAATCGTTCATCCCGACCCGAACCCAACAGATCCGAAACGGTAGGAATCAATGGCCGGCTCTCCGCTCCCTAGGATGCACTAATCTCGACCGGCCCTTTCCAGCGTTTCAGTCTCTGCCCTTCTTCTGCCGGAGTTCGTCGAGTAGAGGAAATTCGTTGAAATGACTTCCGGGAAGGACACGATGGGGTAAGTTAATTTGACAAAATTATGATAGCACACCCATTATTTATTTACTTTACTCCCCGCCTGGAGAAATGATAACAGATAACAAGGGTGTAATCGTCCCAACTCCGTGCTTTACAATTGAATTAGAAATTTTTTCCTTTTTACATTTCCCTGCTTGTCTAAAACACAATCATTTCCCCTGTTTTCATATCTTTTTAGCGTTTTTAATAGACCAGACATTTATATTGTTTAATATAACCTCGCAGTTACCTCCAGCAAGGAATTTTATTTATTTATACATTATCTTTTACTTTCTTTTTTTTCTCTCTTTTTTTTTTAAGAAAATCATTTCCCATTGCTTTTATTTTGTATTTTTTCATTTAGGGAGCAGCCGATATTTACGTGCAAGGCCCATGTCTTTCATATCGACCCCAAGACGAAAAAGTCTTGGATCCCAGCATCGGCGTCGGCTGTGAGCGTTTCCTTCTTTTACGATTCATCCAGGAGCCTCTACAGGATAATCAGCGTCGATGGCGTCAAGGTATTTTTTAAACGATATTCACACAGAATCGGGATTTAAAAAAAAATTAATAGGGATAAAATTTATTCTTGACAATAAATTCCACCAACTTCGCATCAATTAAAAACAGATAAAAGTTCAACCGCCTTTCAGATAACCTTACGTTCAAAAATAACCTTTTTTCTTTTGAAATTAATATCTTTTTAATAAAAAAGTTTTCAAAATAAAAACCTCTCATTTTCAACGAAGATTTAGGATATTTTGATGTAAGCGAAATAGGTTCCAAGCTTACATTTATAAAAAACCCAGACAAACCGTATGATACGCCTACTAGCTGCATAGAAGCTTACTAAGTTTGGTCAGTAAAATTTTCGAACGTCTCGTACCTACCAGATTGGACAAGCACATCACACAAATGCACATTATGGAAGAAGAGCAGTTCGGTTTTCGCCTGGGATTCTCGACAACTGCTCATCTGGCTAGGGATGGTTAGGGTAATCATCCCCCCTAACCATCCCTAAACTTATCCCAAATGACACTTGCCACGATCAGTGTCCACAGCATCCTCAGCACCTCTCCGGTATCTCAATTATCAACTGTCGACTTGATCCAATGAGTTGCAACAGCTGGTCCATGCTGGCTCAGGCTGGCTGAGTCCCCTGTAGAGTCTCAGATAGGGTGTGGCTGCTTCTCTTCCGGTTCGATTCCTGGAGTTGACTGTTCATGGCCTCCGGTGAGATGGTTTGAGCCCTTGGTCTAGATTGACTTTTGTTTTCCGAATCATCCTTTTTATACCAGCTTCTCTACTGGAGTAAGGGTGGAAAGGAAAATTAAAAGTCAGGGGAGTTCCCATGCCATGGGTGGGCCAGCAAAGAAGGTGTGCACATGGTTGACGCGACCCCGGTTTACGATGTCCCTCGTCGCTACATATTTTTGGCTCTGTGATGACAACCTTTCAGCACTATATAACTCGATGTGAGTTATTTAAATTAAGTTTTCTTTTTATCTAAGGTCTTTGTTGAGATAAAACAAATTAGTGGCACGAGCGGGATTTGGACCCACGACCTTTGGCTCAAGACGCCACTGCTCTAACCACTTGAGCTATTGTGACTTCGATCCACTCGTACACCAACTCCTTATCCCAACCTACAACCTTTCAAATTTTCCCTCTTTTTGCCATTTTTCAAATGTTGTAATCAGGATTACAGGCACGATAGCTCAAGTTTTCACCCGGAAACTCCTAGTCTCCATTCTTATTTTCTTATAAGTGCTCCTTGCCCAAGGAAGTCCCACGTGAATAAGGTCTGGTACGAAAAGATAGCCTACCCTAATATTTTGGGTATATGTTACATTTTATTGTTTTCATTAATTTGTTTAATCATAAATAACATTTTTTGTTATATTTTAAATGCATCTTGTAAAATGTATTAAATAAATACACTACTTAAATGTATCTGCCAGTAAAGTATAACTGCCTGGAAATAATAGCAAATATTAATTTTGAAGTGGGAGAAAAAGAGCACTTTTTTTTGCTATGTCTAGCTTTAAGGAAGCCTGATGAAGAGGTAGGCTTGCCAGCAAGCAGCCTGGCAGACGACCCCAGGGCAGGCAGTCAGGCTCTACATTCTTATTGTTCTATATTTGTTCTATTTTACCAGTCAGTAAGGTGGGGGAATAAAAACCATTTACTTGGCGAGATGCCCCCCCTCATCAGGAGGTTGAAGGTGGGTCTCATGTCGCACGGATTTTAATTTTACTTTAGATAGTGAGTTTGTTGTTTGACACGGACCTATACAAGGCACACACTATGTTAGCATTTTCCACTTGTCCCAAAATTACACTGCTTGTAGTGGGGAGGGGTATATCACTCCTGAATCAGTGCTTGGCTACTATGAACTCCCATAGGGGGTATGATCAATGTTATGGCCGTGGTGACTCCATCACATTCACACGATGGGGATTCAGTCATGCCTATTTTGTTCAGGTCGATTATGGTTCATTCAGAGTCTTGTCCATGGGATGATCAGTTTCCTAGGGCCATTCATTTTCGCAAACGACTGTTTGGGGGGGGGGGATAGCACATCTTTAGAATGTTTTTATTAAAACTTAAATAAAAAAAATTATAAAAAGCACTGAAAATGAATGACAAAATAATTCTAATGCCCTCACCTTTCTCCAGCTCAGTTAGCATTTGATATAGAAGGTCATAGAGGTGATGGACATCTTGAAAAAATATCGTTTTCACTAGATGAGGAATATTGTCCAGATTGAATACAAATTAATCACTTGGTATTGCCTCTGAGATCCTTGTTAATTGATTGTCTATTAATTCTAGATACAGCATTCTGATCATTGTACCAGGACCACAAACAATTTCTGTTTTCTTTCTGTAACCAATGCCACCCTGTACCACCACACTTCCTCCACCTACTTGCCTTTTTGAAAATACCATTTCTTCTTTCAGTGGGTCGTGTAAATAATATGCCCAACCATCAGGGCTGTTGAGGTTAATTTTTTATATATCTGAAAATAGGGTCTTTATCAATTCCTTCTTCCAGTAGATATGGTCAAAGGCGAACTGTTTATGGCGTTCCTTATTATCTTTATTTAGCCATGGTATCTGTTTTGTTTTCTTACTCTGGTTGTGCGTGGCATCATTTATGGCCCTCTTTACATTTTTTTGTTGGTCGACACTCCAGCTCTTTGAGCGATTTACCAAGCTGCCAAACAGGAATTTGAAGGGCTCCTTATCTAGGGGTGTCGGCCACAACGGTTTGGTAGGCGTTGACACCACTCTCATCATTGTAAGGTTAAAAAGTTCTTTGTCGGGTCGGAGCCATGTTAACATTATCATTTTTGAACCAAAAGTGAAAAGTGAATGTAATTTAATACACAAACGAAAACAATATCAGACAGAAAATAAGATTGAATGTGGGAAGAGAAGTTAACAAATGGAAACACTCTAATTTAACAACTCAATAATTGTAAACATTATTTTGAATGAGGGATCTCACGATACAACTTTAATTGACCAACAAAAGTTGAAAGTGAATTGAATCATTTTTTTTGTTCACACGTTTCCAATAAAATTTGATCATATTTTGACATGCAAACCATTGAGCTTTCGTATTCATGGTTTTAACCGCCTTAATTTTGTTCTTCAAATCAGCAATAGTAGGGATGGGGATAAGAGAGGCGGCCATAAGGCCTACTGCACCTCGACCTAAATAGATCTGTTGTGCTCCTCTGTTAATTATAACTCATTGGCCAGCTTCAGGCTAACCACTAACCAGCCTCCACAGCTTGCCAGCGGTTCCTTGGTGTAGGATCTTGCTTGTGGTTTTTCTTGTCCTAGTTGCAAGAACCTGCTCCTACATAGACCTTCACAGAAACATAGAATGTGTTCGGCGGTGGCGGTCTCCTCCTCTTCCTGGCAGTATCTGCACAGTGTTTCTTCTGAATGTAACCTATCCGGTAAATGTGCTTTCTTAAGTAGCAGTGCCCCGTCAGGAGTCCAACCAGAATCCTGGTTTGGTTGCGGTTGCCTTCCAGAGTTCTTTTGTAAGTTTTGCGGATGGTCCTTCTATGAATCTCTTCGCGTGCCTCGTACCTGTGGTATTGTTCCACCAGGTTTTGGACTCATTAAGGATCCATTTTAAGATGTATCCCCTTTTGTGGCAGGCTGGTAGGCCCCAGTAGGGTTCTGGGCCCATAGAGTCCATGTTGGCTCCCTTTTTGGCCAGCATGTCAACCTTGCCTCTATGCCCCGAATGTCCAAGACCCATGCCAGGATCAGGCCATTAATGTCGCTGACTTCCGTCAGGGCCTTCATGCATTTCCAAACACTCTTTGCCTTTGCCTCGCATGAAGCTAAGGCCCTGAGAGCTGCCTGGCTGTCAGAGAAAATGGCTATCTTCAGGGAATGTATTCCTAGCCTTTTTATTTCTCTGGCACATTGTTCGATCGCTATGATTTCAGACTGGAAAATTGTAGCATACTTGCCTAGGTTTACTGACAGTTCAGTCTTCGGATTCATCCTAAAGACCCCAGCTCCTGTACCTTGTCGGTTTTGGAGCCATTAGTATACCAGTAGGAATTTACCTTTAGTGGTGTTCCCTTGGCCCATTCTGGTATCAGTACTTTGTACTACTTGGTGAAATTGTACTTTGGAGTAGTGGCATCAGTTGGCATACCTAAAATGGCATCTGCTCCCTCAGTTTCCATTGTTTATTCACATGGCCTATCCTTGCATATGGTTGTCCATTTATGATCCTGTGGTCTGCTGCTCTGGCTTCTCCTTGGATTAAAATGTGAAGTGGTAGGGAGGTTTAACAAAACTTCCAGGGCTGCAGTTGGCATTGTGCTCATGGCACCAATGACACTGAGATACGCTTATCTTTGGGTGCCACTTAGCAGCCTTATTTGTCCAACACACCACCAACCCATATGTCAACATTGGTCTTAAAACACAGGTGTATAGCCATAGGGTCATTTTGGGGTTTAGACCCCAGTTCTTGGTGTAGAGCCTTCTGCACCTCCCCCAGGCAATTTTCGCTCTTTGGGTAGTGTGAATTTTTCATTTCTTTTCATACAATGTAGCATTCTAGGTAAATTTTTCTTTACAAAAAAGGATATCTTAGTATCTTAACAGTCTCGTAATTAACTATTTTATTTATTAACTTTTGTGTTTTATATACAGACCTGAACTTCAAAATAGAAAACTTTCCTTAATAAAAGAAAAGAGTGCCAAGTAATGAAATAACACATTTTTTTCCATCTGGAAAGGTTAAAAATTGGGAAGTGCTCTATTCAAGGATTCATTGAAATAAACCACGAGTGTAAGTAAACACGAGTTTTGACAATATCAACAGCTTCATGCTCTTTATGCTAAATCAAACACAAGCGTGAATGTGTTATTAGTCTCAGCCTTTCTATTTTACATGTTGGGCAGGTTTTTAAATTTACTCAAATCTTACATTTTCCGTGGTGAATGTTCTCTTAATATGCGGTGTAATCTGCTTGTTAAACTTTTCAGTCTGTAAAAAGAGTCTTATATTGTGTGATATTTTGGGATTTTTTTTTTCTTTCTTTTAAAAACATCAGATCAAATAATGTGCTGTATCTGTCTTTGGCATTTTCAAAACTTCTGTTTCTAACTTGTCAGATGACATAGAGCTGCTTTTTAATAAGTCTCAAAACAAATAGATTCACAGTTGGAAGAAGCCTAGTCCTGTAGATTAATTTAATATGGAATGATACTACAGCAATCCTTTAAAAATTAAAAAAAAAATTAAGTAATAAAAAAAACATGTCTTTTATTACATAGTACATTCAGTTTTTACAAGGCTTAAGTCACACATCATGTCTAAGTTCTTGAGAGTTTTTCAAATACTTCTGATTATGTTATTTTAACTTCAGTCCATTGTTTTTACATTTTCTTTTGCTATCCTTCCTTCAGGGCCTTTCCTAAATCATTTTTATTTGTCTTGCCATATACAGCTTTTTTCCACTAGATCAACCCTTTTTAACTCCAGATTTACGATTTTAATTTCTAATTAAACTTTTTTAACTTCAAATTAACCCTATCTTTAAAGCATTAAAAAATTTAGGAGATGGTATGATCGTGTAAAGTAAAATTCTTGTATATTTAAAATACACTCAAATTCAACAAAAAAAGTTCTCATATTTTGTTGTTTACTTCAAACTATATGTATGTATTTTTATCCTTATAGTAATTGCAACGTACTTATCTTAATGTAAACCAAATTAAACAAGATCAGAAATTCATGAGTTTTAATAAGAAATATTTAATTATGATGGTTTGAAAGAAAATTGACCAAAACACTGAAAAATCATTTAGTAATTAGAAAAGCTTAAAATTTACTAGCAAAAAATTTTTTTTTAGTCTTTGAGTGTACAATTCTTAGAATTTGAAGTTAAACTAAGCTAAAAACTTAAAATCCACACCAAAATTAATTACAATTAAAATTAAATATAAAATCAAATTATTATTTTTTATAAGCTTATAAAATAATAATTCATATATAGTTGTGATTTTTGTTTAAATAAAAATTAAATGAACTATAAAACAAAATTTCATCTTTTAAAAAAACCCTCAAATTAATAGAAGAATCATTTGTTTTTATATTTAATTTTATATATTTTAATTAATTTTCATGTGGTATTTTGTATAAGAACCCATATTCAATTTTAAAAAATTCACAAATTAAATTAATAATCCTTTATTTATTTCAATTAATTTTGTAATTTTAATAATAATTAATTATGGCCTTATAAGAGCCCAGTTATTTTACAACAGTTTTTAAACAAAAATTTGCAAATATACAGGAATATTACTTTACATGCTAATATTTCATGCTATCTAAGTTTTTTTTATTGCTTTAAAGAAAGTGTTAAGTTGAAATCAAAAAGGGTTCATTTGAAATTAAAAAGCGTTCATCTCAAGTTAAAAAAGGGTTAATTTGGTGGAATTAAAAAAGGTTAATTTGAAATCAAAAAAGGTTCATTTGAAGTTAAAAAAAGGGTTAATTTGGTGGAATTAAAAAAGGTTATGTGAAATCAAAAAAGGTTCATTTGAAGTTAAAAGAAGGGTTCATTTGAAATTAAAAAGGGTTCGTCTGAAGTTAAAAAAGGGTTAATTTGGTGGAATTAAAAAAGGTTAATGTGAAATCAAAAAAGGTTCATTTGAAGTTAAAAGAAGGGTTCATTTGAAATTAAAAAGGGTTTGTCTGAAGTTAAAAAAGGGTCAATTTGGTGGAATTAAAAAAGGTTCATTTGAAATCAAAAAGGGTTCATTTGAAATTTTAAAAAGGTTAATTTAAAGTTAAAATAGGTTATTTTGATGTGAAAAAGCTATAAGTTTAGGTATTTATGATGAGTCTTTGTTTCTAAGTTATGTGTAAATTACAATTAATTAAGGTTTTTAGTTGAGATAAAAAAGTCAATGGCACAAGCGGGATTCGAACCCACGATCTTCGGCTAGATACGCCGCTGCTCTACCACTTGAGCTATCTCCAAGCTATCTCCACTTGGGACCACAACTTCCCATCTCAACCCCACCTTTTTGAATTTTCCCTCCTTTTTGCCATTTTTCAAAAATTGAATCGTGAAGATCACGTCAGAAGATCGTGAGTTTGAATCCCGCTCGTGCCATTGACTTTTTATCTCAACTAAAAACCTTAATTAATTGTAATATATTAATTGGTCAAGCGGACCACGAAATTAGTGAAGGTATGTGTAAATTATAATTTTTATCTAATCTACAATGTTCATATCAGTGAGCAGAGTTTTATTTAAATTTAGGAAAATTACAGTTGGTTTTTAATTTATTATTTAATTTTTTGTAATCTTGGATTATTCAGTTATTGTTGTATGGGAAATAATCCAGGATTTATAGGCAATGTGTGTTTTCTAGCCGTAATCCAAAATTGTCCAAGTAATGCTTATTTTAATGTGAACTTATTGTGTGATATGTGGCGCTAATGTTCATTTATTTGTTTATATTCAAACTAAAAAAAATCTTGTGAAAAAAAATGATTGTTTCCATTTATGTTTTATATTAATTTCAGGCTGTTATAAATAGCACCATAACGCCCAGTATGACATTTACGAAAACATCACAGAAATTTGGCCAATGGTCCGATATACGCGCAAATACAGTGTATGGTCTAGGATTTTCATCGGAGGCTGAACTTACTAAAGTAATTATCCCTGTTATAAACATACTGCAATCCGACTGTTAACTGTGTTTTGTTAGTTTATTGAACAGTTTCATGAGGTGAAAGAAGCGACGCGGACGGTTAGTAATAGATCTGCTAATGGCACTATTACAACGACACCTGTTACCAGTGCCAATGCAAGTCCTATAACAACCAGAGCGAGCGGAGGTGCGTTGAGCGATGCAGGGCCACTTCTCGACCCGCCATCTCTTCAACCGGCATGCACATCTCCTGCGCCTATTTCATCGACTTCAGACGAAGGCCCTCATCACAGATCAAATATGTCTCAAATACCAGTGAGTCGATTATTATTTTTGAAGAACAATTGCTCAGATGTGTTGTGTATCATTTTAATAACTTTTGGTTCTGCTTGATTATATAGCCAGGTGAAAGCCCAAAACATCAACCTGCAGAAGCGAAATCTCCTGCACCCGGCCCCACTTCAACTGCTGAAGTCCAGTTGAAATATGAAAATGACCGACTGAAATTAGCTTTAGCACATAGGTGAGTTTATTGTTATTTGCAAGGTTTATCGTTTGCTATAGAAATATTAAATTATTAAATAAGAAATAAGCTGTGAATAACTTTAAACCTATGTAACCTGTTTCATTTTTTTTAACAAATTCCTTTTTAGTTCTGCAAATGCCAAAAAATGGGAAGTTGAATTAGCAACCTTGAAGAATAATAACTTACGGCTCACTAGTGCACTTCAGGAAAGTACAGCAAATGTAGACGAATGGAAGCGTCAGTTACATTCTTATAAAGAAGAGAATCAACGACTAAAATCTAAATACATTGAACTAGAAGCAGCAAAAGGTATTATTTCATTTTCTATGATATTCTATTCACATACACTTTTTTATGGTTTCCTTAACAAATGTTTAAATTATTCACACACAAGCTTACATTGTTGCATTAGATTTTTGCTTGTAACAAATCAAACAGTATGCAAATTGTTATGATTTGATCATTTTTAAGGTGGCACGGAGGCAGCAGGCGAATTAAGGAAGGAATTGGCTACACTACGCTTGCGGGTAGAAACTTTAGAAGCAGAATTAAAATCTAAAGATGATGAAATGAAGAGAATGTCAACTGGAAAGCAACCGGCGGAAGACAAATGCAAAGTATGAAGTTATTGCCATATTATTTATGATAGGGTTTTTTTCTCAAAGTCTGTCTATGATCACCTTCACTGCTTATTTATAAAAAAATATTTCTCCGAGCCCTAATATTAACTAAAGATGTCCTTGCTCCGTTTGTAGGTTCACCAGTTTTGGATTTTTTCACTACCTCAGCTCAGTCATTTGAATGAATACTTAGTTTCAGCTCCAGTTAATTTCTCTCTCTCCCTCCTATTTTTTAATATATAAAATGTTTATGTGTGTTTGTGTTGTGTCTATTGTGTAGTTGACAACCTGAGGTACAAACGAAAGGCTAGCATATAAGGATATCGATGTAGTATACGTATAAAAGCAGAGAGTTATTAATGAGATAAAGACACTCAAATGGTTGCAGTTTAAAACCAAATAAGCATAAAATATCAGAAAAAGGAGGAAAACACACAGAGGGCTGGTTGGCAGTGTTGTCCTCAGCTGTTTGTTGACCCATAAACCTCCCACATATTATATACATATATAATAATAGGTAGCCATTATCCCAAAGTAAAAAAGACATATATTTGAATGGTATTTCAAAAAAGAAGAGATTTTATAAATACTCTTCTATCATGAACAACAAAACCATTTAATTTTATACTTGTGTTCACAGACTACTTGCATCTAGAAAAAAAAAAAATACCATCTATAGATTTATTAGAATAGTTGTATATAGTGTTTTGCAGAAATATTAAATTTGTGTATGGAATAATACTATTTTTTGTGTATGTATAAGGAGTTAGAATCGTTCTCAGGCTAATCAATTTTATATGGCTACCATATATTTTGCCAATCACATTTGGAAAGCCTTAGACCGAAAATAGGCCACTGATATTTTTTCCCCTCAGTTGGCCTTTTCACAATGTCTGGTGTCTTGGAAAAACTGTCGGAGTCCGAGAAGGAAAAAAGCATTCCAACAGAGTTAAGAATCCGAGATCAGTCAATGTTCGGGCATGCGCAGTCGCATTCACAAATTAGTTGGCAACTGGTTTGTGATTATGTGTTGGAACAAACCTTACCTTTAAATTAATAAAAAACACCTTAACTAATCTCTTTTCAAATTGTGTACAATGTATGATTGCTTCAAAACACAAGAGGTACAAAATTGAATCGTTGAAAAAACACTACAAACCTACATTACAACCCAAAACTTTTGATTCTGTGTTCAAAATATTTTCTTCTAAATGAGAATTTGACATCAGTCAGTCTATTACATATAACTATAAATGTTTCTATTTCAGGCGTTACAACAAGAAAATGCAGAATTACAAGCAGGAGTGTCATTAGCACAAGCTCAGCTTGAAACAGCACTAGCGGCACACGAATCTCAACGAAGGGTAATGGAAACTCTTAATGGCCAATTGGCGATGCGAATTCAGGAGCTTGCAGCTATCCATAGAGAGGTAATTAAAAAGTTTACACTCAAGTAACTTTCAAATAGTGTTGATCAAATTTAGTCCCTTTATCCACAGTAAAAATAGAAGACTTGCTTCTCTATTTATTGACAGAACCCATATCTATCCACTATAAGTACTCACCTTTTTCCGTACTGTCTGCCACAAATTGCTATTGACTTTATAATCTTAATAATTTAAGATAATCCTGCTTTACCCTCTACACACTTCTTGAACATTTGATGTACATGTTGAATGAATAATTTATTGTTTGTGATTGTATGGTTTGTTAGGAATCCAGATTAAGATTTATCAAAATTAAAACTTAATTCCTTTATGATTATTTAACTAGTTTTGTTTTAATATCTAGATTTAATTGTCAATGTTCAAAATTTAACTAAATCCTTCTCACGCTTCTTTTTTTAAAGATTTCTAAATGTTCTTTATTTTTTATTTTTTTAATAAGTGGTTTGGTAAAATTCTCTTTCTTGTAAGAGATGTATGTAACAAATGTGGGTAACACAACCTGTAAATGATTTGTGAAGGAAAATTGTGTTTGGAAAAATAGCACTGCCTGCCTGCCTGCCTGACACTATCTGTGCATAACTAACCTAATTGTTTTGAGTAGTAGCACAACTTAAAAAAAAAAATACTACCACATTTCATGTCCTGTTTTACATAGAAATTCGTGCGTCGCAATCACATATTTTCTCCATGTCATGGAAAAACATTGCACCATGGATAGGTAACCTAACCCATCCCTAATCTAGCCTTAACCCCAGCCCTACCTAAACTAATCTGTATCTAACCCTAACCTTGCTTAAAATAACCTGTCCCTAACCCCCAACCCCAACCCTATTTTTCCTATTAACTAAATATTAACCTCTTTCTGGCTTCGCCGGTGTTTGTTTTCTTTGGTGTGGACTTCCCACTACCTAATATCATCTGCAACTCAGGTCCAATTGTGTACCTTATGACTTGGCAGGGTTAGTAACTTTTGATTAGTTACTCAATAATCAGAATCATCAGACAAGCTTCACTCTCTGTCCATATACCTGCAGACTATGGATAGTGGGGACCTCAAAGTAGTTAGGGCAATGGTGAGGAGCATTCTCGGGATTATTTAATCCTGAGACCCCCTGATGGTCTTTTTAGAATGCTCAGGTTTGGACCCTCATGCCCAACCACGACATCAGCTGCTTAAACAAATGTTTCTGGTGTATTTCCATGTAGGCTTCCTTTAATACCCCATATTTCCACGCCTTGAAGTCTGTTACTCAATCCAATGTGAACACTACATAAATGAACCTGTTCCTAACCCTAACATAGACCTAAACTAACCTATACCTAACCCAACTCTGCCTAACCTAATCTGCCCCTGACCTCAGCCTAAACAAACTTTATCTGTCCCTAACCCCAACCTAAACTAGCCTGTATCTAACCCCAACCCTACCTAATCCAATCTGTCCCTATCCCTACTTCTGACTTAATATATCCCTTACCCTACCCGGCCTCATATGTCCCTAACCCTAACTTAAACTAACCTGTATCTAACCCTAACCGCAGCCCTTCCTAACCTAATCTGCCCCTAACTCTAACCTCAACCTAAACTAACGTGTATCTGACCCTACCTGACTTAATCTGTCCCTAACCTAACCAGTCATAACCGTAACCCCAACCTTACCTAAACGAACCTGTATCTAACTGTAACCCCAATCCTACTTAACCTGTGTCTAACCCTAACCCCAGCCCTACCTAACCTAATCTGCCCCTAGCCTTAACCCCAACCTAAACTCACCTGTCCCTAACCCTAACCCCAACCCTACCTAACCTAATCTGTCCCAAACCCCAACCTAACCTAGCTCAATCCATGCATATTCCCAGATGACATGAAAATGGTCACGCAATAAATTGTATTCCCAGCTCAAAAAAATAACCATTTAAAAAATAATAATATGAACGCAAATACAGTAGCAAGCTGGAGCAACACACAATTTGGGCATGGGCAAGTGTCTTAAGATACTTCAGCTGCTATTCTTTGGAATAGAAAGGAAATTTCATTAATTATATAGAGTTACACCACTTACAGTCAGAGTCAGAAAACCACATATAATATATAATTTCAACATTAGTTGAGTGTGTCTGGCTAATGCAGGAGATTTTATTGTTTTTTTACCATTTCGGAATCTTGTGGTATGGAGTGCCTTCAATTCGCCTTTTCATCTTTCAGCTTCAACTACCTCACATGTTCCAGGAACCTCCGTTCACACACAACTCAACTTTTAACTCTAATTGGTCTTATAGTTAATCATACTGTAATTCTACTTATGGGCACATCCAGTCCTTGATGGAGTTGAGGAATTCTGAATCCTGGTCCATCAACTGAGATTATCAGCCTTCTGTTTTTTCACTTATTTAAAATCAATTGTTTTTTGTTTCAATAAATATACAGTTAACATAGCGTGTTGGGATTTCTGAGCACTTAACTAGTACCTTTCTTAGATAAATTAGCAAAGCAATTGATTGATTTTATATTTTAATTTAACTTTTGGTAACTTAAGTGGTATTTAAGTGTGTTTTACTGTTTATGTTTCCATTAGAGGAAACCAATTTTAAAGCTAGGCTAATATTTGTCATTGCCATATGACTCAACATCTGTGTTTCTTGTACTTGTAAAATATAAAAATTAAATGTGGGCTTAACTAGATGGTATGTGTTGTTAGAATACATAAGAATTATTGAGACAGAGACTTTTCAGCAGGGTAATAATTTCTTCTTTGACATGTAGTGACATGTAGGCTTCTAAAGTGCTAAAAAGTATATGTTTCTATTTAAATGTTTTTGTCATCCTAACACAATAAACAATAATTTTTGTCTTCTATAATTGGCAGCCTTATTAATATTAAATTTTTTAATTAGACCAAATGTTTTATTAATTATGGCAATTTTGACAGGGTGCAACTATATTTTTATGTAGGCTCATGTGTCGCTTACTTTATGGAATGGAAAGTTGGACGATTATGACACTGACTGCCTTACTAACAATTAATAGTATTCTGTGTAATATTCGTGCATCAAAAATAAACCTAGAATATAACCGAATCCAACAATAAATTTTTAAAGTTCTTCACTTACAACAGCGTTGAATAGAATAAATAATACATAAAAGTTTCAAAATATTCAGATAAAGCTTTTTAATGATTATTTTGATATTTATTATTTTTTGATGGCTAATATTCCCTTTAATAACAGTTTTCCTCTGAGTTTGGTTTCAAATTAACATTTTTTTATTTCACACCCGACTGCATCTCACGATATCTGAATAACTATTTTTTTATTGTTGGGTCACAGATGTCTTATTGCATAAATATTTAACTGGACATATTAACAGATTGATTCAATATAACTGTCATGTAAAAATAATAAAAAGTGGAAGAAACAATTGGGATAACAAACAATACGAGAATATTGACTGTTACGAAATTCAGGACAATTACTCTAGTCGTGACTGTTGTGGGATGGGCTATGTTTTTAACTCCCCCCCCCTACATTCTGCTTTATTTATTTTTCAAGACTATTTGCTTATTAATTAAAATTACAGTAAAAACTTTTTAAAAATTGGGTACAAAAATTTGATCACAATGCTTGTATTAAGTAATGAGTCCGTAAGACAAAAATATGTTCAGATGTTGGAACATTTAATACAATTGTTAAACCATTTAAATTATATTTGCATGTAATTATAAATAATTCATCATTCATAACTCAGTTTTGTCGTTATGTTTACACTGTTAATCTAAATTATAATTCTCATTTCATAGAAATTTCATTTAGCCGTAATGTTATCCTGTAGTCATTTATTTGGCTACAACATGAGTTCTATTTGACCCCGTGATTTTACTCAAACTATTTGCGTTTGATGTTTACAGATTGCAACAGCTTTACAGACATGAGTAAATCCTCACCTACATATGGCTGCCACCATATCACAAGCGCTAGTTAACTGTATTTTTCAAAAAGTTGAGCGCAAACAACATTGAAATTAATTTTGTCCTTTTTTTAAGGATTGGGAAATACATTCTATGGTACATAAAATATAATGGATTCCTTGTTGGATCAATTGTTGATCAATGTTTATACGTATTTAGTGTGGTGATTGAATGATCGATTATAACCATTATTTTTGGTGTTATCTGGGATCATTTACATTTCTAGGTGTAATACAAGGGACAATTGCATAATAGATTCTTTCAAACATCTTTTATGTAATTATCCAAGAACCTATGACTATACTTTGATTTGAAATATTAGTCCATTGCACGGTTAATTTTTTATTTGTCAAAAAATCTACTTGGAATTTAAAATCGATTCAAAGTCGAAGTAAATTCAACGACTCCAGTAAAACTGAAAAGTCATGGGATATTTTAAAATCATTAAAGCGGTATGGCTGTTGCATCTCATTGCGTTTTCATTATCGACAAAGCGTTGAACAAATGCTATAGGAAATTATTTCACCGAGTTGGGTTTTTTTATTTATTTATTTATTTTTATTTTTTTTAAAATAAAATCATTGATTTTGTGTATTTGGTCAGTTCCTATTATCCAGCTCTTTTTGATAAACGGACAAATCACACTGAAATCAAATAGCATCTTACATAAAAAGTTAAGGTAATTAATGCACGTTGAGACTGAAAAACAGTTGATAATTAATTTTCTGCCTGAATATTTACATTAAAAATAGAAAAAAAAAAATAGAAGAATATTGACCCATTGGCTTTTTTAAAAATATTTATTTTTTCAAGTTTACTGCGTTATTGCTATATTATTCGGCGAAGATAAGAAGGATTATATATTTTACTTTTGAACTTTTCCATAGTGCTTAATTTTTTTTAATTTGTCAAACAGGAAGTTTGTAGTAGAAATTGTGTATCTTGATTTTTTCTATGGTCATTTGTTATGGAAAAGTCCATTTTTTAATTGTTTCTAACAAATTTGATAAAAATAGTATTAAAACAATTAGAGCTTATGAGGCTGTAATATTAGTGAAAACTACATTAAACAAAAGTATTTAATAAAATGAAGTGATAAACTTAAGACATAATAGATATAAGAAGTTAATGGTTTTATTTTATTTTTATTATTTGTTTTTAATTTATTTATCTTACAATATTAGCCAGAGATATAATTTAGAAGGTTATGGTTTTAATTTTATTCTTGGAGAATGGATATTTTGGAGAAAACAAAAATTGGGCCAGGAGCGAAGGTAGGAACTGAACCCGTGACCGGGGGGGTGTCTACGAGCCAGTCGCCTGCCACGGTCCCCGTTATTGAATCTCATTTAAGACAATTTTAAGTCTGTCGTAACATTCAAAACTTGTGTTTGATAATACTTCAGGGAACTGGTAGCAATTTATAAAACATTGATCCTTCTTATCTTAGCAGTATAACAGCAAGGAAATTACATCACATACCACTTGGCTTTATTACAACTTAATTAACTTTATAACAGTTTTTCTTGTTAACAATAAAACAGAACAAGATTTGAACCTATGTCCTAAAAGATATCCAGTATAGAGATTATTTTAAAATATGACCTATGGCTTTTCCTATATAGAAATAAATGTTGAAACAGAAAACAATTAGAATTGACTTTAAAAAAAATTGTATTAAAATACTGTATTAAAAATTCTTGCTTCAATATGACGATTTCCACAATGTTTTACCTCTTGTTGAGTTGCATTTTGTCATGGCTTCTTGGAATAACGCTTTTGGTTCTTTATATTTTGTGAAATTTAATCCCTATTAAAATATTTTTCTTTTTAAACATTTGCAGTTTATAACTGATCATTCCATTTAATGATTACTTAACGATTAATAAGTGTGATTTTAATAATTATACCATGATATTGTACATCAAATGTCAAAATAACTGAGAATTTTGTCCGAACAGCAAAGCTTAAAATGACAAGTCATTTGCAATGCTTCAATATGCCTTATTAAGAATATTTCCCTAATCGTTTATGTAAAAACCAATCTCAGCACATAAGACTTCCCTTTTTTCAAGGTTTTGTAGTTTGTTTAGATAAAATGACATCACACAACCTGTGCACAATTTTTATTTTGTTTAAGTTTATGTTAGGTCTAATTATTTTTCTTTTTTGATTCCTCGTTTTTACATCTTCTTTTTTCAGTGTTCCGAAGTGTCGATCAGTTTTTCACTCACAGATACTCTGGATCAAGGTATGGTCTTGAAGAAAAAGGCAAATTCAGTTGTTATTGACAAGCTTTCTACCTATTTGAAGGTCATCATCAGGGTAAAATGATGGTACAGATTGACATATTTTAAGTTTTTATAGGCAATCTCAAATTTTTAAATTTGATTTTAATTTTTAAAAATTGTACAAGATCTCAAATTAATAAAAACTTTATTTTTTGCCCTGGTGATGACGTTAAAATAGATTGAGAGCTTGGCAGTAACAACTGAATTAGCTTTTTTGCTTTGTGCCCTGATCCCCGAGTGTTCATGTGTTTTATATCTTCAGCATAATTTTCTCCCTCTGTTTAGAAATTATTCAGTTTTTGATGTATCTAAAATCCAGAATTGATTTAACTCCTTTTTCTATAACATTTCGGTCAATTATTATTTTAAAAAACCTTATTAGATTAAAATATGCTACTATAAAAATGTAGTTTTTTTTATGTGAAATCATGAGAGTGCATATAAACTCACAGTTGAAATACCATTGTAAAATTATAAAAAATAAAATAAAGACAGTGCAACATCCTCCTTTGATACGGAATTCTATTTATGGAATTATCTTATTTGTTATTTATTTATTATTATTTTTTGTTCTTTATTGTCCCATTCATAGAATTTGTTAATAGGCAGTTCCGCTGCATGTTGGTTTCTTGAAGTTATTAATTTTGAAAACTATCATACAAAAATTGTAAGGTTTTTTGGTCTGCAAATAAGATCATCGGTTATAGAAGGAATCCTTTTATATTTGCTCCGTTTTTCCTTAGGTTTTTTATATGATCAAGATTTCTTAGACTGGATCCGAAAGTCATCCTCAAAACTTATTCTACATCAAATACTGTTTAGTGTGATAACTTAGTATTATATGATTATTCAGCAATTTATGGTATGACATTCAGTATGTGATATCAATTAAATACTTTAATCTGCACTTTTCTGTATTGGATGGGTGATTTTTTCAACCATGAAAAGTATAATTCCGACTGTAAATTTTTCCCAAGTTATAATAAATTAAAGTGAAACATTGTGGAGCTCTCATAAAACATGCTACCTTCAAAGTTAATAAACTGATAATAGGATCTTAAATATTTTTTGTCAGTTATTACTTCTCAAAAGCTTATTTACTTAAACGAGTACAGATATCCAAATTTTTGTTATAGTGTGAAAATATATTCATGTTTGAGGACTATTCTCTTTTTTTCACACACAAAAAATATGATATAGACATGTATAAGTTGAGTTGACCCACAAATCATTTGTAATAAAAAATATTGTAAACAGGGAAATTTTTTTAATACTGTTCTTGGCTAATTAGGTAGGCACAGACCCCTGGTAAGTGCAATTTTATCTTTATTTTAAATATTTGCAAATGACTTGTAAATAAGTTTGTGCATTTTTTAATTATGTTTAATAACAGTTGTGCTATTTGAATTTACAGTAAATTTTATGACTCGCTATAATTGCATTGTATCCAGTTTTATATAGCTTCTCTTGATCGAAATTATTAAGGTTGATTTTCAAGCTTTAACTTAAAAGAGAGGAAAGAAATATGAGACATATTTATCATGTTTATAATGTAATAATAATTTTTTGTTTATATGACATAACGGATAAATTAATTTTTTAGGTTAAAAAAATTAAACTCTGTTCATTAACCATTGTATAAATAGATTACACTTTCAATCTCTTTGTAAGAATATCTTGTAAGAAATTACAAAAGAAAATCTGTTCTTCATTTCAGTATGGATTAACTATTTGCATTCAGGTTTGTCTAGATTTATGTATGTACATTATCATAAAGTGTATGTTCTTAAATAAATATATAAAATTATACATTGTAAATATCCATAAATCGACATTTGTTTTAAGAAAGAAAACAAAATATGTACAAATTATGAATATACTTGTATCATTGTTTCCTTATTCATTTTATGGAACTTTAAAAAAAAAAATTGTTCAGCTTAATTTTGTTGTGGTAAAGATTTTATATAACAGCAATTATTAAGTATTATTTATGATTATAAAAGGTTCTATTATGCCTAAAAATCACTTTTAGATCTGATTATTGGATATTTGAACGTGAAAGGAAAAATTATAAAGCAATTTTCTTAGTTGTATTTGATTTAAATTTTAATTTATTTAGTTTAAAAACAAGTTTTTATATTTGTAAGTGAAAAAAATGCACACTATTTGCACATCGTTAATTTTTTAAGATGCTTTTTATCAACCTATTCTAAAAATGTAACTTTTTTTGTTTTTGTTCGCTCCCTAGATGTGGTGATAACTTGGAAACATTGGAAACGTGATTTTGAAATCGATGCCTTTTTAGGTTTTTTAAGAATTGGGTGAATCTCATCAGTCAATACTAATTCAGCGGTATGACGGCCCCTGTATGGAATCCCATATTCCTTCTTTTATGTTTTAATCTCTGAGAAAAGTGGAGAATAAACCACAATAATAAAAATGAAAATGAAAGAAAAAAAATAATATTCTATAAGAATACAAAAGCCCATTAAAAATATAGTTCATTGCAGATGGGCAGACCGGGCCGGTAAGCAGGAAACTCTTCCTTGCCTTGTTCAGTATCACATATTTGTGAATTTATAAATGCACTAGTACTAATAAATTATAGAAGTTTTCATTCTTTTGGCGGTTTTGTAACGAGAGTAATTTTAAATTTAATTTTGTTGCCTCTTTTTTCAATCAAAAGATATAGAGGATTTTTGAGTACCTTCATACTCGTAGATTTTGATCTTCTAGAACACGAAGAATATAGATTTTCTGATATGGTTAGTCTTTTAGAGCGTGAGTCATTTTATTTTAGAAAATCGGCTGTGGGTGAAGTGTCAAATATTGCATAATCTCGGAGCCAGGACAATGACATTCAAAAATCCCATAGCTCCTAATGTTGATTGTTAAAAATTATTCCAATTAATTTTTAAAAAAATGGTGTTTTAACTATTTATTGAAACAATTTTTAATGTGATCAAATAAAATCTGATATCAAAACTGCAAAATAAATCACCTGAAACTGTTAAGCTCAATGTTTTTAATACAAATCTTTTTACAAAATGAATTAAGTCCCTTTATTTTTAGTATTTTTCTAAGTTCATCATAGTATCTGTGGACAATTCACCTCTCTTATGGGTTTGCTTATTTTTAATTTGCTGTTATATTTGTTCGTTTATATACAGCATCTCTTATTTTAATACTCAAGTTTTTTCTGTACATTACCAAAAAAAGCTCTTGTCTTAAATGTTTCATGTATCTTTGTTATTGCTTTTTAAAAGTTTATTATTTTTCTGAGTTTTATTATATTTTATTGTCAAGGTTTTCCTTACCTGTAGTCAAATTTATGCATCCCTACGCGTACAAATGTACCTAGAGTGAAAATGATAATGTACCTTTTTGTTTGTGTTTGTGTTATTTAAGGAGCAAAATGTGATAAATTATCTAATAATGTTTAGTATATAATATGAGCTTGTGACAAAAGTGTACTATGGTTTTATTTAATTATATTATATTATATTTTATTTAATTATATTAATGTTTAAACAAAACAAAAATTCAGTTGAGGTAGTTTTAATTAAATATTTATTATTCCAATTGTAATCCAATACTTACGGGCTAATCTTTTGTTCACAAAGGTGCATATTTTCAGTTATGAAATAATAATAAATTATAGTTTACAGATGAGACTTTGTACGTCAAAGTACATGAAATGCATTAAAACTCAAATATTGAGATAATTATTATATGTATATATGTATAAGGTTATAGTGTTTATTGCATACATTTTAATACTTACGCTGTTTATATTAAATATGGATATTTGTTATCTGATATGTGTATATGAAATTCATAAATTTAAAAAAAAATAATCACAGCCTAGTAGGTTTTGTCTAGTTTTCTAATTTTAAAAATGATAAAAATAAAGAAATGTACTGATTATTTGTGAGGATGCATGAGACCACGTTGTATTTTGTAATTGATTAAATGTTTATAAATCGTCTCTAAAAATATATTATTAATAATATTGTAAGTTTGTTTTTAAAAGAAAGAACGACACCTTTTATTTTTAGATTTCCATCTTTTAAACTTTCTTTGTTAACGTTTTCAATAACGTTTGGTGTATAAATTAATTGAAAAGTTGTTTTTAAATATATTTTTGCTGGTATAGCTTTACAATAAGTGTAAAATTGAAGTAGATAAAATTAGAGACAAGATGAGATATAATGGTTAAAAAGAAATTGTATCGCTCGTCATTGAAATAGAAACTAGTTTGTAAAAACGAATTATCGAACTCAATGTTTACTGTTTTTTGTGTCTTGTGGTATTGTCCATATATAACATACGTGATTAAATGTGTACATTTTTATTGTTTCCTTTTATCTGTTAAATGGTGTAAGTTTAAAAAAAAAAATCTGTTATATTGGAAAGACGGGTCCGTATGTCAACATTAGCCGCTGACTCAATTAACCGTTTCTATATGTATTTGTACCTTTGCAGTCACACCAAAAAAAAAAAAAAAAAATCCACAGTAAACAAAAGACATGTGAAGTATTGGTGCTATTTCTACGAATACACATTGTGTGCATAATATCTCAGTGTCCTTTTTTTTTCCCCTTACAATTAAAAAGTATTAAATTATTAATTAAAAAATTAAAACGATGGTTTATATTTAAAATCCTTTCTTATTTATTGTGTATATATGTAATAAGAAATTTTCAATCAATATTGTAACGACATACACCGAGACCCAATTTTTTTTTTTTTTTTTTTTAGATTAATGAAAACCAATTTTTGCTTAATTAAATTAAGTACATTAAGTACCATACACTTATGTCAATGGATTTCTAAAAAGAACCTATTTCTTTTATAAATTTATGTGTCTTATTGATCTTTTTAGTAAGAATGTCATAATCCTCTTTTTTACTCTGAGAAAAAAAATCTAGTTTGACCAAATAGAGTCTTATTGCTTTAAATAGTGATAACTGATAATAAATCAAGTTGTGCCAGCCTAAATTTGATAAATAAAAATACATTAAAAAAAGATTGAATTTAAAATAGACTTTGTTATAGCTGTTTTTGTAGCTTTAAAATAAAAATTCCATTTTATTTTCTGTTATGAAAAATTCTGATTGAAGATTTTCTTTAGATTCTAAGGTTATCAACAGGATTAAATAATTTATATAAGTCGATCTCATTTTTTCTTCTAATTAAATAAAAAATAATTTTATAAAGCAAATTTATGAAAAATGTTTAGTCATCATTAGTCTATAATGTGTTAGATTACTATGAATGGATGTTATTATCTGTTTCAGTTATAGTATTTCACAATTTTGTTTATAAAACAAATACACTGCTAATTTAAAAAATATATAAACAAATATTATAGAATTGCGTTGTTTTTAACTCAACATAGAAACTGATAACTACTTTTTTTAAAACTAAACAAGTCAGCAGTCAAAAGGCAATCTGTAAAATTGTCCAGTGAACTGTTGAAATTTAGACATTTCATCGAGAAATTATATTGAAAAATAAGTGTCATTGAGCTTTTCTCCGTATTTGGAGTCATTAATTTAGTACATAAACTTTCTTCTATTGTAGCTGATCTCTGCTGTTTTTTAATAGTTTTGTTTCTTTGATGAAGTTGATGTTTTTTTGTTTGTTTTTTCAGAAGTACGGTCTTTAGGTCTATTTTGCACAAAAATGGCTTTTCTAGGTACCATAACATTTTTCTAGCTATTGTAATTGTCTGTCTCCTCTAGACAAGTACTGTAAACCTGTTAAGCAGGAGAGAGGGTGCCTCAAATGGTACTCCTCATAATAGGGTTCCCTTCAATGACCTCTGCTGTCACTTTAGGCAGCTCGTCTGAGAGGCTTGGAGGTGTAAATAGAGTGCCTGCACAGGAAACAAGCTCCTCACAATAAATAAAGATGTAAAAAATGGGGCTCTTCTTCCAGATCTTCCCGAAAAGAAGAAACCTTCTAACCCAGCTTCAAATTGGCACCCGATTCTCCCATAGTTTCCTCCTTGAAAGAACCCCTAAACATGTCCAATTTGTACATCTCCTATATGTATATGCCACATCACAATTTATAGACCTCTGCCTGCAAGAACCTTTTTTTTTTAATTTTTAACTTCTTAAAAGAAATACTACAAATAGATAAAATTTTATCTTCTATCCCCTCAACTCTTGTTTCCTCTGCTGGTACCCCATGTTGGTGGTATGGCTGGGCTCGGTTTTGGCTCCAGGTCTGGACTGAGGTGATTGATTAAGTGCCTCCCTGGAAGATCAAAGAATTTCCAGTGAGTTTGTAGGAAGAATCGATGGTAGTTAGACCCCAGCCCTTCCTCAAAAAGCCCTGTACACAGTATTAAGATTAGAAGCATAAGTTGCGAGAGATCCTTGGGTTCCACTAAAAAAAAAATTTGTTTTCTTTCTACTGAGTAGGATATTCTCTGTCCCATTGGGTTGTTTTTGTGATTTGTTGCTTAATTCCTGGCTTATGTTCCTAGTATTTACTTCTTTCTTTAGTGACCGTAGATGTGGATGGATTTGGCCCTTTGCTGGTCCGAGGCTCCTTTTTTACCTGTCGTTTGCCTGAAATTCACGACCTGAGACCTGAGCATTCAAAGGCTTGAAAGATGGTTTTGGTGCTCATAGTTGGGTCGCTTTATGCCCATGCCCATACCATTTACCATCTTTGAGTCTTCTGTATATCATAGAACAGTTTTTTGTTCCCCCTTCCAATAATTTTTAAAAAGTTTATTAAAGGATTAGAATTTTCTATGCTAAAATCAGGGATAGTTTTGCCATGTCAGTTATTTTAACTTTTTTTAAAATTTTCAAATGGCTGTAAAAAGTAGAATATGTAAAGTGATTTCATGACATACGGACTTAACCTGTTGGGTGTCATGGACAAGGGGTCAAACCACTTTACTTTCATACTCTAATCAATTAAAAAAAACCATGAAAAAAACCATGGGCTCTGCCTAGGTTCCAGAAACTGCTAGCTTGGCAATTACAAATCAGATGCCCTAACCACTCAGCTATCGTGGTCCTCTCATATGCCCTGTATTAGCTTTGTCAGCCATAGCAGCCTGAGGACATGTACCATTGAGGATATGGGTGTTTTAAAAGCATCAGTTTTAATGCATGCATTTTTTTTTTCATTTTTGTAGTTACTCCAGCTTTTCTTTGTTCCATATGATCATGGGTCTGACCATAAGGTCGTTTTACGATTTAGTGCACTGTAGTGGGTTCTCTTGAGCCGTGCCAATCCATGACATTTCCCCCCTTTAGAAAATCAAATTTCTATTGAACTTATTTTTTCAGTATGTTGTGCAAACATTCTTAATTATCACCATAGTGTAAAAAAACTCAGGAAGCTGTTTTTCAATGACAATGTTCAATTCAATCTGTACTTTTTAAGTAAGGTTCAGGCATTTGGTCAGTAAAAAAAATTATGGTTAAAGTTAGAAGTACATGGCTCATGTGCCCTACACAATACTGAAAAAACATCTATCTAACCAAGTTCAAGCTATTTGAGTCAATTAATTACAGGTGCTACAGGTTACAAGTTACTATAACTTTTTTTTAAATTAAATTAACCCGCTTTAACTTCAAATTAACCCTTTCTTTAAAGCAATAAAAAAAAGTAAAACCATATGAAAATTAACTATCATTAAAATTAAACATTATATAAAAATAAATATAAGAACAAACGATTCTTCTATTATTAATAGAAGATTAAAAAAATGTAGTGGTTTTTTTTTTGTCGAATTAACCCTTTTTCACTTCCAATAAACTGATTTAAATTTCAAATTAACTATTTTAACTTAGAATTAACATTTTTAAATTTCAAATTAACCATTTTTAACTCAAATTAACTTTTAACTTTCAAATTAACTTTTAATTTTCAAGTTAAAAGTTATATAAAAATAAATATAAGAACAAACGATTCTTCTATTATTTATTTGAAATTAAAAAAATATAAATATAGTTTTTTCCGTCAAATTAACTATTTTAACTTCGAATTAACATTTTTAAATTTCAAATTAACCATTTTTATCTCAAATTAACTTTTAACTTTCAAATTAACCCTTATTTAACTTTAATTAATTTTTAAAGCATTAAAAGAAACTCAGCAGATAGTATGTACAGTGAAATTCTTATTTATGAGCTTTTTTAACATAAAATAATTGAGTTCTTTTTACTTAAAATGAACCCTTTTTACCTTCACATGAACCTTTTTTTAAAATTTCAAATTAAACTTTTATCAGTCAAATTAACCCTTATTTAACTTTAAATTAATCTTTAAAGCATTAAAAAAACTCTGGATATAGTATGAAATGTAAGCATGTAATGAATCCTGTATATGCGAGCATTTTAATTTTAAATTAACTCTTTTAACTTCAAATTAACTTTTTCAAATTTCAAATTAACCATTTTTAACTTCAAATTAAACTTTTTTCTGTCAAATTAACCCTTATTTAACTTTAATCTTTAAAAGTTAAAAAATACCAGGAGATATGAAATATAAGCATGTAGCACAAAATTCATGTATATGGGAGCATTTTTTTAAATGTAAAATAATTGAGCTCTTTTTAGTTCAAATTAACCTTTATTTAAAGCAATAAAATAATTTAAAAACCATATGAAAATGAATTACCGCTAAAATATATATTTTTTTAAATCTTATATTTAAAAAAATGTAAATTTAGTTTTTTCCATCAAATTAACTGTTTGTAACTTTAACAGAACCTTTTTTTTAAATTTCAAACTAACCCTTTTTAACATTGAATTATATAACAGGATGACAGGATGGAAATGAGCCAAAGTGGTTGTTATGGCAAGGTTTGGTGAAATGGTTGTCTGTTTTAATGAACCTTTTGAAAAGATGATTGTAACATCCTTTGATAAACTGCAAAGATGTAACAATCCACAAAATTGGTTCTTCCCTCATTTGGGATGGATTTCAAATAATTATGCTTTTGGATGCCATAGCCAAAATTTTGTGTGCTTTCCCACCCATCACTGACATATTTTTTATGCCGTTTTCTAAACTTGCTAACTTCTTAAACAATACCTCAATTCCGTCAAATTACTAATTAAATAATAACACCTATGTACATTGACATTGGCCTGTATAGACTTGCAATTTTCGTTAATTCTTGCACACTGAGAGAAAGCTTCTTTTTTCCCCTGTTTGATATGATGAGGAATTTCTTTGATTGTTTTCCACCTTTCAAATAGTATGTTATTTTTTCCACTTTTGCCAGTTTGTTACCTTCAATCCACCCGGCGGTACCCACCTTTGACGACTTGATTTTGTTTAACCAGGATTGAAAGTCAAGCATTCCCAGGCCAACTTTGAATTAAAGATGAAGTCTAAAGTTTTCAGTGGTGCTTTTTCGAACAACTCTTAATAATTTTTGTAAGATGCAATATTTTCAGCATAACAAAAAAGAACCGAGTTAGAAAATATAAATGGTATATTAAAGAATAAAATTCATTTGTACCAAGTGAACGACGGTCAAAATGTACACAATAAAACTATTCTAGTCAATAATACAAAATACTGAGAAATGTTGAAAACTTCGTTTAAACAATGGAGTCTTGAGTCTTCTGAGAGAACCTGTAATTCGATCATTATCATTCTTTGTCTGCCTTAATCGTTAGTTTGATCTACCCTATTGGACATCATCATTGGTTCATAACTTACCTGAGCCAAAATAGACCCAGACATACAAACAGACCAAACGAGTTAGGCAGTCCAACAGCAGTAACAACTTACATCGATTGAAATTTTGTTTCTTAATTGAAAGACTAATATTTTGATGGGTTTATACAATGAAATAAAGACAAGTACTCCCTATCAGACAGGAGGGCTTAATGTCATAATCATTGTGTGTCATTGACGAGGGATCAGGACCGCTTTTTGCATATAACCAATTAAAATTCCATGGTCTGTGTCAGGCTTTGAACACAAAACCGCGGCTTAAAATGCAATGAATCAAATGAATCAAATTTAACTAAATTGCAAAAAGTTAGGTCAATTTTTTAATCCAAAGTTATGAAAGTATTATTTTGCCAATTTTGTTGATTGAGTAGTACTTGCCTTGTTCTTATAACACTTGTTTTTTCTCTGCATGGGTTTTGGTAGATTTTTTTTCTAATCCCCCCACTAATATTTGAATGCAAGTTATTTTTAGACATTTTTTGTCTCAAATTTTAAATTGTTTCCCCATATTTTTTATACTTCTCATGTTTTAAGTGTTCCAAGTGTAAATTCCCAGGTACAACAAATAATTCCCCCTTCCCCCAACTGTATTATTAGAATTTGTTTTGTTGGTATGAAGTAAATTAGTGCTGTTATCTTTGTCACCTTTAAATTTTAGCGGTTTTTAACACTTGACTTATCTTCATTTTGCCCACATAGCAAATCAAATTTAAGTTAAGCCTCTGAAAGCTTACTCATATATGCTTCCCGATCAAAAACTACAAAAATTGAATTTGTAATTGTAAGTCAAATTAAAAATTGTAAACTTGAAAAGTTTCTTTTTTACTTATCTGGTTTCGCCTCGAGGTTGCAGATTTTTCACTTGCATCCCTGCTCTCTTTTTTCCCACCATGCAGCCAAAATAGAATTAATGTTTTGTTCGCAGATTGAAGAAGCACACCAAGAAGAATTACTGAGCTTATGCTCACATTTCATGTATCTACCATAGATTGACCAAACATTTGAGCCTCATATCACGTGATCTCATTAACAATGATATTGTTGTATTAATTTCAGTTTTAAATTGTAGACTTGCATTTGCCAAGATGTTCGTAAATTTAATTGAAAATTAATTGTAAAACGAAAATTAACTTATAAGACATGTGCAATGGTGTACGGGAATTTTAGTTATATGAATTTTATTAAATAAATTGTTCATATATAAATAAAAATTTCAATTAATTATTGTTTTGTCGATTTTGTTATATAAATTTGTTTTTTTTATCCTGCATCACAGGGTTTCATTTCATTCTTAATATATTTATTTTCCATTATGATTTTTTTATGACATGATTTATTAACCGTTATAGATTTAACAGTTATTATTACAGTTGGACTTTTCGAGGCAAGCCATACGTACAAAATATAAAACTAATTTAATTGTCAAAAAATCTCTTGGGTTCTGCAGGTTGATAGAAAATGTTGCTCGTTTACTGTTATTTTTTAACCTTTCAGATGCTTTTCAGTGCCTTGCCATCTTCAATGCTGGCTCCAAGGTGCAAAATAAAAATAAACATACTGTTTGACTATAGCTTTTTTCCATCAAATTCCCTCTTTTTAACTACAAATGAACCTTTTTTTATAAACGAGGGTATTTTAACTACGAGGTTATTTGAACCCTTGGTGCACCAGTGTTTTTGAAAAATAAGCCCATTTGTAAGTATGTTGAGTAACCCTTTCTTTAAAACATTAAAATATATTTAAAAAATAATATAATTTAGATCTTAGAAGACTATGTGAAAATTAATTGCAATTAAAATTTAAAGTCATATAAAATCTCTCTATAGTATTAAAAAGATTTGGTTGAGAGAGAAGGGCCAATTTACGAATTATTCTAGGTCTATCTACAAGTTTAACAGTCTAGAAAGAGAAAATGATAGGGGGAGGGTAAATGCAACTCTTAACAGAATTCTTCACTTATTCTCACTATTTTCTCAGTTTAAACTTTTTCTCTGAACTTCGTTCAAATTGTGAACGACGTTCCAGTGAACCCGGCTTGAACCATGACTGGTGCAACGGGGCCTAAGAAACCATGTCATATTATACATCATTGAAAACAGTAACGTTTTCTACTAAATAAGCAAAGTGAATAATTTGAAATTTGTAAACAATTGCTATCAATACTTATTTTAATCCGTTAGCTGCTTTATCTTTTTTGTTTGGATTAAAATTATGAAAGATTTTTCTGCGAGGACTGTCTCATTTTTTACATAGTATTAAACAGCTATTTAAGACCAATTGATTAAAAAATAATAAATTGTTAAAAACAATTCGCAAAGTTATGGAAGTTTTTATTATCATAAGAACCATTGCTTGGATAGGAATAACGGCAGATCTCTTCTCATATGGCTGGACAGGACATAAAACAATTTGGTTAATGTTAAATTTAGTTGAAGACGGCATCGCACTGAACTGGTCACATAAAACGAACAGGTACTCCAAGAAACTGGCATTTTCATCTGGGATGAAGCATTTGTTATGGAATAGCTTTCAGCAATTCAAATTGTTAAGAATTTGCTTGTGGAAAATATTTTTGAGACAAAGCGTTGGAGTAGTGCAAGTTATTTTTTCTAGCGAGCCTGCTAAAAATCAAGAGGTGTGCAACTTTTTGAGCTTATTTATTTGGAATTGCTCTTTGTGACTTATTTAAAAAAAGTATGATAACATAAAACTAGCAGGACTCGCTTTCCAACCCCTGGCAGCTAGTGCCTTCTAGCTTTGTCGCGAGAGGATGAGTGAGCAATGGAAGGGGGGAAGGAAAAAAAAGCCATGAAGTGGCCCCAGGGGTGACAGGCAAAGTGAATAAAAAGATTTTTTTAAAGTAGAAAATAATTATTGGTAATTAAAAATCTCGAATTAATAGAATATATTTTTAAAATTTAATTATAACATTTAATTTTAATTGGAATTAATTTTTATGTGGTATTTTATACAAGAATCAATTTTGTAATTTTAATTAATTTTCTGTGGTCTTTATAAGAGCCCAATTATTTATTATTTTTAAAAAATTTCAGATGTACAAAAACTTCACTTTAACTTATATTTTCATGGCATCTCCTGTGTTTTACATTTTAAAGAAAGGTTTAATTTAAAGTTACAAAAGGCTAATTTGAAATTAATAAGGATTAATTTGAATTTAAAAATGGTGTTAATTTAAGATTTTAAAAGGTTAATTTTAAATTAAAAAGGGTTATTGGATGTTAAAAAAGGTTAATTTGAGATTTAAACAGGTTAATTAGAAATTAAGAAAGGTTAATTGGTAGTTATAAAGGGTTAATTTGAAATAAAAAGGGTAAATTGGATGTTAAAAAGGTTAATTTGAAATTTAAACAGGTTAATTTGAAATTAAAAAGGGTTAATTTGAAGTTAAAATGGTTAATTTGAGATTTAAAAAGTTAATTTGAAATTAAAAAGGGTTAATTTGAAGTTAAAAAGTGTTAATTTGACGGGGAAAAGAAAGCTATTTAACTACTAGCTACCATGTGGATTAGATAAATTAAAAGAATAATTGTGAATCATGTTATGGATTTTTTTTTTTAAAGGAAACAACTTTTCTCAAAATATATTTACCACTTAATCCACATTTTAGTTGTGTCCATCGACCCCGTGTACAGTTCATCATCTCGATGAAAAAACTCCAGCAAAGGTTTCACATTTGAATTAAACACACATTAAAATTATTGATATGCTTTATTAAAATGGCATTCTTGAACAGTCATATAGACATATTCACAAATAAAATAAAAAGTCATTCATAAATATTATGCATTATCATTGCTCAATCTTTTGAGCATGACTCTGACCCATCTGGTGAGATGTCTGTGGAGCGCCCTGTCATATGCGGTCATTTCTTCCTGTAACAACAAAAACCCTCATAACTTTTATGCATTTATTATTTAAACAACCAAGTTTGATAACTGATTTTGCAATAAAATTTTTGTAACAATGGAGGTCAAAAGAAAGATGATAGAAATGATGAAGTGGGTGAGTGAAATGTAAATTCACTTTTTGTAAATGATGGCTCTACTCATAGACTGGTTGTTTACAACAATCCAGATTTCAAGCATTAAAAGTTCATCATCGGAGTTAGGAGTTAGAAACATGTCTCTCGACATGAATGGTAAGCGTAAACCTGCCAACACGACGTTTCAATGAGAAGCTGGTTTTTAATGCCGCTCAATTTTGAACATGCAAAAAACATGAATTACAACACAACTAAAAATTATTGTAATAAATGCTGTAGGAAAATAATTTTAAATTTGTGTCAAATATTATTTAGGTATAAACCCACAACTACAGACACTATGATACTAGCAGGTTCTTCTCACCCATGGACCCAAAAAGCTGCTTGACTCATTTGGCTCAAGATCAATGTTGAAACTTCCATTAACACCTGATAATTAGAAACAGGCATTACAAACAATAAAACCTTGGCTAAAAACAATGGATATCAAGAAATATTTATCGATACATTGCTAGTGAAAATAATAAAAAAAATTAACTTTAAAAGAAGGAACAGTTGGGCTCAGCCACCCCACCAAAAATGAATCTTTAGGTTTTCGTTGCCATACATTGGTGAACTATCGGAAAAAGTAGGTAAAATTCTTAAATAAAATGGTTTTAGAGTAGCTTTTAAAGGTACATGTTCACTCAGAAACATCCTCCCCAAATCTGAAGACAAGTTTGACAACTAGTCAAAAAGAGGGATTTGCAAACTTAATTGTACAGACAGCAATATTAAGTATATAGGACAAAGTGCAAGAGAAATTAAAACAACTGTTAAATAACACTTGCTTAAATCAAACAAATTTTCTGAATTTAGGGACCAACTAAATAATACAAAACGCAATTTCAATTTCAATTTAAATACAACATGATAATGAGCGTTTAATGCTCGAAATACAGATCATTGAAAACAACAAAACAACAGTAGAACCATCATTTACAAAAAGTGAAAGAAAAAAAAAGAGTCCAGCTGACAAAAGAAAAACTGGAAGGCTTAATACTGATTTTTGGACTAAAGAAGATAAATAAATGTTATTATATTTTAATATTGTTAAGTTACTACGTTCAGTAGGAAGGACAGAATGTCACAAAGGGCATTTCCTTCAAGGTTTATCAAGATACATCAAAATTTTTGAAGTTTGTTCAAAGAAAGTATTCATTGGATAAACTGAGAGTACAAAAAACATAAAAGTAGCTCTTACCAACAAAGGACGCAGTTTGAAAATAACTATTTCATCCATTGTTGTAGGTGTGTCACCGCACAGGAACTGTCTACGTTTTAGCAATTCATTCATGCGCTAAAACAAATACAAGGCAAATTTTATCCAATCCTAGTTGCCGACACCTGCTTAAAATGATGTTGAAAAGAAAGGAGTAAATGTAACTCCAAATTTAAGGATATTTAGCTTCAAATTAAATTAATCCTTTTTTTAGTTCAAATTAACCCTTTTATCTTCAAATTGACCCTATTTTTAAACCAATAAATAACTTGGGAGATGGTATGTAAGTAAGCACGTAAATTGTAAAGTCAAATTCCTGTTTATTTCTGTTTTTTGATATAATATAAAATAATATGGTTCTCCACATAAAAATTAATCACAATTAAAAATTAAAATTATATACAATCGAAAATAATTCTTCTATTATTAATTCGATATTTTTAAAAAATATAATATATTTGGATCTTATGTAAAAACTAAACACTTAAGTATACAGGGTAAGTTTAACTTCTGTTTCTAATTAAATGGGGGTTAAACAGAAATTAAAAAGGGCTGAATTGAAGTTAAAAAGGGTTAATTTATGGAAAAAAGCTATAGAAGCAAATAAAATTCTTATTTGATATTTTTGTTTAATTATACAATAATTGGGCCCCAACCCTCTCTTTAAAGCATTAAATACTTAGGAGAAGATTAGAAAAAACTTAGGAGACGATATGAGATATAAAAATATAAAGTTAAATTCTTGTATATTTCCCTTTTTTTTAATATAAAACAAACATGCTCTTAGAAGACTAAATGAAAATTAATCGCAATTACAATTAAAAATGATAAAAAATTACATATAAAAATATATGTAACAAAAATATTCTTTTATTGCTACAGTAGTAAGTTCTCTTCAAAAACTTCTAATTCTTCTTTTAAGTTGAAAATATTTTTAATACAAAATGATTATTTTATTGGCTAATTATTTATTACAGGCAAGATTTATTAAAGAAAATCATTTATTATAGACACCTGAGTTTTTTAGTCGTTGAAAGAAAGGGTTAATTTGAAGTTAAAAAAATGTCGAATGTGAAGTTAAAAAGGGGTTAATTTGAAATTAGAAAGGGTTAATTTAAGGGTTGAAATTAAACAGGGTTAATTGTACGGAAAACAGCTATACTTAATCGACTTAATTAGTAATTATTATGAGAATAAATATCATTCTTCTTCTTAATGAGTATAATGGAAAATGGCGTCACGTGGCTGACCATGTGCAGAATTCCAGATTAATTGTTAATCAACGATCATTTTAATATAAATCATATAATTATATAAGAATTAATTAATAAAAACCAGTAGATTTGTTTTTTTCTTCGTCAAATAATACTCACAAAAAGAATTCGGCTGGCCCTATCCAATTCAACAGTCCCGTCTTCGTGTACGACGAGCTTTTCCAGCTCCGCCATCTCGTTGTTGCCCTTTAAATTGGACTTTTCGCCCCCTGACATGCTGAATTTGAATTTTACTGCTTGAACGTAAGCAACTCGACAAACTCGAAAGCGGTCCCTAAGTGCCTCGCGACCTGTGAGAGAACTACACTTGCAGGAAGAGTATGGAAAAATACCCACTGAATCGACGACACAGTTACCCCAAAATAAAAACAGGTCCGTTATTTTTCAGGCAGACTTAATAAAGAAAAAAACTGTTTAATCGTATCGACGTTTTGTATATAAATTAACCTGCTTGTGGATTAGAGTTGAGCCACGAAAAGTCTTGTATATTTTTTCGTACTATCTAGAAAGATCCATCCTCCATTGAGAACCATTGCCATCGAAGGTGAGTTGACAAATTTTATCAGTTATAAATACAATTAAATATCGCAGCAAAAATTAATCAGTTGTGTTAGAAAGCAATTAAAAAAAGTTAAATATTTACTTCTAAAGCTTTGCTAATACTTTAGGAATTTAAGCAGTTTCCCAGGTGGCGCTTTTCTCCTTTTTAAAATGCCGGTACCTCCCAAAAGATATGACTGCCATTAATTTCGGTTTATTTATTATTTTTATATATCATCAAAAAATGAATCGAATTTCTTCACTTTTTGGTTTATTTTTAAGCCGAAATAGAAGAAAATGGTGGTTTTTAAATTGTAAATACATTAACGATTGTCCATAATGAAGAATAAGACCATAATTACAAGTCTTTGAGTTTCATTTCATTTTGAAATTTTAATATAATTGCCCTACCCAAAGTAAAAAGGAGCAATGTTAGCACGGGAGGAAATACGATTAAAAAACATTCAAATCAAAATACCCAATAGAACAGACAAGGAAAAAGGGATTCCAGTTAATGTCGAGTATGAGCTGGTGTCTACAGAAATAACCCAAAGGCTAGAATTATTATAAGCCTTGTGTGTCTAAGTTTGAAAATGTGGTTATGAAACAAAGGGAGATCTGAATGTTAGGTATTACCAACAAAATAGCCATTGGGTACAAAAGCAGTCAGTCCTTAATGCTAGCGCCACTCCCTCCTTATAACCCTGAAGTTGCACTATCCAGTTATCTTTCCCATCAATCAATATACACCTTGGGAGAAAGAGGCCTCAATAAATGCTGCCTTTATCTGGGTATATTAGTAGTAATGGTCATGGTATCTATGAGAATAAACTAAGGACTAAAATTATTATAAGCCTTCGGTGTAGAGACACTGTAGAGCCACTAAGGGTCATTTGATGGGGTGAGAGGCACCTCCAATTTGCAGAATGTGCAATCAAATCGTCACAATCAAACATACTTACGTCATGCTCATTATATTCAGCCCATAGACGTCTACACTCCTTGCCTATAAGCATCCAAGAAATGCTAGGCGACAACAATGATAATATACGTAATTTGTTTGTTTTTCTCAAATCAGCAAAAAAAACCTTTGGTGTTTCAGGTGTAGATTTTGGCTAGAGAACAAAGCCTGTTTAATCAAAAGGCTAGGTATTACAAACAAACACATAGTATTAACAACTAAAGGCAACCACCTCATCGGTAGTAAACTCCAGAGCCGTTTTGGGATTGTGCATCAAGGCCGAGTCAGAAATGGTGGAAAACAAACCATCGGGTACCTGGGGGTACAGGGTAACAAGTAGGCTGATAAATTGGACAAGAAACAGTTGATCAGAACATCAGCCACGAACCCTTTTGCATCATACCAAATTGACAAAAAATAAATACTCGGTTCAATAGGAAATTATATTCCAGGACAGAGGCATGCGAAAAAGTTCATCAAAGGGCCATCGCGGAAACCAACAGCATAACTACTGAACCCAGGACTTAAGACTAGAATGACAGGACTGTTAACTGGACACTGCAAACTCCAATACGGACTTGCAGTAGAAGTTACAGAGGAACATGCCCCCTTGTAAAAAGCCTTAAACTTTACGAAAAGCTCTAGGCAATTATGGAGATTGCGCAGTGCCCAAGGTCGTAAAATAGTTGTTCCCTCTTAACCTTGAATTCTAGTCGTCTACAAAAATAAAATCGCTGAATTTTGATATACATGCTACAAAGTTTTTCAATTTTTTTGCTGCTATCCTTTGTGTATTCTTTTGTCAATTTTCTGTGCATGTCATTTTTTTTATGGGCTACAAAATCTTAAAAAAAGTTTAACTTTTATTAATCAAAACACCAGGTTGCATAAGGGGTGGAAAATATAAAAAACTTCAACACATTTTCACCAGTACAAATTTTTTAAAAATTAAATAATATACAATTAAAGCATTCATGGGGGTTTTGATTTGAGATGAATTAATATAGCAAGGAACGGCTGAACAAAACAGTAGACTGAGCAGGTGAAACCATTTTGAACTGCATCGTGTTGAACCACCTTGAAAGATGGATGTACATTTCTTTCTCATATAAACTCAGCTTTGCCTAAAACACAAATAAATTAATTATTAAGTGGAATTAAAAACAAAAACAAAAAGAATGATGAGCAATATATAATATATACTGAAAAGCTTGCTAAGCGAGGAAAAAAAGAAAATCAGCATGCACACAACTACTTTTTGTATGGGGGGAAGGTAAGGTTTCAAAAATAAAATAAACCAGAGAGATAGAGTCGTAAACATTTATTGTTAACGGGCCTGTCTTATTAGGCTGGTGCAAAAATAATGCAAAAAGGCACTTTTTTTTTTAATTTTTATAAAATAAAGAAAATTTATTTAAAATATTTTCCATCTTAATCTATACATCTATGCCAACATGTAATAAGCACTTTTATTACGCTGACATAAATATCTTTATTTCGACTCACAATAAAGTCTTGGAAGGCGTTTTTGGCTTCACCACATTCTATAAAAATTTTATCTCACAAGAAGTGATCAAAATGCCTAAAAAAGTAAGGCGATAGGTCGAGTGAAAATGGTGGGTGTAGTAAGGTTTCATATCCTAAGTCGGACCACGGTAGCCGAGTGGTTAGCGTGAGAGACTCTCGGCTCATAGATGCCGCGGTTGTGGGTTCGATTCCCACCGTCGCCTCTGGCCCTTTTTTCACGATAACCCCCCCCCCCAAATATGAACACACATACAAGAATTCGTCACCATGGTTAATATGCATAGATCATAAGGCTAAAAAAAAAAAAAAAAAATAATAATAATAATAATAATAATAATATCCTAAGTCCTTAAGTACCTGCAGGGCAACATGTGGCCTGGCATTATTTTGAAGATGACTCGGCTCCTTACTTCACGAGGTCTCTCGTGGTCTCATGCCAATGGACTTCCAGCGAAGTCCCCAAATCCCCCCCCACAGCTTGATGAACTGTGTCTGCAACAACCTTCACACACTAAACAACTCCTCGACTTTGTTATTTAGTGGGACTATTCGTTTGTTGCGTTTCTATGACTTCCTCGTTTCTGGAAAACGTCTCTTTGCTCCCTACTGGCTGAGAGACCCATCAGATTTACAATCTTATTTCCAACATATTTCTGAAATTCCTTACAACTATTTTAACTTATATTAACAGCTATTCCGAACTTATGCTAACAAAACATAACAGCTTACATCAACTTATAGAAAAAAAAAGAGCAAAACATGCACTTTTTGAGTGGAACTACAAAGTACAAAATATTTTCCACAGTATGAAAGACCTATAGTTACTTTGAAGTGATTAAACATTCATGAATCCAGCTTTGTAAATTAAAATTGGTTAAATAATTTAAAACTGTAATACATACCATCAGATGACTCAGCCTTTGAAACATAACTTCGTCTACTTCTGTAGGAACATTTCCTATCATGAAAGACTGATGTCCCAAAGCTCCATTCAACTCCTAAAAAGCAACAAGTTGTCAGAGCCAAATATCTGAAATACAACTAATGAGAGGCAAATAAAAGTGGCCACTCTTGTTTTTTAAACCGGGATCTACCAACAGTGAAGTTATTTTCAGCCCTCTCCTCACTGTTATGACTGTTGGGGTTCTCTACATTCCACTATCAGATCCCTCATGTATCACACACTCACAATAATTTAATTATTCACAAATTTCACATTATATGTACATATACACACAGTATATACAATTTCTACGTGTGAGGAAAGAGGGCCCAACAATTGACCAGCCCACCCTCGTACCATCTTTAATTCAGGGCTTATGCCTACTCGCTCCCTGCAAGGGGCCAACACATAGCCCTCTCCAATGAGACATGACAACTGAGCAACATTTCTCTAGAAACAAGACACCTGTATGGGTTGTGACACTTAAGTAGTCTATGTGTCAGTCGGATTTGGCCGATCCTCAATCGGGTTATCATGATCCTTTCCATTCATTCATACTCTATGAGGGCCAGTGTTCAATCATACTCTTAACCCACAAAAACTTCTAGGTTTTTGACCAACTGATGCTGGCAATGCTCTCTCATAACTTTCTTTACTGCTCACACACCGTCATCGGGCTGGCTTATAGTAGTTAAGTCTGTAGGCTAGTAGTCCCAGCGTTTGCCTCGCCTTGTCTGCACATTTGTTGCCCTCCAGCCTGACATGTCCAGGTGCTTAGATGATTATCAACATTTTTCTGAGGCGCTCCAGCTCGGGATATCTCTCTAACAAGAATGCAGCGAGAGGGTACATGAGAACCTGTACTGAATTGCCTATCCTGGACAAAGGGAATCATCCCAAGCACGTTCCAGATCACAAAGTTCCACTGTGTACACGATACCGTGCCACGAGAGCATGAGGCTGGCCACACCCTTGCCGTTTCTAGGCCTGTCCATAAATACCAGGCGAATTCTGATCCAAGTTCTAAGCCTGCAGTTCAGTAAAGGGTGGTAGTGTGGCTGGCCAATACTGTATGTCCCGGACAAGCATGGCCAGAAGAACCCAGAGCAGTGCCAGTCTGTTTCCTAGCCTGAATACCGTCGCCAAAGCAAATTCCCAGAAGTGGTGTCCGAGTCCAAAGTCACTCGTTCTCCTGGCTGTACTTATTCTTCAAGATCGTCACCAGCTTGGTCAACAAACCTGCTCCCTTTATCAATATTTTTAAAATTGGCTGTTAGGAGGGAATTGCAGATGAAGATGTGGCTCAATAACTTCTTCTCAGTCAATATCGCTCAGACATACAACCATTCTCTACATTGAAATGCTTGTATGAGGTACGACAAGTGTTGGTTATTTGTGACAAAGTCTGTAATTTGGTCAATCATCAATGGCTTAAGGACGACAAAACGATAGATTTTTGCCCAATACATCTACGTTAAAAAAAAAACTTTTTGCGGTTTCTTGTAAGTTGTAAATTAAGTCACACTTGCGAATAAACAGCTAGACTATGATCTGGATGACCAGGAAAGGTCAAAACGATACACATTGTTAACAAATTAGTTTTTAACACTTTGTCTCACCCTTAAAATTACGGCGGAATGTTCTGATAAAGCGTCCTGGGTCAAGTAAATGTCACTGTACTCTTGCCACTGTTTTTTCAAACAATCGGCCTCGAACGGATCCACTGGCTTGCTCCAGGTGTCTAACATATTTAGAGAGATAGTTTAAGATTCAGAAGAAAAAAAAAAGGGAAAAACGAAAACAAGCAGCAGACATTTACAAGTTTGAAGTAAGTTACAACTTACAACCTGCCTTCAGCAGAACGCATGCGGTGTTCATCACTCAATGACATCATAGCTTTTTGAATCACACAGGTTTCAAATAGGATTTTAAATTTTGTACAGTATACCAAAGAAATTTAACTGCTCTCGGATTGTTCACTCTACAGACAAACTTAATTCAAGGTCTTTGAAGTTTAAGTACAATTTTAGCTAGTTTTCCAATCTTCCAGGTACACCGTTCTTTATTACGGACTCCAGAAGGCAAATAATGGCATATTTTCTATATTTTTAATTGTATTTTTATTTTTTGCACCATCCGATTGGTATCTTGTAACTGTGATTTATACTTTTGGGTATCTCATAATTTTTTTTTATAAATAAACCGATTTATGCATATGAACTATCACGTTTGTTTTGCACAATATTTTATGCGTGCATCTCCTTCAGCTTTTCTGTCATCTTTATTTTGTTATTATACATTTTGGACAATTATACAGCTCTCTATTCGATCCAATCGGTATCCGGTAACTGAGATTTATACTTTTGGGTGTATCTCATAATTTTTTAATAAATAAACCGATTTATGCACGTCATCAACTATCATGTTTGTTCGCGTAATATTTTATGCGTGCATTTCCTTCAGCTTTTCTGTCACCTTTATTTTGTTATTATACATTTGGACAATTGTACAACCCTCTGCTCCATCCAATTGGTATCCTGTAATTTTAGATTTATATTTTGGATATATCTCATAATTTTTTATAAATAAAACGATTTATGCGATCATGTTTGTTCCCATAATATTTTATGTGCACATTTCCTTCAGCTTTCCTGACAGCTTTATTCGGTTTTGCAAATTTTGGACAATTTTACAGCCTTCTGCTCCATCCAATCGATATATTAATTATACTTGATCATTTTTAATAAGGTTCAGGTTCCATAAATTCAAAACTTTGCTCTGAAAGATTTCTTTTTGTTTCTAGCGGAATGTTTAGAGTCGTAAACATTTGAAAACAGCCTTGGCAGCCAAGATGATTGGAAATGATGCAGTGATGGCTGTGTAGTGTGGTAATTACCGATCATTTTGGTTCTTCCTATTCAAACTGAGTTGGTCTCGCAGTTTATATTATATACACAAAACTATTATATTTAGGTTACACCTATTGGTGACCTTGTTAGTTTATTGAAATTCTTTAGTCTACAAAGAAAGTTCATAGTACTAGTTCAGTCGTCTCACCTTTCTGTTCTATATCTGTGTTTCATTCAGACGGATCAACCATGGAGTTGAAAGAAATGGTAAACTTTGTAAAGTTAAAGAACTTAGCTGAAAAAAGCAACAGTGGTGTATTAGTTGATTTACCAAGAACTGCTAATGATAATTCTTAAATGACCTTTCACGGTTTGATACTGCCAATTCATTCCTGTCATAAATTGTCACAGAAGACCACAATGGTTCGAGATGGTTGACATCAGTTTCATTTGACAAAGCCAACCTGTTTTCGATTCTGATTGAAAACAACTCCATCATTTTAGATTGAAAAAGCTTATGATATGAGAACATATTATTTTCTGTGTGCCATTACCGTGTATAAAGTTGGTGACCAGCCTGAAGTAGTTTCTATCTAAAACTATTCTAAACAGAGCTAAACCTGTAGACTGACTTAAATCATAACTGACTCCAGTCATCTGCAGATTTCTATGCTTATTCCTTTTGTTATAAATTGTTTATTCGGCTTAGTATAAGCAAAAATAACTTAAAAAAATACATAAATATTTGTAACAATGGAGATTGTTCTGTATGTAAAAGACAAAAATCCACAATATTTTCAATATATTTGTACTTGTTTTCAAATGGAAACGACCCCGGTGTACCTCAGGGATCACTTCTTGGACCATTTCTTTTTAAGGGGCCTATCAATGACATTGTGAATTGTTTCTCTCCAGCACATTTCTTGATTTATGCAGATGATCTGAAGATTTTTGTACAGAGGGATGATTCAAGACTTCAAAATTGCCTGTTCAAAGAAACGTAATAATAAAGATAAATCGTACATTTTATCTTTGGCTCACCCAAGGAGGTCCCACGTTTCTGTAGACTGACTTAAATTGGTTGTACCCTTCCTTAAGTGCCAGAATAAAGTCAGGATCATTTGAACATGAGTAATGAAACTCGTTCAAATTGAATATAGAAAATTGCAATTTATTTATGCCTTTGACAATTAGACATCTACTTTATATAACACATATGTATACACTTATTAACACTGATTTCACATGGTTCATCCTTAACAATGCAAAAATGGTTATGCAGTCAATTTAACAACGTATGAAAATAAAAGGTTTATAAACTTAATTTTATGGTAAACATTTATATATTTAACACAAAATAAGATATATGTTATATTACAAAAATATTATTATAATATTTCATAATACAATTTATCTTAATCTTCATCCATAGAAAGATGAGCATTGGTAAAAATATTTGATTCTAATCCCTCATTCATGGCCTCCATTCTCAACATTTTGCTCTGTTTCTTTAACTTGTTTACATGTATTTTCCTTCTTTTGTTGCCCAATTTTTCTACCGGTTGGACGTTTTCTGATGTTCCAACGCTTTCTTCTTTCACATCGGTAACGTCATCGCTTGTCACACTTTCCGACGATTTGCGTTTTTTCTCAGATCTCCTGGTAGGCATAGCCACTGGTTGGGATGGCAATTCTTGAGTGAACCTATGAGCAAAAAATAAAAGCCATTTAATTTATGCGGTTTGAAATATATTTATTAGCATTAAAAAAGATAAAACTTATTAAAAGGAATAAAAAGCACTTTACAGCTTAACTAACTATTGTTACCTGGCAACACAGGATTTTGATGCTGGGGGGGGGGAAACAGTTATAAGTACTCTTATATTTGAGGGAGAGCTGCTCAGATTCAAACCTGGCACCCTTTCAGTAAAGGGGTTAAAATAAAAGCACATTATTTTTTCTAAATACACAATATGTTTATATGCTATTCACAATTGGTAAAAAACAGTTTCACTTCTAAAGGATCTGTTCCAAATTGTGAGATTTTTTCAGATTTATTATCAAGTTATACAAGGTGATTCAATGCTCATAAGACAAAGTTGCAAAGCCCAACTCTTTCCTAATTAAAATGTACAAAAAAAAAAATTCAATTTAAGAATCAAACAAAACACATAAAAAAGAGACAATAAACATTTCCAAACTTTTAAAATATTTTTGTCCTTTTTGATTAGGTTAGAGTTGAGTTTTACAAATTCTGTGTGGTTCTTTTCTTTTCTTTAGTCTACATTCAGTGTAGATATTTTGTCCATTTAAGTTTATTGTCTCTGTTTTAGTTGTGTCATTTTTCTTTCTTTTTGTGCTTTTTTATTTGAAAATAAATTTTGCCCAGGATAAAAAGTTGAATTACTAGATTAACCCGCTTTCTCACCTTCACTAATTTTTTCCTATTTAGCATGAAATTTCTGCATTTTGGTTTGATGTAATTAAAATGTAAAATTAATGTAAATGTTAAAAAAGTAACCGCTAGCAAATTAAAATTTTTAAAAGTTTAAAGACGAAGAAGTTGTTATGAAATTGGCCAAGCTCTACTATGAATTTTTCAAAAGAGGTTGCAAATTTAGTTTATTTAGAAATTTAAATTTGCCGTTTTGATGTGACAACGTCTTATAAATCGGTAACGCTAGGAGGCATTCGCAAAAAAAGTATGACTCATTGCCCCGTTACGATCGGTGTCCTGTTACGCTCGAGCCGAGAGTAACCGATTAAAGCCGAGCGTGCTTAGAGGCATGACTCATCGCTGTATTACGCTCTGGCTATCGTGCATGATCGGCTCGTTCGAAGGTATTATCAGCTTGTTCAAATGTATGACTCATCGCTTCGTTCGATTGACAATACTTTGACAACTGAAGCAAATTTAAAATATATTAATTATAATATAATCAATTGTGTCCTCATTGTTATTCTGTGGTATATGTTTATTGTTATTCTGTGCTGAGTGTTCCTTGTCTTAGGATACGTTGTCACGAATTTAATGTCTGAGCGCCTTGCGCCCAGACCCCCGAGTCTTTTTTCAAGATTTAGTGTTTGGTTGTTTTTTTAAACAAAAATTAAATGAAAAGTTCTAGAAGGGTGCCTTTTTAAAGAAAATAATTAACGCTCTTTTCAATGCGGTTTTACATTTCCCCAATCAAGAATCAGACCATGGTTCATACGAACTTTTTGGCTGCGTTTGAGGTGTAGAAGCACTCAACGAATTTTGTCATATGAGTAGCGAATCACCCTGCACATTAGTCCAATTGGACATTGCTAATGTTTATTTCTGTTTTTAAAGATAGTGACCCCATTAGAAAATGTAAAAAAAAAAAGAAAAAATACTGGAAGTCTTTATGCACATTTTACCAATAATAATTTTGTAATTCTGACAAGTAGAAGTTTTTATTTTTCAAACTGCGAAGTTTTAAATGAGAGCACCCGGGTTAACAATTTCAAAGCCAAAAATTAGCAAACACTAGACCAAGAATAACATCGCACAATACTTTTATTGTGGAATAGTATTGAATGACATCTCAATCTCAATTTATACAAACACTACATACACTAAAAAAATATTGTGCAGTATTAACTTTACATGGTGCAATAAAAATTAAACTTGCACAAACTTTTATCCAGCCACAGAGCAAATTTCAATACCAGCCCTAAATGGTCAAAAATACTGCACAAGTCATAATATTATGCAATATAATTGATCATAATGCCTTATGGTTTCTGATAAAATTGGGCAAATAAAACAAAAAAACGTAAATTTTTGGTTTGGAAAACCCCTAACTAAGAAAATATTGTGCAATATTAACTCTACCTGGTGCAATGAAAAAATATGGTGCAATAAAAATTAGAATCACTCAAACTTTTGTTTGATAACTGACCAAACATCCATACCCACCCTTTAAATGGTCAAAAATATTGTTACAAATATATATATAAATATATATGTAAATATATACAGGGTGAATTGCTACTCGTGTAACAAGTACAGTAGCAATTCACCCTGTATATAATGCCTTATGATTTCTGATAAAATTGGGCAAATATAACGAAAATCGTCATCTTTCGGTTTGGACAAATCCCTTGATTTTTGAAAGAAAAAAAATTAAAATGTTAAAAGATAATTTTTTTAATAGTGTATAACGTTTAAGAATTTTGAACCAATAGTGCATCATTAGCAGAATTAGATAGATGCCGAGGTGTCAGGCCAATCAATATAGTTATTGGTAAAACTTCAAAGATAAATTCTACTTACATCTCTTCTGGAAGTTCTAGCATAGAACACATTTTTTTAAACCGTTTCATTTCTTTTTTCTTAATGACAGGTCTTCTAGCTGGGAAAACAGTGTTTTGTACTTGAGTCTTCCATTTATTCCATTTGACACAAGACGATGCTTTGCTTTTGAGGAACACCATTATAAGGTTCCAAAGGGCAATATAATAGTTTGAATTCAAACCGCCACTACTTCCATCCTAAAAAAAATAAATTAAATAAAAAATTGTTAATATTTAAGTTTAAACAAATAAAATGATAGAACTCACATCAAATTTAAGGATATAATTGCCACACTTTCTAATATTGATTTTTTGTTCAGGCGTTATGTTAGTAAAATATCTGCCATTATTGAAATAATTTTTCAACAACCTGAGCGCATCTATCCTTTTTTGACATTTGATTTCATTCGAAGCTGAATATTCTGCTATTTTTTTCACATATTTATGCATTCCAGGTAGAACAGATTCGATCAAAGATTTAAAAAAACTTAACGATAAATGGCACTTGCTGTAAAATAAAATAAATAAATAAAAATGAACTTATTTTGGAGAGTCTGAAAATTCTGCATTTGACAACTTTGCGGTCGTCCCAGATACCCATGGTGTGCCTATCTTGTTGTTATTATTTACTTACAATCCAGACACTTACTGAATAGGCAAAAATAGCGGAACACACCAGTGGTACACAAAAACAATTCAAACGATACAAGCAAATTACTCAGAGCTAAGAACATAAAAATCACCTCGAGCAGAAGTAATCGTCAAGAAATTTGGAAACAAGATTGACAATGTCATTATTGCTTTTTTGGCCTTGTTCATTTTCCATGTTTTCAAAGCTTTTGATTAGAAAGACACTGAAAGCTGAGAGTTGTGGTCTTATTTCGGAGTTGACACCAGATGCTAAGGACGCTTGTGTTAATAAATGCTGAAGCAGAGTAACCACTTCTGCTCTTTCCTCAATGGTTTCTCTGGCGAGAACTTTAGAAAACACCATTTTATGAATGGTACCCCTAGATAAAAAAAAATCAAATAATAAAAATAATTTATATAGTCTATAATAACCATTTCCATGCTTTATTGAACTTTTAAAAGTTGACATGCTATAAAATTATCATACCTGAGTTTGGTTTTTAGAGCATTCTGGTTCTTGGTAACTGCTGCTTTGTATAAATTTATAAGTGCTGGAATTATTGTAAGCCATTTAGAGCAATTCATCCCAAACTTCGCAATAGTTTCAATTAAGTCAAGGACTCTACAAAAAACAAAAACAAACTAAACATGTGAAATTTTACAAACAATTTTTAAAAACTGAAAGAAAATTACTTTATTTGAAAATACATGGTGTTATTTTCTCTAGTATTCAATCCATTAAACGAAGATTTAGCAGAGGACTTAAAAGCTTCAACTAAAGCTGCATCAATTCTATGACCTTCGTCCTCACCTATATTTTCAACATCAACATCACTCTGCAATAAAAACAAAATAAATACTCAACAAGAATTTTTTTTCTTACACTAGATTTTTTAACAAGTTCGTTACAGCTGTCGTTCTGGAATGTCGCACTAAACCCTTCCCCATGTACAGATGTCATTCCAGAACGATGCACCTCCCCTAGATAACCCCCGCTTCCAAAGCTTGTTCTAGGGCGTTGGGGGTATTTTTGGAATCGAATCGGTGTCACAGGCCTTTGGTATAGCTTTCTCAATGTTACAACACCTTCCTGACCACGGCTGCAACCTACGTTGGTGGTACCACAGTGGTGAAGGGAGGGGGGTGTTGAAGGGAGAAACGAGTGGTGGTAGAGACGGAGAATTGGGGTGAAACTTTATTTAGAAAAAGAATTTTATGTTGGGCACGAAGGTTTCATTGGGGAAGTGTCAACACCGAAAGCCTACAAAAACGGTAAAAGGCTGCAATAAAAGTACAAGTAGAAGTAAAANGAATTTACGACTTAATACCTAGAGTTTCAACTTATCAGGCTTTATAAAGCAAAAGAAGAACCCTTAAGGTCACTCTTCAACACCTAGGTCCCCTCCAGCTGCACCGTGTTCGCTGTGACCTACAACCTCTCTGGAAGTTGCCTCACCCGTAAAATGTACAACACTGGGTCTACAGTACTACAGAACACATACGCTGCGACTTTCTTTATATTTTCCTTTGCTCGCAGAGACACTTCTGCCTGTGATTGCCTCTCGGGGACTGATCACTACCTTGCTTTTATTCCAAAATCTCAAACCCAGGGTCCACTGGCTTCACTAGCCCATTGGCCACCAGGTCATCTTTCATATCATGAAATGCTTCTCACTTCTCACTGACTCGCCCCGCTGATTGGTCTCTGCTTAGATCCAACTGCCTTTTGACACTATTCTGTACTTTCTGACTTTTATTATTATTATTTTAAAGACCATTTTTCGATTGGATGTTTTAGAAATTTTTTAAAGATTTTTTATAATTTTTTTTTTTTAATCGAAATGTTTCCCGTATTTCAGGAGTAACTTTACAAATCAGTGCCATAATGAACATGTTAACCTGTCATAAAACACTTACCATATCATCTCCATTTGGTCCCAAAATATCACGCAATTTTTCTTGCAAAGTTTCCTTCGAAAATTCATTTTGATTCGGTACGTCTTCTTCTGTGTCATCATCTTCATCATCATCTTCCGACTCTTGGGCACTGCCTTCACTGGAAGTATCGCTGACTTCATCTGCTTGACGACCATCTTCGAACACTTTATGCGCCCAACTCGAATTGAGAACCTACAATTATTCATTAATTAATTATAATACAAATAAAAAGTCCGTGAAAAGTACTTACACTGACTAACTGAGTGAATGCCTGATCGTTAACATGGGGAACTAAATATTTAAAAATGCATGCTATAATGTGTCTATGGCTGAAACACTGTTTTGACAATAGATTTAAAAATAAATCCATAATCACTTCGATCCAGGCTGGGCCTTCTTTGTCCTGGGCAGCGTCTTTTGTTAGCTTATAGAAAATTGAGCCAATGTCCTGAAAATTATTTGAATTTTTATTAACTGTGTCTCGCTTGTTTATATTTTATTTACCTGGAGGTTAATTTTTGTGTCTTCCTGTTCTTTGAATAAAATCAAGCACATGTATAGTGTCAAAACATAAATCGACTGAATGATTTCATCTTTGTTATTTTTTAAATGAGAGTCCATATGTTTTTCAAGCTTCATTGCATGTTTCCAAGTGTTGGCCATCTACAATTTTAAATTAACATAAAAAGGGTTGTCAATTTTCTAAAGAGAAAATTAAAAAAAAAAAAAAGTGTAGCAGTTATGAAAAAGAGGAATAATGAAAAAACAAACCTCTGGGTCAATTTTAATTCTTAACAATTTTTTTGTTAACCCTTCATTGATGAATGTTACAAGATCCTTCAGAACAGTTGTGTAAGCAGCCAAACTTGGAAATCTATTTGCAATCTGGCTGTAGAAAGCATTTTTAATCAAACCTGAAACAAAAAACAAAAAATAAATGAAAAATTAAAATTTTTATAATAAAAAATATTAATTTTTACAATACATTCATTATGTAAATGCATTACACAAACAATGTATGTGTTTATATAGAAAATATTTATGGAAAAAGCAACAAAATATTAATTTTTATTATACCTGCAAATTCGGCACTGTAATTCATATCAGCAAAAAATCCCGATCTCAACAGAAATTTCAACCCTTCAAGTCGCCACTGAGTGTTTTCATAGCAGGCTTGGTGACTGAGCAAACTAAAAACAAAAGCTTTAGCAATGGACAAAAACAAGTTCAATTTTTAAATTTATGTATAATTACGCGCAAAACAAATTCAGAGCGATCAAACGTTCTTTATTTGGTACCGCTTTAGTGTCTACAACATCCCTTAAATTTTCTGCAAGCTCTTTAATACTATTTTCACCCATCATTAGAATGACAGATGATGCCATTTTTGATCCTAAAATAAATAAATAATTAAAACAATCCACAGTAGAACCATTCTTCTCATAAAATATTTAAAAACTCCACTGTGCACAATGTGCATTTATTTGATTGTTTGTGTAGGTGTGAATAAAATTCACAAATATCTAAAAAAAAAAATTAATTTTTATGGCAGCAAGTTTTAAAAATATCCATTTTGTATGAATAAAGGTTATTAAAAAAATCCAAGAAATCCGTGTAATGTTTTTATTTTTATTTTAGAGTTCAATATTTTTCTTTTAGGGGACCGCGGTAGCCGAGTGGTTAGCATGAGAGACTCTCACGCCGCGGTCGTGGGTTCGATTCCCACCGTCGCCTCTGGCCCTTTTTTCCCGATAACCCCCAATTTGAACACACAAGAATTCGTACTATGGCTAATATGCAAGATCATAAGGCCAATAAAAAAAAATAAAAATATATATATTTTTCTTAGTATTTTTGATTGGATGGATTCGATTTTGTAGGAATTTGATTTTTTTATTGAAACCAAAACTTCAATTCTGTCAAGTCCATATCGGACTCAGGAGGGTCTCGTAAATGGTGAGTAAAGTGTAAGTTGGGTCAAGTAATCTAAAGGGTTAGTTTGTAGCATCAGTTTCGTCTTTTCTGTCATGTATGGGGATTCTATGTTAAGGCTTAATACACATGGGCCGTTGAATCGTGCAATCAATCGCACATAAATGGGCGCTTGTGGTGAACACATGGAGAGCTTGGACAAGAGCAGTTTCACAATGGAAGTCAAAGAAGTCGTTTGTCTGTGGTATCTCTATTAACACTATAAACTAAGAACACAGTGACAAAAGAACTATTGGGGCCATCATTTTTCAAGAGATAGATTCGCAAATAGTATGTTTGTTACTCTCTGCCACAAAATTACATGATTATGAACCAAAAATTTTCAATTATATAATTGAAATGCTAATTATTTTTTAAATTGCTCTTGACAATTTTTGCACTTGATTAAGAACGATAATCACCCAGACCTGCCAGAAGAAAAACTCGTCATAAAAATCTATAATGTTGATATTGCAAAACGAGAGTGCATCAACTTTCAACAATATGTTGTAAAACAAGTTAAAAGCTCTAGGCATTACACAATTTTAAAAAGCTCCAGAACTTCCGTAATGTTGCGATGCTGAACTGTTTGATGGTAAAACCACCTCTAAATCACTAGAATGTGAAAAACGTGGTCTTTGATGAGATGTACTTATTTGTGAAGTTATTCAGAAATCGTGAGATGCGGTCTGGTGTGATGTAGGTTTCAGAAAAACATTTTCTTTATCGTGCCAACGTTTCGATCTTTATTGAGATCATCTTCAGGGCCTGGGATTTACACTGTTTACATTTAACAAATACAAGTAGGATGTGGAAACAAGTGAATTTATACAATGCAAAATATATTTTTTTATATTCAATCAAAGTATTCTACTCACTCAAATTGTTTGTCTTCTGTGTAATTGTGCCATTCTTGCATGTCGGGTTGAGAGTGCCAGTGACATATTGCTGTTTTATGTTGGATTTTGAAGAGGTGGGGAAGGAAGTCGGTATAGAAAAGACATTTTTGTATAAGGCATCGGCTTCTTTGAGGTGAAAAGAGCCGATGACGGGGAAAAAAATGTTGGTAATGGTTCGGCCAGATTATCCTTTCAGGATTATATAGAAGGGGATAAATAGGAAAAGGAAAGCTAAATGTTTATGTTTGTTAAGCTAAACAATGTTTGTACATCCCAGGCCAAACGTTGGCACGATAAAGAAAATGTTTTTCTGAAACCTACATCTCACAATTTCTGAATAATTATCGATTAACAGTCACTAATCACCACACACTTATTTGTGAAGGTTGGGACAGATATGAAGCAGCTGTAATAAATATAAAAATAACTACACTCCACGTTCCACAACGCAGGTCTTTTTTCAATTTTGTCGATCAGGAGATTGGTGTCAACAAGGTACATTTCCGCCATGATGATTAGGGGGGGGGGAATTCTCTGGTTGATCTGAACAGACTGATTAGTTACTTTATATCTAAACTGGGGCAGGGAAACATACATGGTGAGGAGAATTTCAAATCGCCAGTTGGGTTGATCACGCGTTACCATGTGTATGTTCTACTTTGAACTTCAGTATTTCACTTAGAAAAGGCTTCATGTGCACTAGGCCTAAATCTTTTGTCAGTGGTAGTCCCAGGTAGTGCTAAATTTCTGTAAATGGAATGGGATTTCCATTGAATTGGACTGTGAGGAATTTTGAAGATGTGGGTGGATTTAATTTCATTAATTTTTATTCTCCATTCTGTGAGAACAAGATTGGATAACATTTAAATGGAGGTGGGTGTCAGGACTAGCTAGGGAAGGATCAGGATTAGATGGCAGGATGGGTGTGTCGTCAGTAAAAGAAAGCATATTGTATTGTTAGAGAAAAACAGAAATGTCTGCTGTGCATATTGTAATAGGAAGGGCATTAACCCTACTGTGAATTTTAATAAACCAATGGAAAGAGTGTTTCCACCCCATGACACATTTTTTTTCTACCAAATCGCTTAGAATATAAAATTTTACAAGTTTACAGAGTTTTTGTCTAAAGTTAAACAAAAGTTGCCCCTTGTGATGAGTTGTAAACACATGTAATTAATTTCCCAAAGGTTCGTTATCACCGGTGTAAAATTAAATTTTTTTTAACCCCGATGAATTCTTTCTACACATGGGAAACTTAAAAATGTCTATTCTGTTCCTGACAAAAATAAGTTAGATCTTACAGTAAGAATTCAGGTATTCTGTGCAGTTATGAGTGAAAAATGAAGGATCACTCTCAGGAGGAGTAAAATCTGTCAGGCTTGCGTTCTTAAAGAAAATGGACATTTTGAACATTTAACTTAATTTTTAGATTATTTTTTTATTATTATGTTCAATTTTGTAACAAAGAGTATTTTTTGTTTACTTAATAAGAAAACAAAGAGCTTAAAATTAAACGTTCAAATCGTCCACCTTCTTGAAGAACGCAAGCCTGGCTTCACTTCCTGATAGATTTTACTGCAATTGTATTCGAAGTCTAACCAATGTTAAATAATGAAATATTCACCAGACATTTTGTCGTAAGACAAACTTCCATGTGGAGGAAACATTATCTTCTTCAAAAAGCGCATACGAGATTCATCGTCCACTTTCTTAAGCAGAAAACAAATTGAATCTGAAATACCCGCCACCATGCGAGAGTGCTTACGCCCGTGAATTAATATTACATTCACTACAGGATCTTGAATGAGTATATCAACCTGCGAAGTACAATAAATTGACATTAAACAATTTACAATAAATCATCGAGTGAAATAAAAAGCAAGACTTACGTATTTAGGGTCTAAATCCTGTTTTATAACCTGTTTCAAAAGGGTTGCACACATTTTGAGAAAAGCTTCAACCATAGCGAAAGGAGGGTGGGCTTCCTTCATTTTTTTCTCTTCCGTGATGAAGTTGCAAACAGCTCCCCAGAAACTGGTGGTAAATCGTATTTTCTTCGCTATCTTTGTGCAGAATGATTCATAAAATTTATGCTCACTCGTATAATTAAAGGAGGATTTCTGCAACAGTAATATAAGTAATATATTAAAACATATTATTTACGAGACCCAAATGCTTAAAATAATGTAGAAATGAATGAATTTATTGGATTCAATATTCCTTTTGAATATATCTCAAACTTGTTAAATAGGCCAAAATCAAATAATAGTTATAAGCAAACAGCAAAGTTTTAAAAAATGTACATGCAAATATTAATAACCTAATTCTGCTGCACAATTTAAAGTGGTTTCAACAAATTATAATCAGGGTCTATAAANTGATATATATATATTTTTTTTTTTAAATCCACCAACAATATAACAAATAATTAACTTTTGTTTAAAGCAAATTGAAAAATAATTGTTTTGTTTAAAGTTTCCATACCATAATTAATTCTGCCAACTTAGAAGCATTTGATTTTGACAGAAGTTTGTTTGTTCCGAAGACCTCTTTCACAGTTCCACTTTCTGGGAAAGAATTTTGAAGATACATGAGGTAAAGTAATTTATCCAGTGTGTAGCTGTTAATGGCTTTTAACCGCTGGAGAAAACCTTCATTGACAAATTCCTTTGGAACCTGGCAGGACAAGAATGTTATAAATGTTGACCCAAACCGGTAACTTTAATAATAATTAATTTCAACCTTAGAAATAAGAACACAGAGACACTCGAAACATTGGGCACATAAATAGGAGCGTTTTGTGCTCAAGTCGATCAACGCTAAAGCGATAGTTTCCAAATGCTCCGGTTGGTCATCTAGATGATTGGTGTGTACCAAAGCTGAATAAGCCAACACTTGGCCCAAATAAGCTTCACCAGTTTCCTAAAAAAAATTTAAAAAAAGAAACAAAAGATTTTTTAAAACATTACTGTTCATTATAAATCTTTGTTGTAAAATGTTTACTTGTTTAGAAGTTAAGGCGGGGTTGAGCGTTTTCAGTATTATGTTATGTATCATTGAAAAATCAAAATCCTCTTTTGGTAATTGCTTTAAAAGGCATGAAAAGTTTGCATAATGACCCTGACGCAGTTCGTGCTTTGTAGCTCCCAGTCCTCTTATCAATCGCCTGAGAACAGTCAATCTACCACTCACAGTATCTTGCTGTAAACAAAACAAAACCAAAAAATCAAAACAAGATTTTTGCATACGGTAAATTAAACACACCTGGACACTATTTATTAACTCTAATAACACCATGCTTGGAATAAAGTCAGTGTGAATTAATTTTTCTGACAAATATATATGAAATATTGAAAAATATATTAAAAGCCTTAGAGTTTGTCATTATTACAGGCTAAAGAACCTGTTTTATCTGTAATATTTCTTCGGGCAAAGAAAAGCAAAGTAAAGATGAAGACTTTAAATAATAACTTTTCAATTAATAGATAATCCAAAAGACATATTTTGTTGAGCTTATTTCTATAATTACAATCAGATGATAAAAAGTAGCACTTTATACATCTATACCTTTGAAAATCAATAATAAACATTAACACAAACCCTACGTTTAAAGATAAATATACCGGGGGGGGGGGGGCCGCGGTAGCCGAGTGGTTAGCATGAGAGACTCTCACGCTGCAGTCGTGGGTTCGATTCCCACCGTCGCCTCTGGCCCTTTTTTCCCGATAANAAAAAAAAAAAAAAAAAAAAAAAAAAAAAAAAAAAAAAAAAACGTTAAAACACGCAAGTTTAAAATTTTTAATCCCAAAACAATTAGCTAGTCAATTCAAAAGAGGATGGCAGAAATACGACTAATCCTTAAGAACTTGTTTTCATGAAAACAACACCTATTTTAGGAACTTGAATAATTTTAAAATCTTTTGACAATCATGTTCCTATGAAAATAGTTGTCTGCCATTGTTGTGCATGTTTTTTAAAATTTTTATAAACTTTTTTTTAAACCTAGAATAAGAAAATAATACACACAATTGGCTACTTTGCATTTTGCTTCATAGCTCTGTCACAGAATATGTGGTTTGTTTGTATGTTATTTGATTCTTCAAGTCTTCACCTAGAAAGTAGGTGAGAATATTTTTTTTTAGCAAGAAACCAAGTTAAAAATGGTTTTCTACACTGTCAAAAAACCCTGAATACAAATTTTTGGTAAAATCAAAAAACTTTTTTATTTAAATTTTTTTCACCCTCCAAACGGCTCAGTAAGGTTTTTTTTAAATAGAAAATGGCAAAAAATAGTTATTACCCCATTATATTTAGTGGTCTATTGACCAAATTACTTCTTTCAATTAATTAATCTTTTTATGTAAGGTTTTGGATGAAATGAAAAAAATAGTTATAACATGTTCAATTCACTAGTTTTCGTGGTCCTCTTGACTAATTAATATCTTTCAATTAATTAAGGTTTTTAGTTGAGTCAATATCACGAGTGAGATTCAAAATGAAAAATGGCAAAAAGGAGGGAAAATTCAAAAGGTGGGGTTGAGATGGGGGGTTAGTGTCCGAGCGGATCTAAGTCACGATAGCTCAAGTGGTAGAGCAGCGGCGTATCTAGCCGAAGATCGTGGGTTCGAATCCAGCTCGTGAGATTGACTTTTTTATCTCAACTAAAAACCTTAATTAATTGAATTGTTATAACTTTGAAACGACTCCACCTATCGACAAGAAACTTCACAGGTGCTTAGAACCATACAAACAACATGTACCAGCATAGATTTGGTCTCCATAAATTAATTAGAACTGATACCTACAATAAAACGTTTTAGGTGTTGTACGTTTTTAACAAAGACTGAAAGAAGATAAATTAATCTTTCCAACGACTGTATTAAGATTCAATTTGGATAAAATCCAAAGGAGTTATTAATTTTCAAGTGGAACACTGGACAAAGGAGAAATTTTTTTTTAAATCTAGCCAATAATTGTCTACTACTCTACTACAAAAGTACTCATTTAAGGGCGTTAAAGAGTGCTTAAATTAAATTCAATTTTTTTATTTGTTTGCCTAATTTGTTGTAAATGTCAGTTTGTTTTTATATGTTTAATCTCAATTAATACAATCCTGCTCATTTGTTTCTTGCACTACATAAAAATAAGTAAATCAACTGATATATATAATAACGTCGTTTAACAACGAAATGGACAACAAAATAGAAAAGTGCATTTTAAAAACATACTTAAAGTACTTAAAATATTTTTTCTCTAGACTCCTAGGACAAGTTGGCTAGTATAAGTGTCTAATATTTTTTAACCTAGTATCACAAAAAAAAGTTTCATTAAAATCAGTCTCCCACAGCCATTTCCTCCTCTTGTAGGTCAAAAATTGAATTAATGCAATGCAATCCATCTTCTTCCTTATCCACAAATAGGCGAAACAATCCAAGAATGAAACACAGCAAAACAATGAAGTTGGCAACTAAAATATATATGTATTACATTATTGCGATCACATAATTGGTTCATGACAAGAAAATATTTTATGTTTCAAGATTGCAACATAGCTCTGAGTAAACATGAATAAAACTATAACATTCTAAAAATAAAACAAAAATAGATAAAAACCCGTGTTTAGCATAGAATTTCAAATTCAATTTTAGTATAGAACAATTTGTAGAAAATTCTAAATAAAAGTATAATTTTGAAGGTAAACAGAAATGATGCAATTATGATTAGCAAACTTGTAATATAAATAAAACAGTTTTTCAACATTTCAAACGTTCAACACTGCAAGATGGAATTTCACTTTGTATCCAAAATGTTACAAAATTAATATGACAAATGTTAAGATTCAAAACATGCTCGGGTATTAAATGAGAAAGTCAATGTTGGGCAGGATGGACTGAGGTTTAACCTCAGAGGCTAAGAACACTAAAGTGATTCTAACACTTCAATTTTGAACTATAAAAAAATTACTTCAGGTTTTTTCACAGGCTTGTTTTAAAGAATTTTTTCTCCTGGGATTTCAAGCTTTTAGCAATCACCTACACTTCTCCTACTGGCACCTTCTCTAAAATGACCAGTTTTTCCTATACAAGAACCTGTAGAGAAAATCTAACAAACCACCATCAATGGTCAATATCATTAGGGAGAATCCAAGCTGTACCATATTTTTATACTAAAAATTATGACCAATTTAAGAATTATTAAGGTATTTCTGATATAAAAAGAAAATGTTCGATCTTGTTCGCTATAAATTTAAAATGTCATTTTTTTTTTTTTTAAAGTTATAAGTTTCAACTTTGTAAAAGGAGGGCTGAGAAGAAGGATTGAATCGATTGCACTGAACTTGGGAACTAAGAAGTTACATAAGCCAGAAGGCTACTGTGCCTTGGGAGCGAAAGCCTCCTCTTTCTAGTATCCATCTCTATCAGTATCAGATATATGTTGAGATTTAAAGTTTTGAGCTAAAGGAAAGTACCCAGCATGTAGTTTGTTCATTTGAAGATCTTTTTACTCTGCCTATCATCTCTGGTTTCTTCGCCCTCTATTTATCACTGGTGAGATTCAAACCGGCGAGGATGTGTGAACCGAAATGGCCAGAACTGACTGAGCTACATGGAAGATAGCCCGATGTGGAGGCTATTGACAGAAATCTTTTTTGGATCCTTAAAGGGAACAAGAAGGAAACCCACCAGATCACTGTGGTGAATCTCTGACTATCATGCGTTAATTTTTAAAAGAAACAGGCCCACTTTAATACTGCGAAATGAATAATTATATGTATTTTGTAAGAATGTGTGTGTGTGTGCATGTGTGTGAAACCGCTAGAAACAACTGAACTACAGGTTCTTTGATTCTCCTGTGCTAATTTTTAAAAGAAAAACAGTGGTCTACAACAGCGAAACTATAATTATATGTTTTTTGTGAATTTTTATTTAAAAGTGTGTGTGTGAAGGTTAAAGGTGTACCTCATCGATCCTCATTTAGACTAGTCGAATTGTTTGAGCGATGATGTTTAAGTACTCTACTCGATTGAACGCTAATATGAAAGATTGAATTTAAATACGATTGTGATATGTTAAGATTTAAAATGTACGAGTGCTGAGGGGTGAAATCATTGCTGTTGATAACAGTGGGCAGGTATGGTATGGTATGGTATGGTGGAAGGGATGCCGGGAAGCGGGGCTTGTGTTCCCCAGGCACTGCAGCCTTCTGGCTTATTGTACCTTCCCAGTTCCCTAGTTTAGTCAATAGACTCAATCCTTCTTCTCAGAAGTATCAGGTCATTGACTGTTATTGCTGCAACTTGGTTCCCTGAGTCTTTTTCGTACGTTAGGTTAAACCTCCATTGAGCTGTTGCTTCGCATTCGAAAATGATATGAGTGGCTGTTTCCTCCTCCTCATTACATAATCTGCAAATGGGGTCATCGCTGTATATACCCATATTGTGTAGATGTTTTCTCAGATACCAGTGACCGGTTAGTAGTCCCACCACTCCTCTGAGTTTTGCCCTCTCCAATTGCAGCAGTGTTTTTGCCAATTTTGGTGAGGGTTGTTTCAGCATAAGTTTACTATGTCTAGCACCGCTAGAGTTTATCCACTTCTCTCTTTGTTTTGTTTGGATCCATTCTGCGATGGAGGATTCTGTGTTTGTTTTTGTTATCCCAAGGATAGGTTCGGGGCCTATGTATGGTCTTGCAGATCCTCTTCTGGCCAGTTTGTCCGCCTCTTCGTTACCCAGAATTCCCCTGTGCCCTGGCACCCAAGATATCATCAGGACAGTGGGCAGGATGTTAAGGTGATCAAACCAGCAGAATCGAAATGGCTATTCTCTATCTCAAGGAAGGGAATCAGGAGGCTGATAGGTATCCTGACGGGCCACTGCCCACTGAGAAGACACCTCTCCGTAATGGGTATTCTACCAGATCCCTTTTGTCGTTTTTGCGAAATAAAAGAAGAAACGGCAAGGCACTACCTCACATAGTGTGATAGGTATGCTAGGTCCAGATTTGAAATCTTTGAAGGAGCAGACAATGGATGACTCCCCAAGATAAAATGGTCCAAAATCTTCGGGTTTGTGAACAAGTCTAAGAGATGTATGCAGGACACGTGAGCCGAACAAGTCCCAGACCTTTTAGGGATGGGGTACGAGTCTACCCAGGCATTTAACCTCTCGGGACTTGGTCGCCCACCCTGCGTAATATATATACAGTGGGCAGGACCAAGAGTTAACCTCGGGAGGTTAATACTTGAGAAGATGATTCTGATGGTGTCATTAAACTTTAAGTTTTCTTAGAGGCTGTTTTAAGTAATAACTCTTATATCATGAGGTGGGGGTGTGGATGATTTCAAATGACCGCGCGGCGTTTGTTAAGATTTTTTTAAAGTTAATAGTAATAGATGTTATTATAATTGCGTTTGTATGCTTATGCGACGGATGTTAATGTTGGTTTTCCTTTTTCGGCGAAACGGTCGGCATTGAATTCCCATGTGGATGACGGGCGTACGTTGCCACGCAGGACACCCATCTCCAGTGGGAAATGGACGGAAACCATCTTCCGTGGTGCGATGGTGGCCGAGAAGCCTGGCAGGGTCAGAAATTTAAATAAAAAACACCCCCACGAAGAAAATCCTCGCATACCTTGTGAAACATGTGAATTATTTTCAAAACGCATTTGAAACGCAAGTCGTTGCTGTTGATGGACAGGTTCTGGAAATGGTCCATCTCGCTGGAGACCTCGACGTTGTCGGATTCCATGTTGGCGGTGGAAACTCGTCAAGCGGCGTGTCTTCCTGTCTTGAAGATAGATACGGACCGAGAAGAACGAAAACAAAAGTGAAGTTTATAACCTTCGCCCCTGTAAACTTCGGCCAAGTGTCACAACCCCACGTGCACCAGTGGGCGGGTTCGATTTTTTCAACTGTTCCGCTAAACTTTTTTTCCCCACAAATCCGGACCGGACGACTAATTTTAAACTAGACGATACTCGACTGACTTGCAAGCTTTCGCTCGGATTTGAAGTATGAAAGGCAAATCGGGCGGACCTTCCTAGATTCTAAGAGGTCTCGGTTCAGCTGAGGTCGTCTGTCGTCGATTCGTCCAAACCTCTCATGTCAAAATTTGCGTCATTTTTTAACCCCAGGCCGTCTTTATCTTTATATAAATCTAAACAATAAACAACTTCCTTGAATCTACAACTTCATATTTTCGATTATCCAAGTCGATGTCTATAGTTGGTATTTTGGCCATATCGATGTCTATGTCTTGGTTTTTCCACATGGCATCGATTCTCGTAAACGTCCATGTCGTCCTTGAAAGCAATCACTTCTTTTTTTTATCATCTTATCAAAGGACCGAAGGAGAAAGCTGCGAGTTTTCCGACTAGTCTCAGAAGGATTTGAACCAAAATTAACACCTGGAGAAAATGTTCAACACACTGAGGACGAGCAAATTGGTCGGCGGAGGGTCAAAAGTAAGAAAACTTATTTCCAACATTTATATAAATTGCAGGACGAAATTCCGTCTTGTCCTTCAAGGAGAATTCTCTGTCAAGATTAACAATTATAAAATGCTCAAAAATGGATAGAGATATTGCCAACTTTGTAGTATTTATTTTCCCTACCATTTTTATTTTATATTTATTTCAAATTGCATTAAAATTTATTAGAAATTATTGTTTTTTACTGTAGGAAAATTTAATTTGATTTTGAAAAATAATAGGTTTTAATACTATAATTTTGTTTATTGGACCCAATAATTTTTTAAATAATAAATACCGTGTGTAATGGCCTAGTACGCACTGGGATTCTTTGAATCGACTCATGTTGTGGGGCAGAGTCAGGGCTGCGTAGATTCATTGTTCCGATGCAGCCCCGACTCTGCTCCGCGACAAAGAACAGTGTCCAGACCAAGATTCAGTTCACATTCATCAGTGCCTGCAAAATTGATGGGGGAACTAGCTCTCGGGAATTTCCCTTGCTCTTTTTCTCATGTAGTGTATTCAATCGGAAGTGAATTAAAAAATGCCCAAAAAGATGGTGGGTTCGACAAATATTTCACGGCGGGAATCAGCTCGGGAAAAATCTTTTGGGCACGTTGAGATTAAATGATGGCGCAGGGTTCAGAAATTTTTTGAGGATGTCCCTGACCTTATACAAGACACTATCAAAATCCTCAAGAAAACACTCACTAGAATGTCAACCAAACAAATGAAGCAAGAGCGCTTGTTCCGATTCACATCCGCACTGGCAAATGTTGCACAACATTGAGTCAAAGAATCCCACATCGGGTGGGATTCAAAAAAGTCCTAAAATGCTAGCCCGCAATACACTAGATTCATCGCAACAATGAGTCAGGGCAGCCCGGCTCAGGCTAGATGCAGCTGAGACTCTCCGGAGATTCAAAGAGTCGATTCAAAAAATCCCAGTGCGTACTTACCTTTAGACATACTGTTAATAAGATTGATGCTAATTTCATAAGGAATTTCACTCCATAGACATTTCAACGCTGTATTCAGTTGTTGCAGGTCAACTAGCTCCGGATTGTGATCGAAAAACCTTTGCAACGCATCCCACATGTGCTCAATTGGATTGAGATGACAATGGGAGAAAGGACAGATGGGAAATTCCCAGGTTTTCTAAACAATGACGAACAACTCTGCCTCTATGAGGTCTGACATTGTCATCCAGTAATCAAAAATCCCTGCCAATTAGATCCCTGGGTTGATTATTCCTTGATAATTTCTAGGACATAAAGGACTGTGTTGAGGTTACCTTCAACAATATGGAGTCCAGTTCGTCCTCCAGTGTAAATCCCAGCCCAGACCATTACACCGCTTTCTCCAAACTGCACTGAAGGGAGCACGAACTGGGATATTGCACGTATCCACTGTTCTCGGTGGACATGACTCATCAGTAAACATAACAAGAGAACATGATTTCAATTGGTTTCTCTTCTAGGTGCTCGATGCACCATATTCTCCTGAGTTGTTGGTGGCAGGCTCTTGCTGCATGTCGTCGTTCTCACCTTTTGAATTTTCCCTCCTTTTTGCCATTTTTCAAATGTCGTGTAATCTATTTGAAAAATAGCAAAAAGGTAGGAAATTCAAAAGGTATGGTTGAGGTGGGAAGTTAGTTTCCAAATGGATCGAAGTCACGATAGCTCGAGTGGTAGAGCAGCGGCATATTTAGCCGAAGGTCGTGGGTTCGAATCCCGCTCGTGACACAGACTTTTTTATCTCAACTAAAAACCTTAATTAATTGAATCAAAAATAACTTTGAAGCAAAAGTTTTGATTGATACATGGTACTGAAAAAAAGGACATGGTACTTATATTATGGAGTACCAAACAATATTCCATAAAGACAAATATTTAGCATTAAATATGTGTGGTGTTTAGTGACCAATGATTATTGAGGTGCAGTTTGGTGCGATGTAGGTTTCTGAAAAACATTTTCTTTTTTTTTCTAGTGTTTGTTTTCTGTGTAGATGTGTCATTCTTGTGTGTTGTGTTGAGAGTGCCCACTGTTGGCACACCTCTACAGGGAAAACAAACACTTTGAGCCCTGAAAATGATCTCAATAAAGATCAAAACGTTGGCTTAATAAAGAAAATGTTTTTCTAAAACCTACGTCACACCAGACCGCACCTCACGATCTCTAAATAATCATTAAGAAAATGGGATAGGGATGGGGATAAAATAGGCAGCCACAAGTTCTTCTATACTTCAACCTCGAATAGATCTATTGTGATACTCTATTTTTATAACTCACTGGCCAGCTTCAGGTTGTTAATGATCCTCTAGAGCCTCATCATAAGTTGTAAAGTGTTCCTTTGGCCCACTCTTCCCTCTCTTATATAAGTACCTTGTACTTGTTGGTAAAGTTATATTTTGGAGTATCGACATTGATTGGCATGCCTAGAATGGCATCTGCCTGTATCTCCTCCTTTCCATTTCCATTGTTCTTTACATGACCTATCCTTGTAGATGGTTGTCCATTTGTGAGCCTGTTAGCCGTTGCTTTGGCTTCTCTTTCTACAAATAATTTAATATTTAAATGTTTTTTTGTCTCTATTTTTTTTAAAAATGTGTTAAGGTTTATATTTTCAGTATATGAACATTAAAAATTTTTTAACCTTGTTTTGTAGGTATTTAAGAGATTTCAAAGTACTTTAGTGGTCGCAGAACACAATAATGAGAGCCTAGTCCCGATTGTTTATAACACCGTGTCTGCTGCAAGCAAGGTCGGTGGTGATGTTTCAGTTCTTGTAGCTGGAGAGAACTGTGCAAAGGTGGACATTTTTATTTCACTTATAATTTTTATAACCTCAAAGATCATCGATTAAATAAGTACACGTTTTAGGCTGCAGCTGAAGCAAGTAAACTACCTGGCGTAGCAAAAGTTTTGGTAGCTGATGCTGTGGATTTCAAAGGATTCCTGCCCGAGAGCCTAACACCTTTGATAGTCGCTACTCACAACCAGTTTAAATACTCGCATATTATCGCCGGAGCGACGGCTTTTGGAAAATCTCTTTTGCCCCGTGTTGCAGCTAAGCTCGATGTTTCTCCAGTGTCTGACGTAATCGAAATCAAGTCGCCTGACACATTTTTGAGGACAATTTACGCAGGTTGGTTCACATTGTAACTTGGCTGTAAATGTTGATTGTTTTTATTTTTTTAAATTGTTTTTTATTTTTATTAAAATCACTAGCCCAACTACTTGCATAGAATTTTACATTAGTGCATGTATATTATACATTAATTGTTATATTTCACATTTAACAATTTAAGACATCAGATTGACCACTTGGTTTTATCACAGTATTCACTAGAGGAGAAATTGTTACTTGATAAATATCATTATAGTTTAAAATAAATTATATCATGCTGTATCACAGATGTTGTTAACTTGTATTGTAGTATATGTGGCTCTCCTAGTTTGAAGTGGACAGCACATTTGACTTTACTAAGTCCTAAATGGAATTTTTTGAATTTTTCTTGTATAGTCAGGAATTGTAGTTCTTTGGGTATCTGATTATTCCTCACGTATTACTCGGCATTTATTGCCATTCAGACTATTTTATGTTGTAATACTTGCAGCCGCTTTATTTTGGTTGAAGACGCTGCTTCCCATATTTCGCACCCATAAAGGACCAGGGGCCTTATAATAGGTTTGTAAATTAGCATAGCGAGTTTGGACCTTATCTTGTATTTGCGGTTTATAATAAAATGTAGCATACCCAGACAAGCATATCTTTCCATATTAAGTTAAATTTCTGTTTTCAAATGTTTAAATGCATTTAATATTGATATTGTATATTATGTAATATACTATTGTATGGACATTGCATTGTCAACCAACCACGTTTGGTTGATATCACTGTTAAGGCCACCAAAGAAAATGAAAATATAAAAACAAGGAGATGGATTTGCAAGTTATTTACCACTTTCTCTCTGTCAATTTGCTGTACAAAGTTCAAGGAGTTCATGCCTGATTCCTTCAAACTTTGTGGCAATTTTCAATCCAGTTGGTAGCTGTTTTTGAATGCTAGAAAATATTTTCTGGAGTCTGTTCAAAGATTATGGGGTTTCATATACAATATTTACCATGTATTGTGAAATTGGAGAATGAAGAATAAAAGACGCACAGGACTGAGGGATGATAATGATGATGGATACTGGGAAGTGGGGGTTTTGCATGTACTACTGCTATCTGGCTTATTGTACTTTCCTAATTCCTTAGTTCAGTGCAATCGACCTTCTCTTAAGAAGTAGTGTGTCATTGACATTGCTACAATTCCTTTTATGTCTCCATTGAAGCGGTTGCTTCGTTCTAAGATGGTATGGGTAAATGTTTCTGCCTCCTCATTGCATAACCTACAAAAGGAATCTTTGAATACCATGTTAGATGTTTTGTCAGTTGCCAGTGACCGGTAGTCCTATCACTCCTGAGTTTAGCCCTTTTTGTACCAGTGAGTTTGCCAGTCTTGGTGAGGGTTGTTTTGAGGGGCCCATAGAGTTTTTCCATTTCTGAGATAGAGGATTCTCTCCGTTTTTAGGGCCTATGATTTTGCAGATCCTGTGTCTGCTTTTTGTCACCCAAAATTCCTTCATGTCCTGGTACCCAAGATATCATTAGGTTGTTGTGTTTCCCCAGGTTTTGGAGATTTTTTTATGCATTGATTGACTAGTTTTGATATGACTTTTTTTACACAGTAATGCTTTAATAGCTCCTTGGATATCTGACCTTATGAGGATTTTTTTGCCAGTATAACCACTTTTAAGATTTTCGAAGAAAGAAGAATGAGATAAGAACAGGACTGAAGGAAGGAATGGGAAAGATAATAGCTTTAAATGTTTGGTGCATATGACTATTGTAAATGTTATTAAGCCACAACAGTTTATACGAAACCTTAAGAACAGCAATGTTTACTTTTTAATTATTAAGAAGTGATTTATTAGAAATAAATTAATTTATCTGAAAAAATTTAGTATGTTGAAATGTCAATTTGTAATGGTTTCTGTTTTTAAATATTAGCAGGAGTACGAATATTCGATTTTTTTTGGTGGGTCAGGGTCAGAAATTCCAGGGGCAATGGTGGGAATCGAACCCACGACCATAGGGTTTAAGAGCTGAGAGTCTGATGCGTTAACTAACACTAATTTTGAGATGTCCGGAAGACACCCATAGATTGTACTGCTAGGGACAAGGGAGAATGGATTGTAACTCTCCCAGGTCCCGTTACTATCAATAGAAACATTGAATGAGGACAACGTGTGTCTCAGTGGAGCAGCGGATTATTCTCAAGTTTTTGACCAAGTAATGGGTGAATCCAACCAAAATTTTGAGACGATTAAAAGAGGGATAGGGGAGAAGTCTGAGTCAAGAACCTATCTTTGCTTGACACAAAAAAAATTTCCGGAGGTGAAAAGGTCGAGAACAAGAACCTAGTGTGACCTAGGCCAACAGTGAGGCAACTTTTCATGTTGACTTTCTTCATGATTGATGCACAATTAACGCACAATATTATTGTGAATTATTTGATGCTGCAAAATCGTTATTTCAAAGGAAAAGAAGGAAGAAACAATCGGCCAGAAGTGTCATTCTTTGCATGCCAATGCCAGGCCTCTTATATTGGGTTGTCCGGAAAATAATGCAGGATTTTGGTATTAAACAAAAAAAAAGAAACTAGTTACTTTAAAGCAATGTTCTTTAATCAAAATAANTCCTGTAAACGTAAACAGAATATTTTATATAGATTTTTTTTAATGAAAACTTAAAATCCTGCATTATTTTCCGGACAACCCGATAGCTAAGGCCACGATCAAAAATTGGATGTGTTAGGATGGGGAAATGTTAGAACATCCACCCTATAGTCCAGGCTTGTCACATTGTGACTTTCATCTTTTTGGACCCCTCAACGATGCACATGGAAGCTTGCTTTTCGATCACAACTAAGCGGTTGAAGCATTTGTGTGCCAACGACTATGAGAATGTCCCAAGACTATTTATGACGATGCAATAAAAACACTCCAAATCCAATAGGAAAAATGTATTTCTGCACGGGCAGGGGAATATGTAGAAAAGTAATATATCGTTGTAAGCTTTAATTAAATAAAGTTAGGTTTAAAAAATTAAATCTCTTTTATATTTGATACTCCCTTGTAGTTTGATTTGCTGTATGTGTTTTTTTCATTTTTGTTTTGGTCTGTCAGGTGAGTTCAGGCTTCTGGACTGAACATGGTGTTAAAAAAACAGGAAACCCAAAATTTAAAATAACTGCGGGAGTAACTCATAGCCAGGGGCATTGGTGGCCTCAATGGTTTAGACGTTTAGGCGTTGACACGGTGCTCATTGCTGTAAGGTAAAAGTCCAAGGTTCGAATCCAGTGTCCCTGCATTCAAACCCGACATAATTACCAATGAGCTTTTTTTTTTTTTTTTTTTTTAATATTGGCACCCTGAGGGTTCATATAACCTCGTAGTTGAAACTCCCTCTTTTAAAAAACAAACAAAAAACTCATAGCCGAGTTGCCTCACTCTTTATTTATAGGACACGATGACTTAAAGTTCAGAGTTTCAGAATTTTATTTCTAAACAATTTACATGTAAGATAAGAGCATTAAAATGATGATTCTTTTTAAACGGAGTATTCATGTATGCTTGTACAACCATTAATTTATACAAACTTGTTTTCTTGAAGGCACTTGGATACAAGTCTGATATTAGTAATATTTTAAACTCAAAATAGATTTCTGTTGTACAATGCACCATGGTATGTACAACAACTACTTTTCACTGATTGTGCATCATTAAATTTTTAATAGCAAACTTCAACGACAGTACTTGCTAGACAAGTACTTGTATGCTAAGCAATTTTTTAAAATTACACTTTTACAATTATATTAAATTGACTTATGATTTGTAATGTTTTTAAACTGATACATTGATGGTTTATTTAAGTAGAATAGTAATGATTATACTTGTGAGTCATTGAAGGTGTTTTAAAATGTTCAGGAGCATATCTCACACAAAAATTGTTAAACTGTTTTGCACCTTATAAACTTTTTTTTTTAAGGAAATGCTATGCTTACGCTTAAATCAAAAGACAGCGTCAAGGTAATAACTGTAAGAGGTACGAGCTTTGCACCAGTAACAGGCGAGGGTAATGCTACGACTGAACAAGCCCCTGCCGGAGATTATAAAGCCCCAGCAACAACATTCGTCAAACAGGAATTGACTAAGAGTGATCGACCCGAACTTTCGACAGCCAAAGTAATCATCAGCGGAGGTAATGTGGCAATTTATTTCAAATTGTACCGTATGTAATTTTTGTGCGCCCTTGTATTGCAGGCAGAGGAATGAAATCTGGTGAAAATTTCCAACTGTTGTATACTCTGGCCGATAAACTTGGAGCTGCCGTCGGAGCCTCTAGAGCCGCTGTCGATGCAGGTTTTGTACCCAATGAATTTCAAATTGGTCAGACGGGAAAAATAGTCGCACCTGTGAGTTTTTTTATATATATTTTTTTAAGCAATTCAATTACACTTACCCTGCTAATTAATTATTCTTCTTCTAGGAATTATACATTGCAGTTGGTATTTCTGGAGCTATCCAGCATCTGGCAGGCATGAAAGACTCCAAGACAATCGTCGCTATTAATAAAGACCCAGAAGCTCCAATTTTCCAGGTTGCTGACTATGGTTTGGTTGCAGACCTCTTCAAAGCTGTACCAGAATTAACCGAGAAAGTCTAAGGAGTTAATGCAAATTTGACAGTTTGAATAGTTATCACGACAAGAAATGAAGAGCAGCTGAATAAAAGTTAAACTTGTATGCATTAAGTATGAAATTTTAAAAAAAGTTTTCAGTAAAATAAATGTCGATATATAGACTCGTTTTTGGAATACAATCATTGTGATAAATTACATTCAATAATCCAAGAAATACAAGTAAATATATTTTTTTATTTAGGAAGATATTGTGTTGTTTCTTTCATACGAGTACCCTTTACATTTTGCACTCGAGTTGATATATATTTATTTATTTTCGTTTAGACAACTGCATAACAAAGTTTGCATAATATTATAACATTTTAAAAAAAATTGTGATCACTGAATGAGAAATAAACTCTACTCACATAAACGGGTAAATAAATGAATGACAAACTATTTAATGAGGGAATAAAACATCTGAAAAAAATTCCAAACTGGAAAGAAAGTCTGGTATACACTAGACTATCAGTCTTTGTTCCAATTGTTCGGTACTAGTTTAGCTTGACAGAAAAGAGCATAGGCCATAGGCATTTACGTCTTCTCTCTGTAGGAACAAGGGTTCCAATACTAGCAAACAAACCACTAGGGCTAATGGCACATGCCTTCTTAAAGTTTATGGTTCATTTTTCAATAAAACTTTTGATCGTGTCCAACCTGCACATCTCATGTAAAAGCCCAATCCTTGTGGACCCAATTGGACTATTGCATGTTGACTGCCAGACAACACAGGAATAAATAAGAGCTGGTCTTACCATCATTTTGTATAAAAGCAACTTATTATTCAGATTCAAACCCAACTCCATACAAAGTAGTGAAAACATGAGTTGGACAGCTTGTTTTCTATTTGTAACCAGTACATTAACGTGTTTGTAAAATTTAGTTTGATGTTGCATACTGCCCAAGTATTTAATCGAGGGAGACAAGGTATCATATTGCCATTTATCACCATGTCATCAGTTTTTTAGGAATTAATTCTTATTTTACATTTCTTAAAGTATTTTTTTGATTTTCGTAAAGCATCGTTCAGCTTCAGTCTCTTAATGACAGTGCAGGTGTGCGAGGATGGACAGGGCGGTGTCGTCCACAAATAGGGCCAATCGGACATGCTTTAATTTTGGCATTTCACACAAGAAAACAAGGAACAATGTTGGTCCCAGCACTGAACATTGAGGAACACCAGCTACTACCTTAATTTCTTCATAAATGGTGGCTTCCTATAGTGGACTCTAGAGTCAATCTGTTAGATAAGAGCTGACTATTTTTGGTTGTTAAGTATTAATTTGTAAATCAGCCCTCGAGCTGTGTTACTTACATGGCTCTGGGAGCATAAAAACTTTAGGTCGAGAGTATAAAGAAAAAAATTCATGTCGCATAAGTCAATATACGTATGTTTCAATATCTAAATACTGGAAGCCAATCCTTGAGCCTACTATTTATAATTTTCCTTTGAAACTTTTTTTTTCCTTTATGGAAGAAATTGCGATATTATGACCAGAGCAGGGAGTCATTGGTCCAACAAGGGTGTACATTGAAAACATTGAAAATCTTGTATTCTTATATTTATAAATCGGAGCAATTATCTCCAGGAGATATCATTATCATAACATAACATTTATTTAGGTTAAGAAAAAATTGTTATTATACCGTTCAGAAACTGTTAGATCAGCAGATATTTGCAATAGATAAAGAGAACTGGACCTAAATGAAAGCCCTGAAGTACACCTGACTTGGACATAAATGGATATGATTTTACTCGCTTTAAATTAACCATCTATTTTCAGGTTTTGACAGCAAACAATGAAAAAAGAAGCAATGATATCACTAGTGATCAAGGGCTTGTAATTTTACAATGAAATGTGTAAAATTTAATCCGTTTGCCTTGCAATATTCTTAAACTAAAGCTTAAAAACTAAATCTTCCAGTTCTGCCATTTTAATGTCTGCGCAATTATACGCTTATTATTTTCGGTATTAATTTCTTTTGTTATTCAGATATCGTGAGATGCGGTCGGGTGTGATGTAGGTTTCAGAAAAACATTTTCGTCGTGCACTCTCAACATGACACGCAAGGATGGCACAATTACACAGAAGACAAACACTTTGAGCCCTGAAGATGATCTCAATAAAAGATCGAAACGTTGGCACGATAAAGAAAATGTTTTTCTGAAACCTACATCACACCCGACCGCATCTCACGATATCTGAATAACTATCGATTAATGGTCACTAATCTCTACACATTAATTTCTTTTGTTATAAACTGTTGATTTAGCCTAGGCTAAATAAAAATATCTTATAAAATACATAAAATATTAGTAACAATGGAATATAGCATAAATAGCAAAAAGGATTAAATCTTCCAGTTCTGCTATTGTAATGTTTGCACAATTCTATGCTTATTCCTTTTGATATTCTCTAATTTTTGTCTGCTGTTTTAATTTTTATTTTACTAATTTCTATTCATTAGTAATACATATTTTCTACATATTGATAGAAACCTTCTATTCATGTTAAAATCATTTTGAATTTAATTTGCTCAGTAAGTTCTTGGTGTTGATTTTTGGTTGTCACAAAAAAAATTATTACTATATTGTACACTGTCACTAATCAAGTAATTTATTTTAGTGTATTTTGTTATTTATATAATATGTGAAACTATGGTGATGAGAGTGAAGGTTAGCAACAAAAACTACTAGACCTAGATGAAATAAAACTTTTCGATATCCTTTTTCTTGTAAGATCACCACTCCTCCTTGACTATCTTTGCAGTTTTCCTTACTCACTACAAGATTTGTGGAATTTAAGGTAAGTGAAAGTCAACAACTTATCTACCTTAAAATAAAGATGTACAATAATAAATCAGTTGAATAAGAAAAAATAATTTGTTTAATGAGTCTTAAGGCTTTGAGTAGCGCGATCTAAGAGTCAAAGTTATGACTATTGTTGTTCAAAAATATACAACATTTCTTGAAATAAGTTATTACAAGTTACAAATAAAATTAATTCTCAAATTTTTGCTAAATATCGTTTGCCTTTGAGGGTGAAACTACAGAAAGTGAATTGTAATGATGTGATAGTATGGGTTGCGTTTTTCTTCTAGCACACTCCAGGTATTTTTATGCTGTTGCAAGGCTTTATGGATTTCTTTTCTATTTTAACAATGAATGCTGTCATAAGTTTGCTTGAGCAACATATTTTCTAGTTTATTTATGCCATTTTACTACTGTTTCCAGTATTACTTTGCATCTTTACCATAACTCTTTTTTAGTATTGGCTTTGATTATTTTTAGAAGGTCATATATGACAAATTCTACACACATCTCTTCTAGGATTTTAAGTATGTTAAATACTACAATAAAAAACACTGGTCTTAACACAGACTCATGTGGGCAGTATAATGTACCTTGTCACTATTCCTAGCTGACTATCTTTGAAGTATCTACCAAACAATTATTGAAGAAGTTTGCTAAAAAACAAAAAGAGAATATTGGACCCTTGGATATACCCTTGTGGTTGGGTGACTCGTTACGCACGCCATTTTTCATTGGCCATCTTTTTAGGAGTGCCGGTCGTTGTTCAACATTGGCTTTTTTGCACACCTTTATGGATCCCTTCTTGTTCCATTTAAATATATTGTTACTCTGCACCAGAGGTCTGGCCAGCTTGTGCCCAGAGTCAATGCCATGGCAAACAGCCACATCTTCCAAGGCTCTTGGCAGTGGGCCTCATCAGCTGCATAAACAACACTGTTAGCATGACCAGGGATGCACAGCTTCCCAGGTCGCATACACAGAGTTGTCCCACCCCAGGTTGCATAAACATCCTTGTCGTACACAACACATCCCAGTTACATACACAACACGATTAGCATGAACAGGGATCAAAACCATCCCAGTTCACAAACAGAGCTTTGCAGCAATAACCAATGATTCACCCCATCCCAGGTCACTTAGACAGCCTATGTCAGTAATGACCAGGTATCCATCCTTACCAGGTAGCATACACAGCGTTGTCAGCAATGACCAAATATCCTCACCACCCAGGTCACATGCACAGCCTTTTCAGCAATGACCAGGTATCCATCCTTACCAGGTAGCATACACAGCGTTGTCAGCAATGACCAAGTATCCTCACCACCCAGGTTGCATATACACCTTGTCAGCAGTGGCCAGGGTTACAGCCATCCATATTCTCTTAGACAACCTTTGTCATCAACGTGGAAACCACGCCAACGTAACGTTTAGCCCGGAGTTTTTCCAAAGAGTTTGTTCGTCAAAAGAGGGCTCCAGCGATCCACCGATTTCATTACCTATGACCCAGTGCAACAGCATTCCTCAATAAATGGCGCTTAAACGGGAACATTTATTTAATTAAGTCTTTTCCCCGTTAAGACAGTTTCATGTCTTTGAGCGAGATACCACGGGACTTTAATTATTTAAATCCTGGAGCAATGGTATTTGGTACTTGGTATTTAGTACATGAACTATCTAGTTCGTTTAAAATCTAGTCTAGTAAAACGAGCTCTTACTCTTCGGAACGACTTAGCCCAACTGTAGCTTTTTCTGTTTCTAGTCTGCCGTTTTTGGTTGCAAAACCACCTGTTTCCTGTTTTGCACTGTTGTTTTTCCTCTTTTATATTTATTTTGGATTCAGTCATGTTTATAAAATACATAATAATGTTTAAAACTTTCAATTATTGTTGTTTTATGAAAATTGATCCATTTTTCTATTCTATTCTGTCAAAATTGCCTGTTTAAAAAGTTTGTGGACGGCGCGAAAAAGGAACTTTTCCGGGCGCCAAAATGTGATCACAATTAGACTTCGACAAGGTATCTCACAAAAAAAGTATGGTGGTTTTATATTTTTATATGTTCTGTGTATTTGAATTAATTTTTTGTGAAATTGAATAGATTTTTTCGAACAAGAATATTTTAAGAGTAAGTTATGCGCGAGTATGTAGGAAGACAGTTCAAATTGGCCAAAGCGGCCCGCGTTTTTTCTTTTCTCGTACTGATTCTTACAATTACCGAATCTTTCGACGTCCATCAATTCCGACCAAAAGAACGATTGTCGTGAGGAATTTTTGTCTGATTCGTTTAACTTGGAAGTCGTTGAAATTGTCTTTGAACTCCTTCGCCGTGAGTCGATTGACAAGGAACGTGCCAATCCTCGAAACACGACTTCAACCTTCGCCTTGTGGTTACTCGACGGGACTGTTGTCAGTGGCAGATTTTTACTTCAGCTTTGTCCTATTCTTCGTTATGGGATCGGTTTGAACCGACGAAACGTCTGGAATTAACTTCGTCAGAGTAAGTCTCGAGCGGCTTTTTCCCTCCAGGAGAATCGTTCTTTTTTTTTAATACATATATTGAATTTCCGCGTTTCTTTTCTTTCCCATTTTGCATTTACTGTACGTCAAGACGAGCTGCACGTGTTTTCTGTTTTTACGTTGATTACAGTTCGTTTAGGCTTGTTTTTTCCCCACTCTCTCCCATCAAACTGCTTATTTTAACGTTTGAACCCTTGTCGCGTCTGCCTCCCTGGCAGTTTCGTAACGATGTGGGAGATCCTTTAAAAAACCCCTTCGTATTTTCTTTCTAATCCCCTCCCATATTTTTATCTGTTTTTTGAAATGAGAAAAGTAAAGAAAACACTTTTTAAAATTCATACCATTAGTTAAAAAAAAGTAAGGCAAATGGTATTTCGTAATAAAGACGTAAACGCACCTGCGAGGTCGCCTCCAGTGAATAATCAACGACCGTTAACCCTTTTAAAGCTCAAGTTTGAAAAAATAAAAACTGCCATGCATTAAAACATTTTTTATTTATTCAAATATTACCCGAGATGGGACCACCGTGATTACCTCGCAAATCAGATCGAGATAAGAATAAAATTCTAAATTTGATGGATTGATTGTTCTCTAGTCAATTGAAAATTCATGTTATTCGTTCTTTTTTCTTATCAGTCATTTGGAAGCAAACAATGCAACAATGGCACTGGTGAAAAATGAATCATTGTTTGAAGTGTCAAATTACAAAAAGCAACATTAAAACATGATTGAGTTTAAAAATTATGGATAATCTCAAGATCAAAGTTGGATGCCATGAAGATTACGGTGGCCAAAGTGTCATGTTTCTTGCATGCGCCATGCTAGAAGTCATGGGTTCGAATCATGCCACCGCCATTATAATTTTATAAGCGAATCAAACTATGAAAAAATGCCAGTTTTGATTTTTTTTTTTCAAATTCAAATAGAGATAAATATAGCAAAGTGAAATAACTTTGAAAATAAAATCTACTTTTCATCTAGGTTTTGGGTGTCAAGTTGTTAGATAGTTTTGATTCTTGTATATGCCATGGTAGCAGTCATGGGTTCGAATTATGCCATGGGCATTATACTTTTTTTGGGAATCATACAATGAAAAAAACCAGATTGGATTTTTACAAATTTAAATGGAGACAAATATAGCTAGGAGAGATAACTTTGAAAATAAAATCTACTTTTCTTCTAGGTTTTGGGCGTTAAGTTGTTAGATTGTTATGATTCTTGTATACGCCATGCTAGCAGTCATGGGTTCGAATTATGCCACGGGCATTATAATTTTTTTGGGAATCATACAATGAAAAAAAACCAGATTGGATTTTTACAAATTTAAATGGAGACAAATATAGCTAGGAGAGATGACTTTGAAAATAAAATCTACTTTTCTTCTAGGTTTTGGGAGTTAAGTTGTTAGATTGTTATGATTCTTGTATACGCCATGCTAGGAGTCATGGGTTCGAATTATGCCACGGGCATTATAATTTTTTTGGGAATCATACAATGAAAAAAAACCAGATTGGATCTTTACAAATTCAAATGGAGCCAAATGTAGCTAGGAGAGATAACTTTGAAAATAAAATCTTTTCTTCTAGGTTTTGGGCGTTAAGTTGTTGCATTGTCATGATTCTTGTATACGCCATGCAAGCAGTCATGGGTTCGAATCATGCCACAGACTGAATCAAACAATAAAAAACGACCAATTTGGATTTTTTACAATTCAAATGAAGTTAAATGTAGCTAGGAGAGATAACTCTCCTTTTCTTCTTGGTTTTGGGTGTTAAGTTGTTAGATCGCCATGATTCTTGTATATGCCATGCTAGCAGTCGTGGGTTCGAATCATGGCCAGCCATTATAATTTTATAGAGAATCAAATGATGAAAAATGACCAGTTTGCATTATTTACAATTCAAGCCAAGGCAAATATAGCTAGGAGAGAATACTGTGAAAATAAAATCTCCTGGTATTCTTGGTTTTGGGCATTAAGTTGTTAGATCGTCATGATTCTTGTATATGCCATGCTAGCAGTAATGGGTTCGAATCATGGCACAGCCATTATAATTTTTTTTTTTGAATTATACGATGAAAAACGACCGGTCTTGTAGGTTTTGGGTGTGACGTTAGATCGTCTTGATTCTTGTATGTGCCATATTAGATGCCCAGAAAGTGGGAGTCCCAGATAGTGGAGGGAGATGGACGTTCCATAGCACAAGTTTGTAAATTGCTTTTACTCATGTTCATCTGATACGTCCAGTTGTAGAAGAATAGAATTCAAGCACTTGCTGCCATCCGCACATTAAGTGGGTCGTGGGTTGCCTTTGCATTTTGCCCTCAACGTATATGATAAATTTGATTTTCGCAAGGAAAAACATCCTAGCATACCCTTTGTAATTTTATTTAAGAATTAAATGGTGAAAAAAGGCCAATTTGTATTTCTACAATTTAAATGAAAGCAAATCTAGCTAGGAGAGATAACTGAATACAATAACTTTTGTTTCTCTAAGTTGGGGTTTCAGGCTTAGGACTTGTGGACAAGGATTACCACATGATTCGAACCCTAACTTTCCCCAATTTGGACTCTTGAGGCCGTTTTCTGGTTCCCTTATGCAGATGAAAGAACTCTGCTTGATAAAAAGTAATCTTTTCAATTACTTTTAGTGTAAGATTTTTAATTTTTTACGTTTTAGATTAGATCTGGATATAAAATTTTCAAACCGATGTAACCAAAGCTACAAAACTTGGGAAAACCACATTGGCATAAACTACAATAGAAAGTAGGAATGGACTGCCACAATGGTAGCGCAATGGTACAAAAACAGTAGTGTGCCTCTAGTTATAAATTGTTCAAAAACTCGAACACTTATGAGGAAAAGGTTGAAGGCATGGGAATGCCTTTGACACAGTCTAGGATCTTCTACAGGATGATTGATTATAAATTAATTATAATGTCCTCTTAATGGCAGATTGGTTCGTGTCTCAATGAAGCTACATCCTCCTTTTCAAAATTGACACTGGGGTACCTCATGGGTCTGGTCTAGAACCAACAATCTTCTCAATATATTTAAATGCCCTCTCTCCACAGTACTGTTAATCAACATTTCTATTTACATACGAGAATTAGATTAGTTCACTGTAAATAATAAAATATTTTCTTTCTCATGCCTTCAAAACCCATAATATGTGCGTGCTTATTGTATGAATTTAAGTTTAGTACTAGGGAGGCTGAGGCAGCTCGTAAAATTTGCATTGCGTTTGGAAATATCAAAAGCTGTAAGTCAGCGCATTGCCCAGAAGTGGTTCAAAAAGTTTGCTTCTGGGAATGAGGGGATTGAAGATGAATGGTCTGGTAGACCTGTCTTGAGTGGTGACAAATTGAGGGAAGCTATCGAACTTGATTCGAGTCAAACATGTCACAAGCTCGTCAGAGTGTTCAACTTAAGTGATGGTAACATTTGCTCTAGCTTACATTGACATGGGAAGACGTATAAACTCATAATACCACATAAATTCAGAAGGTTTTACCATCGGCTTTCACCAGATGACCCTCATTGACACGAAAACTAAATATTCATCAATGAAAGGCTTTGGGTTTGGCGGAGTATAGCGGGCATTGTGCACTGTAAACTGCCATATGGCCAATCCATCACTGCAGAAATCTACCCAAGCCAACTGCACTGAGTCTCTCGCCCTAGCCTAAAACCAACGTGCACAAGGCATGCAGGATTGTGAACAAGGCGTAATTGTTCACCAGAGCAATGCGATTCCTCATACAATGAAGCTTTGGGAAGTCCTACCCGCCTCACTCTCCAGACCTGGCCCTATCTGACTTTCACCTTTCCTTAGCAATGGACAATTATAAAAAATGAGCTGAATTGATTTTTTAAGTCCCAGGACCCAAATTTTCATAAGAAGGGCATAACTAGGCTAGTAACTCTAGAGAAGGGTTGAGATGCCGATGGAATTTCCTCGAATAAAATATTTCTAAACCAATTTTAATTGTGATAATTATTAAACCCACACAAATGTTTCTGGTTACCTGGTATGCTGTTCCTCCTAGAAACCAAGCGTTATAGCTAATAATTTGAATTTGTAATTTCATCCTTACTGATCTTGGTCTGCCTGTCTTCACTGGGTTGGTGTCAGACGCGTCAAGCCGAGTCTCTTTTATAAGGTTGCAAATTGTGTGTGCGTGTTGGAGTTTCTCTGTTTGTCTCAGACTGTTAGTAAATTTTGTCAATGTTTCTTCTGCTAAGATGCAGTATGCATTGTTGCTAAGATGCAGTATGTATTGAGTATGCACTAAACCAGTAAAGATACCTAGAATTAAGTTTCTTACTTTCTATACATCTGAACGTTTCTTGTCTATAAAATCTTTCAGAGATTCAATTGGCTGTTTCCAGCGAGAAACTTTTGTCCCTGAGTACTGCTCATATGTCATAAAGATATATTTGATCGTTTCTATAACAGAGATTTGGGTTCTTTCAGCATTATGCCGACAACCCTACAGTTCGAATTATTAATGATCAAGTGGTTTTCTGGAACCAGTTGCACTGTTTTGCACCATCAATTCATTTTGGCCAAGAAATTAAAAACTGTTAGTAACAAAGAATATTTACATGAAATAGTTTGAATGTTCTTCTATTATCTATTAAATTTTGTTTTACAATGAAATGGACTTTTAAATTAAGCGATTTTGTATTGTTCAAATTTGTATCTTGCTTCTTATCTTAACTCAGGATTTTATAATAAATATTTATAATAAATATAATAAATGAAGTGAAAAAAATTAATCACAGATTTGAATCATTCCTATTTTCATGGTCATGCTATACTCACTGGGGGGGGCTCTTTGTGCCCCTTCTCAGCCAGGGATTTTTACCACCAGTAAAATTCCTAGCTAACTTTTACTCTGTAGTCACTGACAGTCATTTTGTCTGTTGCTTAATTCAAACATACGCATATACTTTTTTAATTTAGATCCAGTGGGGTGATATACACCAGAATTATTTGTTGAAACTCGAACAAAGGGCTTTCAGTCTTACTAATTTTTTGTTCTGTTTCAGCTCCCTTAAAAATGAAGATCATCGTTAAAGTTCCTGCGGTGTCGATCGCTAATGTTATAGGCCCATCTGGGTCGGTGTTGAGACAATTGCAAGGTATCAGCGAAACGAAAATCAAGCTTAAAAATGAAAACGAAGACTACGCTATTTGTTACATAAATGGTCAAAAAGAGAATGCAGAGCTGGCTGAAAAACTGATACTAGATATAATTGCTAATAAGTCGCCGCTGATGAAAGGTAAAAAAGACAGTGTTACTGTTGAAAAAGAAAATTATTCTCGATATGAAAGATTTTCTGATACAATTAATGACACGATGATTCAAGTTTACGTGTCGAGTATTGCTAACCCTTGCCATTTTTGGTTGCAATTGATCACGCCGAAAGCTTGCGCTTTAGAGCATCTTGTAGATGACATGACGGAATTTTATTCGCAAGAAGAAAACAGAAAACAGTACGCTCTCGCTAAAGTGACAGTCGGACAGATAATCGTTACGAAACTGCCAACAGATGAGAAGTGGTGCAGAGCGGAAGTGTACAGAATCAAAGGGAAGGCTAAAGACCAAAATCCAGAAACGATGATTGATCTATTCTGCGTTGATTATGGCGATTTTTCATACCATACGTTAAAACATTTGTATCAAATAAAGACAGAGTTTCTATCCCTGCGATTTCAAGCGATAGAAAGTACTATGTGTGATATTGTACCAAAAGACGGTTCCGAGTGGTCTGAAGATAGTAGAACGGCTTTTGAAAATATGGTTTTTACTGGGGAATGGAAGGTGATGCTTGCACAGGTGGTGGACTATAAGAGGACGGCGAAAACAATCAGGAAGGGCTGCCCGTTACCATGCGTTCGGCTGTACGACCCAGAGGATCCTCAGGGTATCGACATCGCTCAGAAATTGATCAAAATGGGGCTAGCGAGCCCAGCTCCAGCACCTGCTTCAGTCATAACATCTAGCCCAACAGCAAACGTTTCTACAGTTATAACAAACGGCGAAAGGAAGGATGCCAAAAAAAAGAAAGGCAATGGTGGAATCAAACAAATTGCAACAACCAAAACTGGCGACGATGATAAAGAAATGAAAAGAAACAATGTCAATGAAAGGAAGGAGTTCACCGTTAAGGAAGCGCCCAAAAAAGATCAGGTCAACAGGAAACTCGAAGGAGCTGCTAATGCTAGTAAACAAAAAAAGAGATAGATAAAAAAACATTGAAGACTTTTTCCTATAATATTGTGATGCTATATTTAGAAGCTAATTTATATTGTTGAGTATCAAAACTCGTTACTTTAATTATTTATTTTCCTTTATTTTTTGATTTTTTATGGTTTCTACTCTGTACTCCCCTCCAAAATGAAAAATAAATAAAAACAGCTGCTGGTTTATGAAATAAAATTATTTTTGTCATGCATTTTTCCATGTGCTTTCATTGTTAATTAAAATAGTTTTTTTTTTTAAATTACTTTCAAGTAGCCCAACTTGCTTATGTAATACTAATATAACATGAAGACCAGTTATTAATTATGATTTATACTATAGTTAGAATTGAAGTATGTGTGTAGACAATTTTTGGTTTTTATACACAATATAATCCAGTATACTTAATATGTACATCTGTTTGTTTATATATAAAAAAATGGATTTTATAAAAAAGCAAAATAGTGATATTTTTATATTTAAACAATATTATATTATTATCTATTAGGTTTTCCTTCCTCTTTTACATGTCCTGCAAAATTCAAAATTTTGAATTAGCAATTTTTCTGCTCATGTTTTAAGTATTTTCAGACATTTTAAAATTGTTATGATTAAATTAATCAGTTTATTACAAAATGTGTTTATTATTACCAGCGTTGTTTTAAATAAGATAGTATATAGATGTAAGTTAATCAAGGGCTCTTGATTGAGTGAAGACAAAACGAAACTGTTTTTTTATGTTGTTTTATACAGCAATAAAAATGATGTGATAGTTACATTTTCAATGTTTCATTTTGCATAATACAGAAGGAAATGTTTTCTTGTAAATTTTTAACTAGTAGAAGGAACCTTTCAGTTTGTTCGGCCTTTTCCCCGATCCCTTAGAAAAACTCAAGTAAAGCGAATTAGTTTTATTTAAACCGTTTCTTACCATTTTCTTTGCAAAGAGTGTAGATTGATCTGGGATTGGATCTTGAGTTTTTCAATTGTTAGTGAAGTGCCTCTTTGGAATTGGTCTAAATTTCATTGGAGGATTATTTGTGAGCAGTAGAATTTTGGAAAATGAGTTTACACAAAATCAGGCCAAATAGTGCTGTTCAAACAAAACCCTCTAAAAGAAGAAACAACAGATGTTCATTCATTGATAAATTTAAAAAAAGAATTATTTTTATTTTTTATCAAACTAAATGTGATTGTACTGTTGAACAATGCACACCACAAAAATGGTAATTTTTTTTTGCAATATTACATTTCTTTTGTGTATGTTTTGTTTGTTCGATACATGTGTAATTAAAATGATTTTTTTCCCAGTGTTAATTTGTACCTTTAGAATGGCTAATTCATGATCAAATTTCTACCTCTTTACTCAAATATATTAAAAGTAGATGATGGGTGTTGTTGGTCAGCTAGTCGGCATCAAGGCATGTTCAGTGAGGACTTGTGATGGGTGGCAGAAGATTGTGCGAAGCCGAAACACATTTTAGTAACATAAAAACCAGTGAGGATAAACGGGCCTGATGCTAGTTCAAAAATAGATTTTTTTCCATCAAATTAACCCTTTTTTTAAAGCATTAAAAAACTTAGGATATGGCATGAAATACAATGTAGGCATGTAAAGTGATTCTTTAAAGAAAAGTTAATTTGAAATTTTGACAATTAATTTGATGTTAAAAAGGGTTAATTTGAAATTTAAAAGAGTTAATTTGATGTTAAGAAAAGGCTAATTTAAAATGGTTATTTTGTTGTTAAGAAGGTTAATTTGAAATTTAAAAGAGTTAATTTGATGTTAAGAAAAGGTTAATCTTTTCTAAACATTTAACACGGTTTAACATTTAAAATGGTTAGAATGTTGTTAAAAAGGGTTAATTTGAAATTTAAAAGAGTTCATTTGATGTTAAGAAAAGGTTAATTTAAAATGGCTAGTTTGTTGTTAAAAAAAGGTTAATTTGACGTTAAGAAAAGGTTAATCTTTTCTAAACATTTAACATTTAAAATGGTTAGTTTGTTGTTAAAAAGGGTTAATTTGAAATTTAAGAGTTCATTTGAGGTTAAGAAAAGGTTAATTTAAAATGGTTAGTTTGTTGTTAAGAAGGGTTAATTAGTAATTTAAAAGTCAATTTGATGTTAGGAAAAGGTTAATTTAAAATGGTTAGTTTGTTGTTAAAAAAAGAAAAGGTTAATTTAAAATGGTTAGTTTGTTGTTAAAAAAAGATTAATTTGAAATTAAAAAGGTTAATTTAAAGTTAAAAATGGTTAATTTGACATTTAAAAAGTTTAGTTTGTCGGAAAAAGTTATATTATTTTTCAAGTGGAATTTAATGTAAAAAAAAAATAGTTGGCCAATGAGGATTAACGTTTTGAAAATAACGAGATGGCCAACTCAACCACACTTGAAGAAGAGGAATCACCCAACTAAGAATATGCCATACTAGGCTGACAAAAGAATAATTTTGAGCTAATGCTATTGTGTGTGTCCAGCAAGTTCGCTCGATATGTACCAATTAATCTTTGGCTCCTTATACAGAGCATGTAGGAATGCCACCTGATATGATAATTGTGCTTGTTCACAGAAACGAATCTTTGGGTCCTCTGATCCGATTTTCGTAGGAAACAGGATATTGTGCTGTGTGTATATTGAGAGTGAATACGTTTAGGATGAATGTGTGGTGGTGAGAGGGCCAATGGAATATTGAGTACTCCACCACCCTCCTATTGCAAATCTGCAATTTAAGACTGGTTCGGATCCTTGAATGAGCTTTTGTCCCTTTTTTGAGCTTTATGTTAGGAGTTTGTGTTTATGACTTTGCATACTGTGACCAATATTAATTTACTGTAAATTCTCCATTATTGCCTAAAGCTCTTTGTTAATGTTAGGCGTTTTACAAGACAAAGCTTTGTTAAGGGCTTGATTTTTCCTATCCTAGGAGTAAGAATCTCATCAATGTTTCAATTTTTTCTTCTTCCAGGCATTATCTGCACAGGCTTGTTTCTGCTAGTTGAGTACACATATGCCTCTAGAATCTGCAGTCCTACTTCTAGTCCTAACATGCTCTAGGTTTACTAGTTCTGCTATGGTCAACAAAGAAGTTATTCTTAACCCATTGTTTTATGTATCTATTTTTGGCAATTTATCATCACCACATCAAACTTTACCAACAACCAATATGCCTTAAGGTTAAAAGGAGTTGGTGTTTGACTTTGCACACTGTGGCTAATATTAGTTTATTGTTAATTCTCCATTATTGCCTAGAACTCTTTATTAACTTAGGCTTTTTACAAGACAAAGCTTTGTTAAAGGCTTCCTAGTGACATCTTTGGCTTTTCCTATTCTAGTCTACCAAGGACATGTTTTACTTTTTTAGAAAATATACAGGCTTGTGTCTGCTTCTTGTCTATTCATATGCCTCGGGAGTATGCGGTCCTGTCATTGTAGTCTTAACATGTTCTGCCATTACTTTGACAATGTTAGCTATGGACCAAAGAACGTATTCTTAATGCATTATTTTATGGATCTATTTTGGTAATTTGGTTGAGCTAATGGGCTCAGGGCCTGATAGTTGACCTCGAACTTTCACTGTATCCAAACAAGATTAATTTTACTCTTTAAATTCACTAATTTCATGGTCCGCTTGACCAATTAATTGTAATTAATTTTACTGTCCCCAATGTCTGGGCAAGGTTTTGATGCATTCCCAAACTGCTCTGTACTTCTGTTGCTGTTAGTCCGAGTCTATTCTTTTGTTTGAAATGCCCAACCCTTTTCCCTGGCAGTTTCAACCAGTCTCTGCCTGAAAAAAATATTGCCCAAGTCTTATGTTTATTTCCATAGATAACAGCCCTGAGCCATCTGTATACCAGTTGGCATTAACCGGTATCATGGTGTCAACGGGCTACCCTAAAACTTTGTCTGCCTCAAGTTAGTCTTGACACTTTAATTAGCATTAGCCTGTGAATTGTGCCTCTAGCAGCATCAAACCTTCCTTGGCCAATTTACAAAGTAAAGCAGTTATCAATAATGCATCTTAATAATAAAGTCCGTTCTCAGTGATAAGCAGTTTTCTGCAATTAAGACCGTTTATGATCCAACCACTGAAGAAGCCTCATGACCAGGAACTCACCTGAATAAGTTGTTGGGATCGCATTCCAATATCACTTTTCCCATGCATTCAATACGACTTTCAAACTCTCAAGCATCAGCCAAGATTTCTTCAAGGGAATTTTTTGTTTTATGGTAATTTATCTCTATAAAGATCCTTTTTTGGAAATTAATATAAACTTGTAATGTGCATATACCTAGATATGAGTTCCATACCCTATTCCTGACATGTGACCTCAATCCCTACTTTTTGCTAAATGGACTGATGTTTTTTGAAATATTAGTACATATGTAATTGAGAAAACAAGAAAAGATGTGTGCTTTTGTTCATTTATACCATTAGGATACTACAAAAACCAAAAATCTCATTTTGGCCTAGGGGGAGAAATGCAGGGGTCTCATGACACATCCCTTCGCCACAGGTCTCTCAAACGTTTACGTTTGGTTTACTTACTTACCTAATCTCAATTTGATTCACCATCTTTTAAAAAATGGCAAGCTTAAAAGAAACAAAACAGAAGCTTGAGGGAGAAGAATTTGATCCTGAAATACTGCCTGAGATTTATGTGGACTACCGAAACTATAAAAAATACCCTGTATGCGTTTCTTGAGGGTTTGAAAGCATGACTTAAAACGCTATAAAAACCAATTAATTTTGTATATTCTTCAGGTAAATGAAATTTATTAAGGAATGTTTAGGAAACATTTTATTATAAAATTATCATCAAAATGCAATTGGAATTAATTTAACGTGTTATATCACAAGTCTAAATTTTTATAATGCTAAACATTCACTTGAAGTAGAACAATGCCACAAGTCTTCTTTTTTCTTCCTTTTCTCTCTCTCTCTCTCTCTCTCTTAATGAATATAATAATAATTTACTAACAAAATAAGAGAGAAATTAACTGCAACAGGATAACCAATTCATCATTTCTAGTTTTAAATATATTGCAAGTGATTTCTAAACGTAATTTTACAATCATTTCTATTCAAAAAGATTCGCATGAGCCATATTGGAATGATTTTAAAGTCACAATTAAATAAGGGACATTAGTTACATAGTACCAAAAAAATATAAAAAAATTGACTAACTATATTTAAAATGTAACAGTCTTCAGTATTAAATCGGCTATTTAAACTAACATAAAAAAATATCTTTTAATTAATTTAATTTAAGAATAACTGAATAAATTAGAAGTGAAAAGCAATTTTGTTCATCAATGCAATGTACATAAAAACCGAATTGCAATTCTGACAAATAACAAATTCATAGCAAAGTAGATGTTGATAAATCGCATTCAAGTATGCTATATTATAATTCTTGACAACAAGGACAAGCAAGTGTTTTTCATTTAATTTAGTCTTTGACTAGATTTGGCTCAATAAAACAATAGAAAAATCAAAACAGTCAAATGGTAGTGCCCTCGTCACAATTCAACTAAATATGTTGTATTTCTTTTATAACGATTCCTGGTTTAACTCATATTCTCTTCCTGTCACACTGCATCATTTCTGACCAACTATTAACAAACAAAAAACAAAATAAAAAACAGTTCAAGTTGAAACGATACTGCAAAGTATCAAGGCAAATGAATTGATAAATTACAAGAATCAAGAGAATACTGAGCGTTATTACTATCTATTTTTCCGGAAGGCACAACCCAATACAATAAATTATTAATGCTATTAAAAAAATCCTAAATTTTGTTCAAACATATCCAACTAACAACTGGTAAACAAAACAATTTTGTATTTACAAATCACATTAATATTAATGATTTAAAGTGATTGTTTCTTGGAACTCAAGGGTGGTGTTAGCAATCCCACATCGGTCTGATGCTTCGGATCAGATTTTAACAATAATTTTGCTTGGCCAGCTTCCTGAAAACAAAAATTATATCAAAACCAATTATAGATGTATGCAACACTTAGAATAAAATATTGCTACAATACAAAAAAAAAAAAAAACTTACAAGTAGTTCCAATGTCACGGTATGTTTTAAAACGGTGTGAGAGAAATCGGTTGGTTTGAATTTTGAATCTGAAGGAAAAGTATTCACATTTTCATCCGATGGAAATTTTTCCTTAAGCACATCCCAAAAAGGTTCCATCCAGGAAACACAAGTGATGATATCAGATAACGCAAGACCTGAGAAATACATACACAGTTAATAATCAGGGGAGGGGGAGATTTTTTTGAAATATTTACCAGAAATTGATAAAGCATTGGATTTTGAAAAGGCTAGATACATGGTTGAAACGGCAAGTATTTTGTAAGAATAGCTTAAAAATCCTTCGTCTAAGCTTACAAGGTCCAAAAGTTGAGCAACTTTGCTAAACGCTTTAACCGAATACTGCTGAATCATGATGTCTTGCTTTTTTGAAGAAGTGCGATAGTAAACTAATTGCATCAGGGTTGAAAGCCACCCATTTGCTGACAGAATAGTACACCTCCAATCAATCGCCTAAAAAATAAACAAATAAAATAATATAGAAGAAGATTGCCAGTGCAGCATCCGAAGGGCACATGCCATGAGAACCAGCCAATACTGGAACTCGGTGTGAGGGATCTTTAAGGTGAGTTTGGGGTGAAAATTTTGGAATTAGGAACAGACAAGGAATATTGCAGTTATTATGGATAGTGAGGTTAGTGATGTAGTAAGGGGCTTTGATAAATTGCCTCAGGATTTTTGATTGTAAGGATGCGCTGGAGAAGAGCCAAATGTGAAAAATACCTTTATCATAACTAATTCCATTTTAATTATTTCTTCCTCAGTGCATGCACCATCAGTTATATAAGCAAATTCGGATACTTTTGGTGGGAATATTTCTTCGTATTTTGCTGCTATAAGAAGGCATGTGACACCTAAAACATAAATTGAATGTATAAGTGTTAAAATGCTAAATTTGAAATAAATTGTGTGCACAGATCCCCTCCTTCAAATTACGACTTTCACCCTTTAAAGACTAGAGTGGAAAAAGCCCTATTGATTGAGTTTTCATCCCAAAAGTCAGTCTAGAACAAACTACAATGTGTATGACATGGAGGCAGATTTGAGGTATTGATTACTGTATGAGTTCTGTCTTGGACATAGAACGGCAGACTCCTGTGAAATTTACAGTAATAAGGTATTAACTGAATGTGTGTCAACAGTCGTTCCGACCTTTTTGTAATGGAGACGCATCAAGTTCCGCTCCTACTTATTACTGGGTATAAGTGTATAAGTATAAGGTAGGTACTATATTATTATTATATTACACTTATTACCACTGACATTGGGGGACAAACTGTGACATTTTTATTTGTAATATTTCTAGATTTTAATATTCATTTTCTCCATGGAATTATGGCTAAAATAAATTTAGTGAGCACAAACCAGTGAAGGAAATACAACCATTTGTGCATAGAGGCAATGTCACACTGCTGCACTCACTCAGGTAAAACTGTCGAATTATACTGGCAACAGTTGCCCTCTATATTCAACAGATCTTGCCCTTTCAGATTTTTACTTGTTCCCTAAATAACCAATCTAAAAAGTAGAGAATTTTTGGATGAAAGCACAACAGCCTGACTTGAAAGATTTGTTTTCATCTAAGACTTTATAAAAAACCGAGATATTCTGCTACAAGAAAGTTGCCATATGTTATAGAAAACCAAAGAAATTATGTTTTGGATTAAAAATGGAAACTGTGAAAGGTGTTTTCTGAAAACCGAAAACACGCATACCCAATTAGATATTCATAGTTAAATCCACCTACCTATGAGTTGTAGCTGTGTCTTCTGTCTATTCTTGGTTATGCTTAAAAATCTATCGAGATAATCTAATGCCAAGTAATAAGTCTCACGATGTAATTTATACACATCACACACCTACAAATAATTGAACAAGCTCATCAGTATTGTACTCAATAATATTTATTAAAAATAATTACTTACTTCAATTAACCATTCTAAAAGGACGCTTCTCATCCGAGGCTGTAAATTTGGATGGTTGACAAACGGTGTCGGTAAACGGATATTTGTGGCACTTCTACTATCATCGCAATAACTTGACCAAAAATCCAAATAGGATAGCCAGCCGAAACTTCGTTTTGTGTTGACATTACTAAAATAAAGGTGTATTGCTAATTAAAGTGATAAAGTAATATAAACAAATGTGCCACCTTTCAGATGAATCTCCTGAATTGAGACTAGACATGAAGAAATCTTCATCTTCGTCACAATCGGAATCATCAGTTTCTATGATGCTTGACCTAAAAATAAATAGTTTGTGACATTTCTGTGATTTTGTTCTTGTTGAAAGTATCAAAGTAAATTGTATTGAATGCCTATAAAACAAAATACTGCTCACCTAATCTTTTCAATCGCCTCATCATCAGAAGATTCATCATGATCCTGAGTAGAAGATAAAGCCAAGACAGATAACTCTGTCAGAGGAATTCTCTCCATTGTATGGTTGTCATTGTCTACATAGTTTCTCTGAAAAATAAATAATCAAGTATGACATCGCACCTTATGCTTTTAGAAATAATTCTTCAATTTAAACATTTGTAACTTACATCTTCTCTCCTTTTCTTCTCCAATATAACAGGCTCATTTTCGATGTTCTGAAATAGAAGACACTTTGTGAATATCTGGTATAAAAATTCAACTTTTTCTAATACCAACTTACCTCACAACTATCTGATGGACGCCGCTTTCTTTTTAAACCTACTGTAGTTCTGTAAATCAAATAAAATTATTAGAAAAACATTATATAATGGGGAAGATTGTAAATAAAGTTTTCTAGAAAATAATGCACGTTTTCATGTTTTCTTTCAATTACTCCTCTATATAATAAGCTTTACATTTCATGAATTATTCTTTTGCATGAATGTCAACACTTTTTGATTCTCTTCCAAACAAAAATGTTTGTTTACCTCAGGTAGCATTTCGTTACTTGGGCATAATTCAGTCTTTACTGATGTCAACTCGCCATTTTCGCATAATTTCATTTTACGAGTTTATACTCAGTCAAGACGGTGCCCAAACGGCCAGAAACATTAATGGAGTCTGGGGCAATGGCAGTGCAAGTGATCGTAAGAGTACAAATAAAAAACTACATATTTTATCAATTGTGGTTTTACTGTACTTACGATTGACGCTGCATCGTCTCAGAGAAAACCAAAACTGATGAGCAACCTAAAACAAACATACATATAAATAAGTAAAATGTTTATAAATTTCATTCAGCATGTTTTAATCACAAGGGTTTCAAAAAAGACAGCTTTATAAACAATGGTCCTATCGTATCTTATATAAGTTAAATTCTTATTAACAATTTTTCCTTATGTTTATTGCGTACAAGATTATGGGATTTCATTAAAAACCCGGACAAACCTATTATTAATTGACCAAGGAAAGTTTGATGAGGACACCTATCAGGTCTATACCCTTTTGCTGCATGCCAAATTGCCAAAACTCTAATAAAACTACGGTCTCGGTTCAGTTCAATCAGAAAACAAGTTCATAAAAGGACCATCGTAGAAATGAATGGCTGACCTACTAAAACTAGGCAGTTGATTAGAAGAACCGGCTGAACATTGCAGACTCCAGAGGCATATGTATAGACTTGGAGCAACAGAAAAAAGTCTATGCGGTTAAAAATCTGGCCTCGGTAGACCAGGACAAAGATGATAAAAGTTCATTAAAGGACCATAGCAGAAACTAACTAAAGCCTAAGATTACCAAAGATAGCCGACACCTTTTAACTTTGCTTCTACCTCAAATCAACATGGTTTTGGTTAAAAATGACTCTCAGCCTATAATTTATTCAAAAATATTTATAACTTGCAAGACTTATTGCACTTGTATTGATTCTTCTCCAAATAACAATTAAAATCAATTTCTCAGCATTAACTAATATTTTTTTAATATGCCTATTACTTTTGACACTAATAGTTTTTTTGTCAGAATCAAGATTTTGGCCTTTGGCAATAAAATTAATCAATGGTCAAATATCAAAAATTTATCTAAATAGATTTTATTTTGAATTTTACAACTGCAATTTTTCAGCTTTCGGAGGCTGGAATGGCTTTTCCATTGAAATAGACTGTACTGGATTTCCAGAGGGCAATGCGATTTGGGCGAATTTATAATTTTTATCCTACATTTGTGAGACCAGGACTGGAGTTGAAATTAAGTTGGATTAGGATTAGATGTCAGGATGGATGACCAGTAAAAGAAATTATTATGCTGTGTATATTATGACTAGGAAGGGCCTAGGATGTTGCCCTGTGGTACACCCGCGTCAAATATTTGTTTGGCTAGTTTCAAAATAAATCTGTTATTGTGTGGGGGGATGAACCTGAATTCTCCTCCTCCTATCTTCTTTCTCTTTGCTACGATGTCTATTTTAGTGAAGTTGTAATTGTTTGCAAAATTAAGCCAATACCGCAAGATAAGCATCATAAGGGCTGGAGTTTGAAACAGGTAGTTGAATAGGTAGTAGGATCAGAATTAGATGTTAAATTGGTTGTCACCAGAAAAAGAGCGTGTATTGTGAATATGACAGTACTTATTTATTATGCTGCCTTGGGGTAAACCTACATCAATCTGAATATGTGCATTTACTAATTTAAAAAATAAATCTATTTACTAATTAAAAAATAAATCTATTTACTAATTAAAAAATAAATCTATTTACTAATTAAAAAATAAATCTATTTACTAATTAAAAAATAAATCTATTAGAATTTTTTATTGGATGATTAATATGTTGCCCGAGGGGGTGAGGAACCTGAATTTCTCCCCTATTTACTTATTTTACAAATTACTGCTTGCTAGGACGTATGCAGTTGGAGGATAGCTTGGGGAAACATCAGAATTAGATGACAGAATGCCTCAGCAAAAGAGCTTGTTTGTAGATACTATGTGAAGAGAAATGGCCCAAGGATACTGCCCTGGGGTACACCCACATCTAATCTAAATATTTGCATTCACTAATTCAAAAATAAATCTATTATAATTTTTTTATTTGTAAGATTTTACTATGTGGTATGTGGGGGATTAAATCCTATTTACTTATTTTATGAATTTCTTCTCGCCAGGGCGGATTTTTGTAAAGTTGTAGAAGAGTGAGTGAAATTGAGTTTCCAATTATTTGCACAATTAGGCCAATACTGCTGAAGAAGCCAGACCAGGATTGGAGTGTTAAATAAGAGTTGGCTAGCACGGGAGGACCAGTATTATATGACTGGATGGCTGTTGTATTCAAAACAACATATACTGTGAATAGGAAGGGCCCTAGAATGCTGCACTTAAGCCACTCGTGTGTAATATAAATAGTTGATTTATCAATTTAAAAATGGTCTGTTATTAAAATTTTTTATTGATGGGGCTGGATGAACTCGAATTTTCCCCCTATTTTCATGATTAACAAATTTCTCCGCGCTAAAAGGTAATTTTTGTATATAAAGTCGGAGAATGAGAGTGATATCGTGTTTCCAATTATTTATTTGCACAATTAGGGGCCAATGCTGTTGGAGAAGCGAGACCATGACTGGAATGTTAAATAGAGTTGAATGATAGCTAGGGAAGGGTCAGAATTAAATGACAGGATGGTTGTTGTCAGAAAAATAGCGTATATTGTCAGATTGTGTATATTGTGAATAAGAAAGGACCTAGGATGCTGCATTGAGGTACACTTCATCATAATTCTCTTAGCTAGAACGTAGTTTTATGTAAAAATCGGAGAAGTGCGAGTGATACCGTGTTTCCATCTTATTGTAGCACAAAAGCGATAAACACTGCTTGAGAAAAATGATCACTTTGAAATTTTTTTTTGTAAACTTAATTTTCACCTCAAATGCAATAAACCCAGAAATACTCTCGGGGCGAAGAGACGTCATCAGGCGTCAGCGTAATTATTTCCTTTGTTCCACTAATATTCCACGAGTTAAGTCTGGGCTATCAGTAAATGAGCTGTCCCGGAACATCTGCCCTATCAAGATGGGCAAGGCAGATGCCTAGTGCATGGGGAAGCTGCACACAAAAAGTCGACAAATGCTCCCCTCCTCCCGGTGAAACACGTGCGTTTTCATTTCAGGTGACGAATTATAAATAACACGGCTGAACAACTTTCGCGTCCAATATAATAAATTAATTTGCAAGACGGACTAACAACGGGCACCAATACTGCTTCCCTTAGCACAAGTCAGCAATTCAACAGTTGATTTTTTTTTTGTGCAAAATTATTGGTTTATGCTAGGTTTTAAATTGGGAATATCAATTATCAATAAGAGGTAAACATACTTAATCCTTAATCCAAAACAAGGCTAAAGGATTTTTCAATGTTTACTTTTTACGGTATTTAAAATATTTTTCAGTCTTATTTGAATTCTGAAGCAACAAACTGTTTAGTTTTCATCTTTATTGTCTGAATTTCAATTTTTAAACTTAAAAATGTCATTTAGTGCCCAGGATGTTGCGCGTGGTGTGGCACTTATTGATGATGGACGTTACGCCCTATGGTAACAGAACCACAGAATGGCAGGTTTTTGACTTTGAGAATTTTGCGAAACCGGCACCTTACTGTTTGTTGTTCAAGGGATTCATCAACTCCAGGAAGTTCGAGATGTCCAAATTTCTGAAAATTATCAGTATGTGTAGAGATTAGTGACCGTTAATCAGTAGTTATTCAGATATCGTGAGATGGGTGGTCGGGTGTGATGTAGGTTTCAGAAAAACATTTTCTTTATCGTGCCAACGTTTCGATCTTTTATTGAGATCATCTTCAGGGCCAGGGATTTACAAACAATGTTTACATTTAACAAATACATTTAGGATGTGGAAAAGTGAATTTATACAATGCAAAATATATTTTATATTACACAGAAGACAAACACTTTGAGTGAGTAAAAACACCTTGTTTGAATATAAAATATATTTTGCATTGTATAAATTCACTGTTCCACATCCTAAATGTATTAGTTAAATGTAAACATTGTTTGTAAATCCCAGGCCCTGAAGATGATCTCAATAAAAGATCGAAACGTTGGCACGATAAAGAAAATGTTTTTCTGAAACCTACATCACACCTGACAGCATCTCACGATATCTGAATAACTAATTATCAGTATGGACTGATTGCTTTTCGCCAAGTAAGAGGACCAGAATTAACCAGAACACAATGAGTTGCACGGCTTAAGAACATAGCTATTGGTCTATGGACGATTGGTCTGCTGTACGTTTGACAGATGAGTGTAGATTTGCTCGCGATCTCCAGATGGGCGTGAAAGAGTGTGGAGAAGGCGAAATGAAAGGTTCGAAGCTTGCAATTTTTCCCAGAGCTATCATTTTCAACGTAGCTCAGTGGTTGTGCGGGAATTTCAATGGACAGTCGCAAACAGTTGGTTGTTGTTCGTGGAGGGCCTTTGATTGTCACCCTGAAATGTTGGAGCATCATGCGTTGCCCATCCTCGTTGAAATCAGCGACTTCCCATTCTAATGCACGATAATGCCCGTCCACATGTCGCTCGCATAGTACAAGCGTACCTTCAACAGCATGACATCAGGGTCTTAGCCTAGGCAGCCCGTGCTCCCGACTTGAACCCCATCGAACATTTATGGGATAACCTCAAAAGACGAATAAGAGCACGTACATCATTTCCAGATACACTCCACGATCTTGAAAGGACTCTTCGTGAAGAATGGGCTTACCTCCAGCAAAGAGACATTTCCAGACTGGTAGAAAGTATGCCGAGGCGACTTCGAGATGTAATCAATGCACGAGGAAGAAATACGCGATATTGAAATGTTAATTAAAAATCTTGACAAAATTAAAACAAATTTTATCTGTCCGTCTTTTTTTCCTTAGCAATTTACATTTTTTGTAGACAAAGACTCAATTCTTAAATGTTAAAAAACGTGAAACTTTGATTAATATATAAAAATATTTACAAATCAAGTTATATCAAAAATTGTTAGAATTTTTTGCCTGTCAGTGCATTGAAAGTTTAATTTATAAATTATTATTATAATATAATCTATATTATATTATTATAATATTATACAATCTCACTGGAACTCTCGACACGACACGCAAGAATGGCACAATTACACAGAAGACAAACACTTTGAGTTAGTAGAAATACTTTGATTGAATACATAAAAAATATATTTTGCATTGTATAAATTCACTTTTCCACATTCAAAATGTAATTGTTATATGTAAACAATGTTTGTAAATCCCAGGCCCTGAAGACGATCTCAATAAAGATCGAAACCTTGGCACGATAAAAAAAAATGTTTTTCTGAAACCTACATCACACCAGACCGCATCTCACGATTTCTAAATAAATAAATAATTATTTTATTTATGCAGAGCCTTATAGAAATTATAAAAAAATACAGAAAGCTTTTAATAGTTGAAGGAGTTGGTTCCGCTCACAAACTGGTTTTACAGTTGTCCATATTTTGAGAATTAAATACTCAGACTGCAAGGGGAAAAAAACCACCACGTTTCACATTTTCACACGAAACAAATGACACCTCGAGAAATAGCTCTATGCTTTATGTGAGTATGAAATACAACACTTGGTTCAACAATTATATTTATCTGCATTGTTTTTTTTCCCAATCATTATATTTTTAATTCACCCAGGCCCTGAAGACGTCCTAAATAAAGGTCGAAACGTCGGCAAAAAAAGAAAAAGGTGTTTTTCTAAAATACTTCATCACTGACCTCCTCACGACTTCAACAAATTATTTTTATTTTTAATGTATAAATCTGATTCTCATTTTTCGGATATTCCATTTTTCAGGTCCCTTCACATCTTCATTCCATAAAGGGCCAAAGTTTAAGTGAGGTTTTCTCGGTTCTGTGAATGCTGAAAGATACGGTGCTTAAAGAAACGTTGCTCCTACTAATGAGCTTTAAATGCATGTACTTAATTTTTCAGTTATCAGCAATATAAAAATAACGTTGTTACTAAAAATTTCAGTTTCTCGATTACAAATTGTTCAAACAAATGCCATTGGGTTTTTGAAACAAACCACTGTTAACAAATAATGAAAGTAATAAAAAATAAACAAAAGACTCTATGGTGACAAACTGAACATAAGAAAAAAGCAAAAAGCTTTTAAGAATTAAATTAAATGTTAAAAAAGTACACCTTCTTGAAGAATGGAAACATGGTATCGTTTCCTGACAGATTTTCGTTGTTCAATTTTGTACCAGTCTTTTTTCGTTTACTTAAAAATTAAAAAAAGGCTGCATAAAATTAAATGTTCAAAATGACCATCTTATTGAAGAATGCAAGTCTGACACAGTTTCCCCGACAGATTTGATTGCTTTCAAGGCCTTCTGTTTTTCCTTGAGTTCAATTTTTCACCAAATTTTTTTTTCATTATTTCATTAAAAACAAAAAGTTTTCAAAAACTGAACGTTCAACATGTCCACTTTACTGAAAAATGTAAGCCTGGCGCAGTTTCCTGACAGATTTTATTGCTTTCAAGTTTTTCGTTTACCTTTTGTGCAATTTTGTACCAAAGAGACTTTTTATTATTACTTAATAAAAAAAGCTTAAAAAATAATTAAAATTTGTACAACCATTGAAAAATGCAAGCTTGAAAATAGTTCCCCAACAGAGTTCATTGCTTTCAAGCCTTTTGTTCTTCCTTGCGTTCAATTTTGTACCCAAGTCTACTGCTCTTGAGCCTTTTTCTTTTTACGTTGCATCCCTTTCCCACTTTTCAATAACTACAAAATCTTACGAATGTATTTTTATTCAGTTTGAAATTTTTTTAAGCAAGTAAACGTTAATTTTACACTGGTGATAACTGACCTTTGAAAAATTAAGTACACGTGTTTACAGCTCATTAACAGGGGCAACATTTCTGTAAGCAGCACACATCATATTTACAGAAACAAAAACTTACTTTAAAGTGGAAACAAGAATTTGGCAAGTGTAATAAAAAACACCCTCATAGGGTTTTCAATGCTCTTTCCATTATTATATTCATATTTACAGTAAAATTAGCATTTTATAATGTAAGGCCGATTTTATGGGATAAATTTGTGAAAGGTTGAAGTAAACGGAAAAGTGTAATATTTCGAATACAATTGAGAATGTGAGGTGATTACTGACCGTTAATCGATATTTATTTAGAAATCGTGAGATGCGGTCTGGCGTGATGTAGGTTTCAGAAAAACATTTTCTTTATCGTGCCAACGTTTCGATCTTTATTGAGATCATCTTCAGAGCCTGGGATTTACAAACATTGTTTACATATAACAATTATATTTTGGATGTGGAAAAGTGAATGTATACGATGCAACACACACACGCACGCACACATTTTATACATTCAATCAAAGTATTTCTACTAACTCAAAGTGTTTGTCTTCTGTGTAATTGTGCCATTCTTGCGTATCGTGTCGAGAGTGCCAGTGAGATTTTGCTATTTTGTGTTTATATACATTGGATTTTGAAGGGGTGGGGAAGGATGTCGGTAAGAAGACATTTTTGTATAAGGCGTCGGCTTCTTTGAGGTGTAACGAACGTGTTCTTTGATAAGAGTTGTGTTGGGCCATTTATCCAGACCGCATCTCACGATTTCTAAATAAAAAACAATTGAGAATTTGGAACTCAATAGTATACTATATTTATATTTGTATAATAATATAACCATTTGATTTGTATAGTAATATAATATGCTTTGTCTTGTTTAGAATTGATTTTTTTTACTCTACTCTGAAAATTTACAAATTCCTTTTTCATTCTTCACCCCCACTAAGTTCCAGTAGAACGTGAGAGACCTTATCAATGGGTCCGCTCAGTTTCGCTCTTCTGTCGTACACGATCCGCGCAGGAAACGTACGAATCTTTCTCACTGGTGCTCAATCGTGCGTTCAGTTAAGACCTGCGACTAGAACCAAGCACGAACATGAATGAAGATCAAACACGACATGCATCCATTGGGCATCGTAAGCCAACCACAACACAATAAGGGTGGATCAAGTACGTCCAAAAAGGTCGCAAGTCCAATATGACAAGAAAATTTCAAAGTCAACCACCTTGAACCAAAACTTTGAATTTTGGACCGAAATCTTTAGACTTGTTTGATTTTCGGACATGGCAATTAAGAGGTAGAAGAAGAGAAGAAGGAAAATTTATTTTGTTC